GTTGCAAACGGTGTTGGGGCACAGTTAGGGCCCTTTGTTTAGAGGGCTAAGGTGTGGGGAGGGGCTTAGGCAGAGCCCAGACAGTGGGGTCTGCTGGGCTGACCCATTCAGGTTTAGACCAGGCTCCACGTCCTCAGAGGAGCTGATCACAGTGGAATTCTTGGTTCTCGTTAGCTTGCATGAGTCAACCAGCCTCTAGGAGATGTACCCTGATGTCACTCAGCCTGTCTTCTCCAGAGCTGCAGGAAGCCATCTGGGGAGGAGGAAAGTGACCCTCTTACCACCTCCATACACATACTCTCACACACAAATAATCCTAAAAAGACAAAATCAATTCTCTCAATAGATCTGATGCAAGGGGTGAAAAAGATTATAGGAACATCTTTATTCTAAAAAGTTGCTCTCATCTTTTAGAATTTCTGGTAAAAGGAAACATCCCTCTTCATTCATTACTCTGTACTGTATTTGTTATCTGTAAGTATCAGAGGCTATGTTGAGTGAAGCTATATGAAGCTGAGAGTGAGAAAAAGATGATGAGTATAGAAAGTCAGATTCTAAGTAATATTCTAAGAGATGGGAATTTATTTGACAGCAAGGATTCAGAGGGAACTTTTAAGCAAAAATGTGACATGCTTAAGCAGAGTTTCAGGAAGATTATTTTAAGAGTAGTGCGGAGGCTGGATTGGGGCAGAAAAAGGGAAGATGTAGAAGGCCCAGAAAGTAGGGGGTCAACTGAGAGCTATTCAAGAGCCTAGAAGAAAGATTTTGAGGGTTCTTGAAATAGGCTGGGGATGGTGGGAACTGAAAGGGGAAGACAGATATGAGAGATATTTATAGGGGGTAATAAGACTCCAACTTGAAGGGGGAGAGACAGCCAGGAGGCAAGGACTTGGTACAAGTTCTGAGTGTCAAAGACCGGGAGAATGGAAGGTGTTGCCATTAGTGGAGAATTGGGAGTTAGAAGGAGGAGCTGTTCTCAAAGAACCTCAGAGATGGATAGGGCATCATGCCAAATGCCCCATCCAATGTCTGTATCCCACCTGCACCCATTGTAATCCTCCCTTAGGGAGCCTTTGGCTGACTCAGACAGAGTTAACAGCTAAGTGGCTGGAGTATGGCATTGGGCTCTATGGGTAGGGCTTCTAGTGCAAGGAAATAGAGGGTGCTCAAATTGTGGCACAAGCCTAATCAAAGTGCTCTAAAGAAAAGTGAGATCCATACATAATGAAGACCAAGCTGGAGAGGCCCTTTGAGGAGATGGAAGTTGAGGTAGCAGAGCTGAGAAGCTGATTCAGTAGAGACAAGAATTGGAGTAGGAGTAGGACCAGGGGTAAAGCTCTGGACTCTTGTCATGGCCACCAAATGTTTTGCCACTTGGTACTTGCCTCTGTCAGGATTCTTCTAGTAACTGGGAGCTCGCAGCTTCTGAAATCTGGATGGTGCAACATTCCCACTAGTGTTGGTTTATTCCCGGGGACTGCAGAGAGTACTCCTTTGTCCCTTAAGGTGGAAGCTTCTCTACTCAGCCTAAGGCAAAGGGGCTTGAATTTTCTCACTTCTGAATAAAAAAATCAGTTCCTCTGCATATATAAACTCTGCATATATTGAAGCGTGTGACCGTGAACTGCACGCAGAATTGCCGCCTGAGGTTGGCCACCACAGATCAGAGGAAAGTCAGCATCTTCCTTACAACCACTAATTCTCTGAGGGCATTGGATTCTTTAGGAGCCACAGCGCACAGAAAACTAGTCAAATTGCTCTGAACAAAATCCTTAGTTTTTTTTTTTAAGGATTTTATTTATTTATTCGAGAGAGAGAGAGAGAGAGAGGGAGAGACATAGGCAGAGGGAGAAGCTGGCTCGCTGCAGGAAGCCCAATGTGGGACTCGATCCCAGGACCCCGGGATCATGCCCTGAGCCAAAGGCAGACGCCCAACCGCTGAGCCACCCAGAGTCTCTGTTTTTATTTTTAAACACAGCTAAGCCATACTTCCTCCATCCGGTGCTTGTGCATTTTTTTTTTTTTGTATATAAATTGAGCAAAATGGGTAAGAGGATGGCTTTTGGTGTTAATATCGAGTTCCTACTCTATTACTTACCAGCTGTGTGACTTAGGGCAAGTTAATCATCTCTCCGAAAGTCGTTTTCATTCTATGTAAATGGCAATCCTAAGAGTACCTACCTTACATGGTTGTGAGAACTAATGGAGACAATGCTTGGAAAGCTCTCGGTGGTGTGCCTGCCTCATAGTAAACCCTCAAAACTAGCAGCTATTACTATCTATAGTCACCTATATTAGTCCCTTAAACTTGTTATTGGGTCCTCTTTCTCTTATTAAACATAGTTTAATTCAAATCTCTTCCAACACTATCTGCCATAATTACAGTTCACCTGGATCCTGGATCCCTTTTTGAATGTCTTTGTTGATGTTTTGCATCACAGAGATCAGTAAGACAGACAGGGGTAGTAGTTCCTGTAGCTGGCAGTCCACTGAGGAAGACACATAATGAATAATTTGTGTGATGAATCTTTTGTGTCCCTCCACTGGTTCCAAACTCACTTGTCCTTGCACTCAGTCCATAATTGTTGACTTTGTTCCCAAGGGTATTATGAATAATCCTGTAAAGGCCACAATGATATCCAGAGAAAGAGCCACCATCTCACAAAGGTAGTAGCTGGAGGACATAGCAATATTTAGTGCAAAAGCAGCACCAGAATCCTTTGAAGATAGTTAGGCATTTCCTAGACTTTTAAGACTTGAGAGGTCCTCAGGTAGATGAGTTCTAGCACATTCTTCCTTTGTCTAGGAGAATCCCATACAGCTTCTGGTTTCGGTGTGAAGTCCCACCCTTTGTCTGCTCTAGGACCTGTGTGGGAGAGCTCCTTTCACAGCTTTGGGTAATGCCCAGTCACATCTGCTCAGTCTTGGTGATGATTAAGAGATTGTGACATGGTAGCGAATACCCACCAGGGAGACCTTTCATGTGGCGGTTGTTCTCCTACTGCTTAGATGAGTCAATGGGCCCCAGGAGGACAGTTCTGCAATTTCCTTATTTAACGATGTTGTGCAAGAACATTAGGAGAGCAAGGGATATTGTTAGCTCTGCTTTTAATTTTTTTCTATTGCAAAGTACTGTTGCCTTGCCTTGTTCAATCCTTGATGAAATGTGGATTCATTTATTGCCTGCATCTTAATCATATTTTACTTATTTGAACTTGATTTTCAGTTATTCTTCTCCTCCCTTCTCTAGAATAACTAGAATTATCTGGTAATAACTGGAATTGCATGTGAACCAGCTAGATTGAATTTGGAAATCTCTGGCAGAATTTCTTTTCCATTCCTGTGCTTCTGGGTCACCACCATCCTCCAACATTTTGAAGATAAGGATTCTGGTAATGGACCCCACAGGAAGTAAACTAAGGAGATGTATAACTCTCTGAAAGAGAATATAATTATTAATAACAATAGAAATTGTCTTTAGATTTCTTGCTGTTTTAGTGATCAATCCTAATGTGATATTTCCACATATTTTGCACAAATGTATTAATACAACTTAAAGCTGGCTATGAGTTTAGTCTTAGGTCTAAGAGCGTTGCAATGAAGAAAATACAAGAGACTCTCTGACTTCATGGAACTTACAACCTAGTGGAGTGACGGGCAAACAAAAGAGTAAACATGTAGTTTGTCAGATGTTGATAAGTACAATGGAAAATAATATGTTGTGTTGGGTTGCGGGTTATTTCTAGTTTGTTATGTGTTGAAGGAAGGCCTTCCTGACAAAGTGTCATTTAAACAGGCACCTAAAACAAGCCATGCAGATATTTGGGAGAAAATCATTCCAGGCAGAGAAAAAAGTACATACAAAGGACCCGAGACCGAAGTGTGCTGGTGTGTTCTAGGTTCAACAAGGTGGATTTGTCACTTAAGTAGAGTGGGCAAAGGGCAAAACAGTAGGAGATAAGATCAGAGAGGTAACAAGTAAGCTCAAGGTGAGAACTTGGGCTGGGGGCTGCATGAGATAGGATGCTGATAGAGGGTTGGAGCTGAGGGGTAACAAGACCTCACTTGTATTAAGAAAGGCCCCCAGATTGGCTTGGACAGATTGAGTTTACAATGACTATGATATATAATCAAATGGACAGTATGACTGAAGTTTGGATTCTGGGGGATGATGGGAATGGAAATTTCAGTGTTAGCCTCTATAATACCCACAAACTAATGGAAATGGTTGAGTCATCCAAGGATGGACTGTAGATGGAGGAGGCTGAGTTCTGAGGCCCTCCAATGTTTAGAGGTTGAGTGAAAAAGGAGGATCCAGAAGCCAGGGAGCCTCAGGAGCAGCAGCCAGGAGGGATGGAGATCCAGCAGGGGTTTCACATAAGGCCCACCACTGAGAAGACATTATCACTCACAAAATTTTTTTTTGTCTTGAGATAAGTATCACTGGCTTTGAGTCACTAATTTACACAAGTAAAAAGATAGAATTGCACAAATACATCCATCTATATAGGAAACATTATATTCTATTAGGAATAGATGATAGGAGCATGGCCGTACCAGCAGCTGATAACACAATCTTCTCTTCAGCTAGTGGGATGAACCTCAGAATTCTACTGCACATGGAGCAAGAATGATGAAACGTATGTATCAATACTTCCCTGATGTGGAACTTCGGGGGATTTTTCATTAAGCTTGCCTAATGTAAGTACTTCTCATGGGGACTTTCATGACTTACGTTTGTGTTTATTTTTGAACATATTGTCCTGGTGCCGTCTATTCAGAATCACTTCAAAAAGCATTCCTTCTTAGGATTTTTGCTCTGTAATTACGGTTTATTATAGAATATTCTCTGGGTTAAGGTAGGCCCCTTTTTCATTACTCTTCATAACTTGGTAGGGGTCATTTCTATACTTCTAATGACAACACATATTACAAACACCTTGTTTACATTTCATGTTTGGAAGATCCATTGCCAAATTATAAAAATCACACCCTTGTCTTCATTTCTTTTCCTCTGTAAGTCTTGAAGGAGATCTTTCTGCATCACTTCCTTGTACATGCTCACTCCTTGGGAGAATTATTTTAATATCCTAAGCAAAGAGATACAAAGAGAAGCAACAAAAATTAATTAAGTGACTTAGGATTAACAATCATCTAATGTATGGGAGTGATGAAACAGTGTTTTCATTTTTACTTTTTTCTTTAAGAAAATGGTTTTCTATTTATTTTAAATGTCACTCAGCATCTTACAGGATGTACCCTTGGAAAGATATCAGAGACCTTGGAGCCTTTGTTTCCTAATTTAATAATGAAGGGAACTGTCCTATTATATTAAATAGTACTCATAAAAAGCAATTACACAGGATTTGGCACATGATGAACAAGCCCAAGTGTTATGTCCCTGTTAGTGAATGAACTGTATTCATTTTGTATTAAAGAAAAATCCTAATGCCAAGTCAATAATGTCTACAGATTTGTAGAATTTCAGACCAGGAGATTTTTTTTTTTTTGCAGGGGATATTGTCTCATTTTTCCATGTTTTTTTTAATATTAGGAATAGAAGATCTGTTTTTCATCCATTTAAAATACCAGCATCTTACATTTTAAATCACAGACATTGAAAACATAAATTTAAAATATTATCAAAATGTAGAAGGGTAGAAACACATGGAAAATGTAGAATTATATATATATGGTTTCTTTTCTTCTCCACAATTTTGGGGAAATGTTTTAAGAATGTAAGTTTCTTTTCTTCAGAGCTGAGTTCCAAAGGTTTCGATTTGACTGAGGTCATTTTACTCATAGAGACATGAGTTAGTTGACTATCTGAGCTGACCCCTGCCAAGTGACACACACATTGCTTATCATAAGTCATGCCAGGAATCAAAGTGAATCATTTTCTTGTGAGACCTTATTCTTTGAAAATACAGATTTCCTGCAGCCAGAGGTCAAACCTGAGTGAACTAAGTGAAAAAGAACATCCACTCACCATTGATCTTTCTGGTCCTATCCACCACAGTTGTTATTAACATATCACTTTTGAATAGTGTACTTTTGATAACTAATGCTGACTACAGAATGCTAATTTGGGGGTGAAGGAGTGAGCTGACCTGTGATCACCTGACACTCGGCAGCATGGACAAAATCATAAGCTCCAGATGTTTAAACCAGCCCTGGGTAAGTTTGCCGTTGAAGTCAGAGGCCATAGTTTTCAATAGCAGGTAATGGGGGATGAGCTGAGAGAGTCTGGAGTTGTTTGACATGTGTGCCTTGAAAACACAAGGCACCAAAGCAGCCATCATATTTTGTTATGAAGATAAAGGAGAAGGTTGGGGAATATTTTAAAGTCAGATACCCTGAAGTAATAGTGGGATGAAAATTCCTGCAAGTCATTAACTCCTTCTATTTTTAAACACCTTAATATTTCATATTTTGTCCTCACATAATGGGTCCTGACTCACTTGCTTATAGAAACTCTCCTGTGACATTTGGATTTTAACACTAAAAGATTTATTATTATCTCCTATTGAATGGAAACCCAAATGTTAAGGATGTACAGGTTTACAGGTTTGCTAAAAGTAATTTACATTTGATCAGCATGTGTTCATTGTAAGAAACCACATTTATTTGGTTGGTATAGAAAATCATGTATTCACTTACATTTGTAAATATATTGGTCATGGGAAATTGATTCTGCTAACAACCCAGTTACAGTATTCTCATTGATCTTATTACATTTATTTCACCAAAGCATTTTCTTAATAATTTAGGAACATCATTTGAAATGACCTCTTTGTATAAGAACTATGAAAGTTGGGCAGACCGGGTGGCTCAGCGGTTTAGCTCTGCCTTCAGCCCACGGCGTGATCCTGGAGACCCGGGATGGAGTCCCATGTCAGGCTTCCTTCATGGAGCCTGCTTCTCCCTCTACCTGCGTCTCTGCCTCTCTCTCTCTTTCTGTGTCTCTCATGAATAAATAAATAAATAAAATCTTAAAAAAAAAGAACTATGAAAGTAGAAGTTAAATAAATTACTTTAATCGAATGATTATAAAATCCAACACAAAATCTGGATTTTCCCCATGTGTGGTCACGTGGGGATTTCTGAGACATCGGTTTGGATTCTTTGTCATCATGGCACCACAAACAAATGAAAGCCTTTTCTTTCTTTCCAAAGAGGAGACACTGAATTCAGGAGATGAAATGCCAGCTTATTTATTTATCCACATATAATTTCACATGGCTCAGAAATACTTCCTGGGCACCACAACTACCAGCAAACCAGAAATAGTAGGAAAAGTGATAGTAATCATAATGTCTAACATTTATTACCGGGTGCTTTCTACCTGCCAGCCACTGAGCTAGGCACTTTGTACATTATCTAATCCATACAGGAGCCCTTTGAGGGTCTGGTAATACTATCTTACAGATAGAGAAACCAAGGCACCATGAGGTCACTTGCCCAAGGTCACACAGTTTGTAGGTGTGAACCCAATCAGTGTGGCTCCTGGGCCCACTCTCTCAACCACAAAGCCAGGCCGCCTCCCAATAGGAGCAAAAATAAAACCTACCAAAATCATTATGAATACTCATTTTTTTCAAATACACATTTTAAAATGTTGCTGCTTCCAAACACAAAGCTGGTAAACACAGAGCTATCAGGCAACAACCTTCGCTTCCCACTGTTTATAACAGCAAACAACATTTTAACCTGAAAAACCACATTCTAGCTTTTGCTCTACTTATCTTGAAAGATCTTCAAATAACATCGCTGTGGTTAAAGTTCATTTTAAAATGTGATCTATTTACTTGTACATGGATATCTGGAGCAGCAATGGTGACAGGATGGGTTTGACAGAAACTGAGTCTTCGGAGATTTTTTTTTCCTTTTCCCTTATTTATTTATTTTTTCTCTCTCTCTTTTCTTTTTTGCTTAGTGAAAATGAGAGCAGAGTGTCTTACTGGAAAGGGAAGCGCTTTCAGTTTAGAGTATGGAGGCTTCGGCTTTTTAGGTGACAGTCTCAGCTCTCTGATCGACGGTCATAGGGATGAATCCTAGGCGGCTCTCGACTGGAGGTGGAGGGGCAGGGAGGAGGGTGGGGGTGCGGGCACAGGGGCCAAGGCCGCTGACCCTGCAGAAGCTCTCAGGCAACGAAGGAATGGACAGACTGGTGACAGGCCAACCGGCTTCCCACTGTCTGGTCAGGCCGGGACTCCCTGGAGGTGGGACCCCCCGCGCCAGCTGGCTCTCAGCCAGGGGATGCAGCACACATGGGGGGGGGGGTGCGCAGAATGTGTGGACAGGGTGCTGGAGGTCAGTATGTAGGAGAGCTCCTGGGACCGAGTAGGCCGCGGCCCCACGTCCTGGCAGACACCCACCTTGCTGGAGACAGAGCTGCGAGGCCAGCACCGGGGGTGGGGGTGTGGGGGTGTAGGGATACTGCAGGTGATCAGATTCCTTCCAAAATGCGGGAAATAATACATCAGTTAAAAAGAGCCCCATGGACTCTCGCTTTCCCTAGGAGTCAGAACACCTTTTCAAGGGGCTGACTCAAAGGCAGTCATCCACTGGCTGTTTTCTTTTCTGGGGAAAATGCTGAATAGACTCTTCTCTGCAAGTTAATTATATCTAGTCTGGCCAGAGTAAAGATGCTCCCCAAATCATCTGACTTCGTAAGGAGGAAATAATTGCGGCATCACTTTATGTTCCTACTGGTTCTTGGTAATATAAGATGAATTCTAACATACGAACTTCTAAGGGGTTTCAAAAATTATCTGACAGGTTCAAAATGAGAGGGCTATTCCCTGAAACATAGAACAGCCATGTAGGATGAGATGTAGTCAAGGTGATGTGCCTCTGGAATCTACCTTACACAGAATGATGCTGGCTCAGAAGAAAGCAAGAAAGGGGGGTAGGTCCCCACAACTGGAGACTCTCTCCCATCCTCTCTCACCCTCTTCTCTCCATCCCTTTGTCTAGTTCCGGTGTGCTCTGTCCCCACTAATTCTAGGGTCACACTGACCTATACCCTCCTCCTCCCAAGTGGGGAAAGGAGCTAGTCTTTATTAAATGAAAATCTGAGGTATAAGAAACCAAAAAGGGACATGTAACATATCAGTTTTGATGCAAACAGTAAATGTTTGTGGAACGTATGAGTATAGCAACTTGGAAAAATTGCTAACCACGTTTCCAGATATTTTAGCCTATTTATATAAAGAGACACAACTTTTTAAGAGCTCTATTACATGTAGACACATAATGATATGATATGGTGAAGATACAAGGGAAAAAAAAGCACTTTGGGATGAAGATGCTGATGTCACATCACACCCTTGCTCAGAAGCCAACTAGCTCCCCTTCCTCCCACGCAGCCCTGAGTCCACGCCTTTGCACCTGCCTCTCCTTTTCCCTGCGATGCTGTTCTCTCTCCACCCTGACAGCAAATCCATGTACACCTCATCTCCTGTCCCTCCACTTTCAACAATCCTGGCCACCTTTGAAGACTCAGCTTCTAGGAAAAAAACATGTCCTATGTTTTGAATTCCTATAATGTGCTTGGGTGGCTTACTTTCTATCATTCTCTTGTAATTCTTGCATGTAAAAATTCTGTTGCAAACAGAAGTGGAATTTGTTTGAGAGTGGAAACTAAATTTCGTACTTCTTTTGTCTCTCATGGAAACTTATATTACTAGCCTTAGTAGTAAGTGCTCAGTAGTGAAGAGTAATTGTAAGAGCCGTCACTGCTGAAGTATCTGCTGAGTGTCTGGAACCATGCCATATGCTTCCTATGCATGATCTCATTTAATTCTACCACAATCCTTTGAGTAGGAATGGCTGTTATTCCCATTTAATAGATGAGAAAGCCCAGATGAAGAGAAAGTTAAAGTCGGATATCAAGTAAGTAGTATACCCGAGATTCAGTCCCATGACTCCTGAGTTCTTAAATGCTATCATCACACTTCACTACTAGATGAGAGTCTGTTAGCTTGTCGGAATCCATCTCAGTGATTTGACCAACATAGTTCATAGAATCTCCATGTAAAAAGAAAGATCCGCGGTGTAGAACAAACAAATTTGGGTCTGAAGATATTCAAGTCACAGTAGTCTCACTTCTGGGCATGGAAGCTTATCACTGACAAGTCAGGAGAAATGCATCTGAGACCACCTTCATTTTATCAAAGTGAAAGTGCTTTTATCTTAAACGCAGCAAATGCTTTATAGTCCAATAAACAACTAACAGGAGCCAAATAAGGAGATTTCACAGGGCCAAACTGCTATGGGAAGGGGTTGCACGCTTATCCCACTGTTAAAGGGGGTCTGCCTCTGTCTGCCTTAGCCCTTGCTGTAGGACACCTGGCACCATCTTGGTGGATGCACGTCCAGCACGTGTGGTACAGTCTTGTCGGGTTACTGTGAACTCTGGGAGGCAGCTCTTCTTTTCTTGCTTCCCTCCTTCTGAGTTGGTCCAGTCTCTCTGGGTTTTGTCGTCAGTTTCTCCATCTTGCCCAGTGTTTCCCTGACGGAACTGCCAGCCAGTCTTTTGTGTGCACTGTCACCATAATGCACTACACTAACGATGCATGATTAGAGTGCAGTGACAATGTCGGCACTTGGTGGGGGTCATAGTCTCCTTAGTTCTCTTTGGCAAAGGGGGATTCTAGTCTCCATACTCCTCAGTCATGAGCTAGTCATCAGAGGGCTGAAATGATCTGGAACACTAATACTGCCACTCACTCAACTTTCATCTCATCTACTCCAGCCTTCTGTCGTAGGTCCAAGGTAGCCCTGATGAAGCTGATGAGGCATGCGTGATGAGGCAGCTCCATAATGCTGAGAGTATCCTCCATGGAACTGCTAGCTACCTCTACTCTCCCGGACCTTGCTGCCCTCTGTGTATCATGGTCTGGCCTGTCTGAGCTGGTGCTATTACCAGTTTAGCTTCTCCTAACCCTGGTTTGGCCAACTTCAGCTTTCCCCCATCTCTGTCGTCCCCACTGGAGTTGTCCCACCATGTCCTGATCCTGAGCTCAACCGAATTAGGACACCTTTGGGTAATACTTACAGGGATTTTATAGTCTGAATAATTTGAAATCAGGTCTTGAATAAAAGGATGCTTCAAGAGAACAGCAACTTCAACTGGCTCCAGATTCTTGGCACCTAGGTCTTGAAATACTTTTATGAAGTTCTTTAAAGAAGAAAAAAAATGAAGTTAATTAACTTTATGATCTTGCAGATGTTAAACCTTATTTTCCTTAATAAAGGAGTTTTGCTATAATTTCTATACAATGATAAATTTGAGAGCACTTCCAGGAAACTATGTTAAACTTGAGGTAACTTTTCTTATGTACAGACTGTCCCTTTTATGAAAGAATTTAACCAACCTCTGAGTAAGTGTTCTCTATCTGTAGGTGGCTGGCGAATCTGTTAGCATCCTGTACTTCTTTTCCTCCTTGGAACACTTTGAGTAGTCTTTCCAGGGATATCTTTTCAGTGTTTGCATTCTCAGGGAGTTCTACTTCCTTTTCCTCCCTGTCTTCTTTTAATTCTCCTTCCTCATGTATAAAGTTTCCCTCGAGTTCAGGATACTCCTCAACTGGACTCGCATCAGTCAAGGAGGAGGTCTGCATGATTAAATGAAGAGAATATGAAGTCAGGCTGAAGTCTTTCCAGTAGTGGAGACATTGAGAACACACCAATGTTGCCATATACTTTTCATGCAGTGGAATGATGGTGCCTCCCACAACCTAGCCAGAGTATAGATGAGAATGTGTTAGCTGCACTGGAGATCACACCAAGATTCTAGACCAGTTTTGCCTGTAGGTTACAGATGCCTTGTGTGAGGTGTGTCTTAATGTCTTACCTCCATACATGCTTTGGCTTACTACACTGCCAGGTGCTTTCCTCCATAAAGTGGACACTGGAGTGAATTAGTGTAACTGGTGTCAGATTTCTACACATGGATGTCAACTTTTAAAAGGATTTGCTTTGGAAATTGACTGTAGTTGAGAGCTTATGGCAAGTTAATTGCTCAAGCTTGATGGATTACAAGAGCTTCAGAAACATTTGCATACTAGAGGTTAAACACAACTAAACATTCAGAAGGCAAGACAAAAAACAAATTGAACGCAGAAAGTCAGGTGGGATTGTTATGGCTGCTCCTTGAAATGTGGCCAAGAGCCATGAAGTCAGCCACTGGCCCTGTGAGTATGGGAAACAGTACATTATTTCTGGTGTAATTTCTTGTTTATCAAAAGCTTAAAAAATATTCCTGCCTGCTGACCCTGTAACTACAGGCCTAGGAATTGACTCTAAAGAAATATCTGTGTGCAGGAAGACTTTTGTATATGGATGTTTGTTCAGTGTTACTGACAATAAACACAGAAAATCTGCAATCCAAAAGTGGGGAGTGGTGAATAAATTATAGTATATTTCTGTGGTGAAATACTATACTGCCATGAAAATCGTAGTTTAAAAGAATACTTAGTGACATGAGGAGGCACTCATGGAATAAGTGTAAAATGAAAACAACATAAAATAATAAATACACTAGGATCCTCATTTTCTTATCTATAAATGCTTATTAGTCAAAAAAAGAAAGACACAGTAGAGTTAACAATGCTTACTCCCGGTAGGTAGTGAAACAGGTGATGTCTTTTTCACTTAGTTTTGTACTTTCCAAATACTCTACAGATTTGTATTTGTTGTATTTCCTGTGATAAATGTGTATATGTGTGTGTGTGTGTGTGTTTCATGACAAAATAATCGATATTTGATGATTTGCCTTGGAAAAATGGGCAAAAAAATGGGTTTTTAGAATTCTGATAGGCCAGATGTCAGAAAACACCTGAATGCTGATTCGGTTTCCCAAGAAAGGAAAAATGCTAAATTTAGGCTTTAAATAAAAGGAGCATTCCAGTTCTATAAATATTCACTTCAGTAGAAGTATTAGGTGCAAGTTAATTAATCATGCACATTCTTTCCAAATAGTTATAAAAGTCCCATGTATAAAAAGTTTTATGATACAGCAGCGAATTAAGCCTCTGATAGTTGCCAATCCCTTTAGGAGATTTGTAAGGGTCGTGAGCAGTGTAATGAAGACAGGTTTCATTTGCCCTAGCTCTGTGTTTCTATATCCTTCAGTAAATTGTGAATTTAAACTAATGTAAGAGAGAGACAGAGAGAGAGAGAGAGAGAGAGAGAGAGAGAGAATGCTTTGGCAGGTGAAGGTTTTGGAATTAAGTATAAATATCTCTATCTATCTATCATCATCTATCTTCTATCACCCATCTGTTCAACCTTTTCTCTATTTTAAATATAAATAATAGTGAAAGGGAATAGAAGGGAAGGGAGAAGCAATGTGTGGGAAATATCAGAAAGGGAGACAGAACATAAAGACTCCTAACTCTGGGAAACGAACTAGGGGCGGTGGAAGGGGAGGAGGGGGGGGGTGGGGGTGAATGGGTGACGGGCACTGAGGGGGGCACTTGACGGGATGAGCACTGGGTGTTATTCTGTATGTTGGTAAATTGAACACCAATAAAAAATAAATATATTGTAAAAAATAAAAAATAAATAAAAAAAAACCACAATGAAAAAAAAATTGAAATGTTACATTGCAAAAATGTGAAACTAGCCTTTCTCTGTCCACCTAGGAGTCTTGGGGATCATTACACTGGCTGCTTATCAATGATTTCCCAGGGCAACAGAATATTTAGTGTAGTGAAATGTACACAATCAAGATGTAAGACATCTTGCTGAGTGGTGTAGGATAAATGGATTCCTACGCAGACTGAAGCATAAATGCTGCATGGACATGATAAAGATAGAACCTGCGGGTGAGCACATGACTAGTCAGATTAGACAAGCAGGTGATAAGTGATACCTAAATTAAACAGAGAAAGAGCCCTGTCTCACTACAGTATTTCCATAATTAAAGAGGGATTATTTTTTCTGAGACCCAATATAATCATCATGGGACAAATGAATTGTTACCAAAAGGTAATGATTTAAACATTTGAAATTTTAATGAGGAATCCTTATTAATGTTAGAGCATACTTTTGCTATTTTTGCTCTTTTTGTTCTCCATAGGGTTGGGACAGAGTAGATTTAATGGTTCAGTGAGAGGGCAAGAAGAGAGGGGAAGGTGAGATGGGAATCGAAGGAGCCAGATTAGCTTCCTGACCAGACTGTGGAGAGTGCAAGGAGGCTCTCTTCACTAGACATCTCTGAAAGACCACACTTTTGAATGTGGATGAATGAACAAAACAAGCAATGCCAATTCGAAGAAAAGCCAGTACTCCTGAATGAGCAATTACTAGCAGCATCAAAACTCTGTGTGAGTCACATTATCATCTGAGCAGCAGGACAGACTGTGGTGTAGCAAACACCATGTCCCATTCAGTTACTCTTAGAGGCTCAAAGTCTCTCCAAAAATGTGTCCCCAGAATGGTGCCTGGCCATGCATTTCTATCACTCACTCATTCCAGTTCCACATCTCAGAGGTCAGTCCTTGGGACTAATGTGGGCAAAGTATCAAAAGAGTAAGATGGAATGTAAATTTATATGTTTCAAACCCCTGCACCTCAAATGCTCTGCCAAGATGCTTTAACAACTTCTTCAAAACGTGGGAGTCTCAAGCTCACAATTTACTGAATTCCTACACCATAACCCCATACCATTAAGCCAGAATGAACTATTTTTCCAAATGACAGCTTACTTAAAGCTTCACTAGGACTAGTGCATACTCATGAATGCTTCACTCTTGAGCTTCTTTTAAATTACCAAGCAGCCATGGATTTGAACAGGTCTGTGCCACACTGAATATAACAGCATGAGTCACAGAAATGGAGTGAAGGAGGAATGAACTATTGAGGAGCTTTCCAGTTGTTTATGCGGAAAGCAAAAGCAGAGATCTGATTTAATGTCTTGGGAGTGAATGTGGATCCTTTGGAGGTGTTATTTCTGAGCAGGCTCATTCTGGCTTCCTGGGATGAGGTTGCCCAGGAAACTAGAACACAGCAGGAAAGGGCACAGTAACAGAGTAGCATAATTGGAGGCAGGATGGCAAGAACAGGGGCTGAGCAAGAATGAGGGAGGTGGGAGGATCCTGCATCTCAAAAGCTCAAGCTCAGAAAGTTCCCCCAGAGCCAGAACAAGCCTCTGTGTGTGGTCCTTCACAGGCATGCTCTCTGCCCTCTGCCCCTCAGGCTGGTTCTGTCTCTGTGGTGCAGTGGTTAAGGAGCAGTTCCTGTGCAGTGTCCTTGGACTGTAGAGGAGCTCTGGAGAGAAGCACTTCAGGGGTTTGCTTCCCTGGTGGGGCACTAGCTTCTGTCTGTGGGGACAAAGGGGATGCAGAGCCTTCCTGTGCTAACTAGCCTGGCTGTGACTCACCCAGGCAGCTGTCTGCTGCTATTACAATAGTTCTAGCACATGCTTCCTTTTTTTCCTGGACTTTCCAGCTCATTGCAGTCTCCTGGATCAACTATTGCTTCTGCTGGGAATGTCCTCTCTTTTCCTTTTTACATAGAGGAGACAGGATTCCATTCCTCCTCCCTTCTTCCCCATCATGTTTACAAACATTAATTGAGCACTTTCTATGTGGCAGCTACTGTCTGGAACATAAAGATGGGTAGCATGTTGTCCCCAATTCAAGGTAGAAATAACTTAGCGGTAGGATTCAACAGACAGACTGCTGCCTGACTTACTGGCTCTTCTTATTTCCCTCCTTTCTCCCCCTACACTCTGCTCTCGATACTGTGGCCAGAGAGATTTCCATATATTTTAAGTCAGATAGCCATGTTCCAATAACTTCTCATCTCCTTTCTTGGCAGAGTCAAAGCAAAGGTCCTACAGTGGCCCTCAGGGCCCTCTCCCCCTCATGGTTTTTTTTTTTTTTTTTTTTTTTTTTTTTTACTCTCCTCCAGCTCATTCTTCTTCAACTACAATGGCTGGTCTTTGGCATCCACTGCTGTCTTTACACATGATTGCAGTTACCTTGTTCATCTTCCCAGCATTGCAACCCACCTCAACACCTGTATTTTTCCCTATATTCTTTTTTTTTCCTGTAGCATTTATTACCATATCACATAGTCTATGTGTTACCTATTTTATCCCCACATCAAGGGGATACTACACTACACAGAAAAGCTGGATAAATATTTGTTGAATAAATGCATGTATGCATGCAGTAGTACTCAGCCCTCTCAGGGAAGATCTGAATATAAGGGGCCCTCATTGAGAATGCTCAGTGTTGCTCTTGAGTGTCAGGGGGGAGCTTTGTGAATCATCTGGTAGTCGAAAAAGGCCTGGGATACCAGGAAGGCCTTGGACCCTTCAGGATGAGTTGAAGGTACTCCAAGTGGGAGCAATAGCAACAACAAAGATAGGGAAGTGGGAAAGAAGAAAGTGTAGACATTGCTTTTGATCATTAAGACCTTGTGTTAATCTGTCCTTTATACTGTGTTTCTTCCATGTTTGGGACATTTTTCTCCCATTCTTTTTTGCATGGATGGGGGCAATTAGACAGAGTCCCTTGAGGGGTGAAATTTTGGCTTCTTCTGTGTCTCTTGCAGGTCACAGGGCTATGCAGAGGGCATGATTTACAAAATTAATTAATTAATTAACTGATTCACTCAATGAAATTTTTGCTGAACTCTGTATCAGTAATTCGGGTTCAGGGTTGTGGCAGGTTCAGAACAAGACAGATGGCCCCTCCCTGCCCCTAGGGTGCTTAAAGTCTAGAAAAGAAGCTGACCTGAAGAAGTAGTTAGTGTGAAGAGTACTGTGTAAGAAGCACAGAATGCTCTGGAAACATATGGAAGGGGGTGCCTGACATCATCTGAGGTCAGGGAAGCTCTCCTGCATGACAGACATTTGACTGAGACCTCCTGGCAGGCCACAGTCCATGCCAGGGTTGCCTGAGGGAGGCCCAGCCTATAAGGGGAGACAAGAACATCCCTGGGGAAGTGGGAAATGCAGTCCCAGTAAAGGCAGTTCACATCCAACTCCTTATTTACTTGGGAAAACTGAAACTGGCCTTCTGCTGTCTAAGAAGACAGAATTCTTGAGTGAAACCAACAGTCCTTGCTATACTTTCTGTCACTGTGTAAAAATTGAAGTAGCATCTACAGCACGTCGGGCTGAAGAGTCCTGAGTGGTCAGCTTCCTAGGTACCTGTCCAGCCTCACTCTGGCCATGGTGGAAGGGGAAGGGCAACTCTTGTCCATTTGCTCAGGGTCAAAATTCAGGGTTGCATCTAAGAGTCTATTTCTTCCCAGATGTGAAAGCTGTCACAGAAACTTCGCCAAGGGTTTTTTTTTTTTCTTTTCTTTTTTTTTTTTTAATTTTTTTTTAAATTTATTTATGACAGTCACAGAGAGAGAGAGAGAGAGAGAGAGAGAGAGAGAGAGGCAGAGACACAGGCAGAGGGAGAAGCAGGCTCCATGCACCGGGAGCCCGACGTGGGATTCGATTCCGGGTCTCCAGGATCGCGCCCTGGGCCAAAGACAGGCGCCAAACCACTGCGCCACCCAGGGATCCCGTTTTTTTTTATTTTATTTTATTTTTTTTTAAGGCAACCCAGCATACTGTATTTTGAAAGGCACGTATGAAAGGCAAATAAGTGTGGCTGGGACATCTGGAGAGTTTTTACTAGGCAGTATCTCTTTCTCTTCTCTGTCCATAAAAGATGGACAGGGAAAAAGCGTTTCATTACAAGGACCACAACTCTGTCCCCAAAGGGTCAAGGGAATACTAAAAAGTCAAAATGGGCAGCTAATAAGTACATTAGTTAGCACCCTGTTCTTAGGCTTTTCCAACCAAAAAAAAGCTAGGGAATGCCAACCCGTTAGAAATCTAAAGGGGAATGTGAGGTTTTATTAGCTATTAAGCTTCTTCGTCCTTGGATGCAGGAAATACAAGGTACCTGTGGATTTCAGGTGGCTGGGTTTTGGCCTGAAATACTATCAGGTGAACATATATGTGGGATGTTTGAGGCCTGAACTTGTTTCACGTAGAATTTCCACATAGTATGACAGACTGGATTGATACCCACTTCTTTTTCATTTATAAGGATCAGCACTTTACGTAAACTAAAGGCTGTCTTTTACAGAACAAACCTGGATTCCATCAAGAAACTTTGAGCAAATTTTGATTTTATTACAAAGGTATATTTTTGGATAGTGAGTCTCTAGTTCTTAATCCAATTGCGTAAAGCTTTATGAAGACCTACTTTGTGTAAAGTGCTGTGTTAGGCACCCAGAAAAATACAAAGATGAAAAAACCAAGCCTCTGAAGTTATAAGTTTAGGATCCTCTGGCATCCCCCTCCAAACCCCAATGCTAGTCCATTTCTGGAACACGATTACCTTTTCTCCAATAATAGCAATAGTTTCGACTGGTTGGAAGACATGAGTTCCTATGGCCACACTGAGGGCCCTGTAGACCCCTTCCATAGCATCTGGATGGCAAGCAAAATAGAGCAGCATCTGTGTGTAGTCAAGTTGAGGTGGATCCTTCTCATGGTCAGCAAATAGCCTAAAGAAAAACTGCCACACAAAAAGAATTTCAATCAAAGATAAAAGGCTTAAAATGAGTAGTCACTGGATGGACAGGCAATGATGGATCCTTCCAAGAGCTTTGGAATAAGACCACTTTCTGAGGATTGAATCAGTAAACGTAACACATAATGAATGGTATTAACTGAAGAGTATGCTAAGTTAAAAAACAGAATAAGTAAGGCTCACAATTCTAATGTTAAAGAAATTATATGCTAGCATATATAATTATATTATATGCTATATGCTTTGTATCAACAAACTTGTTGATACAAACTTAGAAAAGAATGTGCTAATAAAGGTGGTGGGGACTATATTTTAAGCAGGAAAAGGGAGCTACAGAGCAAGAACCTACCTGTCTATCCTAATCACCACTCTGACAAATTGAGTCTTGACTCCTAAATATAAAGCTTCCACTCTATCTCTGCATGGAGAGCACCTGGGACTTTAGCCATTAAAATCTTTCAACCAAGGTGCCTGGGTGGCTGAGTTGGTTAAGCATATGCCTTCCGCTCAGGTCATGATCCCAGGGTCCTGGGATTGAGCCCTGGGTCTGACTCCCTGCTCAGCCCAGAGACTGCTTCTCCCCCTGCTTGTGCTCTCTCTCTCTCTCTCTAATACATAAATACAATTGTAAAAAAAAAAAAATCTTTCAACTGGCCAACAGTGCTCTGAACTCCATACTCAACCTGTTGGTAATAACGTGACTTTTTCCACCGTGGATTCGCTCAGGAGGAGTGTGCTAACCACTGAATACCAGTGTTTTTGGGTAATTTCTCTCTCACTCTAAATGACTGAGCTGGAAGTCAGCTCTATAATGTAGTGTGCTGTGCATCTGGCGGTAAGAAAAGTTGGTGTGTGGGAACCCAAGATCCCCTGTGGCAAAGCAGCTCAAACCCTGGGACTCACAGGTCACACCTAAGCAGTAAAGCACCTACGTGGCCCTGCTTGAAGAGGACACTGGCTTCCTTATGAGCTCTTCTCAAACATGTACATTTAATGACCTGGAGAATCTTCTTCTAAAATTTAGATTTTGACTAAGTAGATGGCTCTGGAGTGATATAATGTTCTGCACATACAGTAATCTCTTAGATGCTTCTAACACTACCAGTCCTGACCTACACATTGAGGTACAAGTGCCCAAATGCCTAGATCCATAGATACCAAGTGCCTAGGCTATTCTCCATTACCTACAATTCTTACAACTATGAACAAATTTAATTAGATGGTTGGGAGAATAAGTTTCTGATACTTGACAAATCCAATAAAAATTTAAATAAAACTCACGTTGATAGGAAACTGTATAAAATCTGTTATGTTACAAAGCAGGAAGGAGTCTTAGAGGTCAATGGAATCTGGAAGTTCATTCATTTAGTCACTTATATCAAGGTTAACTGAGTTGCAGGTCTGTTACAAGCCAGGCAGAGTTATCCTGAGATGCTTAAAAACACTCTAATGGTAAGGCATCCTTTGGGTTTTTTTCATGATCCAGTTGGTGGGTTCCTTCAGGACTCTGTGTTTTCTTCATCCCCTCTTGCCTCTCAGTTACTTCAGGGATTTCCAGCAGGATTAGGAGTAGAAGGGGGGACTGACACTAACAGATAACCACCGAAGGGTCCCTGAGGGCCTATCTTCCATTTCTTCCACAGGAATTGTTGAACTCTGCTATGATTTCCACTGAATTGCCCTTATAAATGCTCTGCAGATGCAATGCATCATTATTTTCATTAACAAAGCAACTGAATATCCTATCTTGAAAAAATATGTGCAAAATGAAATAAGCTGATATTTGGGCTCTTTCTGTAATTACATGGCCTTGATTTTAAGTCAATGGATAGGACGTTCATAAAAGGTAAGGCTCGCTGTGTTCCTAAGATTATTTAAAATATCATAGTAGGTAGAATTCTAAGAAACTTTCAAAGGTTCCCACTCTCTGGCATATATATCTTGTATCATCTCCTCTCCTTGTGTGTGCATAGGGCTTGTGGCTGTGACGGGAAATCATTCCGGGAGCATCTGGGTGGCTCAGGTGGTTAAGCATCTGCCTTTGGTTCAGGTCATGATCCCAGGGTCCTAGGATCAAGCCTCACCTTGGGCTCCCTGCTCAGCAGGAAGCCTGCTTCTCCCTCTCCCTCTGCTGCTCCCCCTGCTTGTGCTCCCTCTCTCTCTCACTCTCTCTCTAGCAAATAAATAAATAAAATCTTTTTTTAAAAAAAGAAAATCATTCCCATTTAGTAAGTCACCTTATATAACAAAGATAAAGAGATTTTTGCAGATGTAATTAAGGTCCTTAATCAGTTGATTTTGATTTAACCAAAATGAAGCCTACCGTTGGGCCTGACCTAATCAGGTGAGGCCTTAATGGAGAGATTTAAAGCCAGAGAGATGCTTTTCTTCTGGCCATGGAGACTCAAACTGTCCAGCTGTGGAGAGGGCCATGTGGCAGGGAGCAACAGGCAGCCTCTTACGGCTGAAATTCTCAGTCCTACAACTACATGGATCTGAATCCTGCCAATAATCCATCTTGAAAGGCAGTCTCAGAACCAATCTTGGAATTGGCCTTGGATGAAGATTACAATTGCAGTTGATGCCTTGATTTCAGCCTTCTGAGACCCCTAAGCAGAGGACCCATCTAAGCCATGCCTGGATTTCTGATTCGCAGAAACTGTGAGCTAATGAATGGGTATTGGCAAGGACTTATTGAACAAATATAGTCCATACCTAGCTCTGAGAATACATTCACTAAGAAAGAGATAAAGATGCCTGCTCTTGATCTCTGTCTTCTAGAAGGGGAAGACAGACAATGAAGAATACATAAAATAAGTCAGGTAAATTAGGTCGTGATTATGGAAACACATGCAAAAGGCAGATCATGAAAAGAGGAATTAGGAGTGAAGAGTGGGGCAGATTGCACAGCTGAGAAGGTAAAATTTGAACAAAGATTGGAGGGTGTTAGACAGGGAGTATATCCGGGGTGGGAGCGTTACAGGCAGAGGGAATTGCTAAGTCAATGACCTAAGGCAGGGGCATGCCTCACAGGGTTGCTCCGTAAGAAGGCCAGGGTAGCTGCAGCAGAGTGCGCCAGGGCACAGCAGGCGATGAGGGGAGGGAGGAACAGGGTCAAGGCCAGGTTAGCTACTTAAGGATTTGGGCTTTTCCTCTGAGTAAAATGCAGAGCCATGGGAGGATATGAGTGGAGGCTGCTATGATCTGAACCAAGACAAGGAGACGCAGGGAGACCCATCATGTGGCTGTTGCAGTCTTCCAGGGGAGGATGCCTGTGGCTTGTCCCAGTGATGGCCATGGGGCTAGAAGAAGCAGTTTGGTCCTCAGTATATTTTGAGGATAGAACCACCAGGATTTCCTGAGGAATCGAATGTGGGCTTTGAAAAAGAGAGAAGATTTGGGGATGTGTAGTAGGACGTTGGCAACTGGAAGTTCCGAGTTGCCAGTGACTAAGAGGGACATGGCTCTGAGTGAAGATCGGAGCAGTGGGGTAGAGGGGATGGGAGTCCAGGTACTTAGCTTTGGACACAGAGTTTGAAATATCTACTAGAATATTCAAGTGGAGATGTCAAATGGGCAATTGCATGAAGGAGGTTTGCAAGGGAGGCCTGAGGCAGAAATAGGTACTTAGGATCTGTTAACAAACAACTAGTGTATGAAACCTGGCTTCAACAAATATTACCAGTCCAAAGTAATAGAAGGATTTCACAGGAAAGGAAGTTGTGGAGAGATTAAGACAACACTTGTGAATTTGAATATGGCAAAATCAAATTGCCTTGTCAGTTTATATGGCAATCGCTAAGGATTTTTAAATACTGGAGTAGTTGCTCTTGGTATTGAGTGTGTGGGATGCCAGGGCATGACCTGTGGAACCCGGTCAGTCATAATGAAGTATGCCGTTACTGTCAGGGGACATCACTGTGATTGCGACAAGGACATGTCTCAGAGTTCCTTTCTTGGGGGCAACGGGGCCTTTCATCCAGTGCCTGGGACTCTGGGGTCATCCAAGCCCCTGGTCTGTGCTAATGGCTTATGTCCAGGAGCCCCTGCCAGTGTGGGTCAGAGGTGGGCCCTGGTCAGAGAGAGCACAAATGACAAATCAGGGGCTCTGGGTGGGACCTGAGCCTGTAGTTCAGGGCCTCTCCTTAAGAGGGTAAAGAGTCCCTCAGAGGGAAGGGACCTGATCAGCATCCTACAGTGTGACAGACCTGGGGACAGAGCTCAGGGCTCCTGACCCTCAGAATTCCCTTTTCATGGGGCATTCCATCTCCACCCCCATTTGGTCTTTCCTATTCTAATTACAGCCAAAGGGGTAAAGTTGGTTTGTTGTTTTATCTTTTTTCTTTGCACCCCTTTCTTTAGCATGTTACCCATGAACCATTCTTCAACCAAGTACAGTTAGCGTGGCTGGTTTCTGCTTGGCTAACACGTACCCAGGGCTTACTCTGTGCCAATCACTCACTCTGCACAACAACCCTGCCGGAGAGGGATAAAAGTAAACTAAGGCACAGAGGGGTTAGGTAACTTCATCAAGACTTTGAAGCGTACAAGCATTGGAATCTGTGCTTTTAATCCCAGTTTAAGAGCACTGAGACAAAAAAAAAAAAGAGCACTGAGATTTATGTAATCCTGAGCATCCAGTGTCTGAGTCATTAGGGGTGGAAAGTGCCACTCCTTTCCATCCTTCGGACATCAGACTGATGCACACTCACACTCACACACACACGCCAGCCATCCCATCCTTTGCCCGACTGCTTTCTCAGGCTTCATGGTCCTGCCTCTACCGCCAACTTTGGTCTGTTCCTCCAAGCCATTCTCCAGCAGTCTGGGCACCAATAGGTGGCAGCCACTCACTCCCTTGGCACCCAAAGGCCCTTTCCTGCTTCACTGCCTTGCAGTCCTCAGGGTGCCATCTCAGGACACAGTCTGCTGGCATTAGCTGCTGGGTGAGCAACTAAAGGGCTCTACCCTCAGTGAACATTTCTAAAACTTGTGGCTGGAAGGGAAAGTGCTTTGACTTGGCATCATATTCAGACTGCCCATTTCTTCACAGAAGAACCTGTTTACTGCTGGCAGATTTTGGCCTCCTGATGGCTTTACAGGGTTGGTCTCCATCCTCCAGGTTCACATTGAAAACTCCCACCACAACGAAGACAAAAAGCTGCTCCTGCACCTGCCAGTCTTGGGTCTTGGACTCTGGTGACGCCTTGACCCCTTTCTCTTACCTGCTCTCCTGCTAGCTCGGGAGAGGTGCTCAGAAACTATGCATCCAATTGAAGGAAACTGTTCACTTTAAGGCCGTAACTGGAGTCACGTACAATCTCCTATTGCAGTTTTAAACTAATGGCTGGCTGGAAATTGGACCGTTGATACACCTAGTTTGTGAGCTGTCTAAATCCCTATTCAACTTTTCTCATATCCTATTGAATTTGGTTGTGTTAGGTATATTTTTATGTTTTAAACACTTCACTGAAGCCAGAGTACTTTACAATATTAAGGTCCTGCTTTCTTTTGTGGGCTCAGGGATAGAGGTTAGTAATATCATTATTGGTAATAATAATTTTGATAATAATAATCCAGTGGGTCATGGGCAATACTTATGCAACCCTTGGTATGTTTTACAAGTCAATGAAAGTCAAAGAGGAATAAACAAAAACATATACAGTAGTCCCCATTATCTGTGGTTTTGCTTTCTGTGGTTTCAGTTACCCACGGTCCACTGTGGTCCACCTCAGTCCGGAAGCAAATGATCCTCCTCCTCACAAATCATCGGAGGGTCACTAGTGGCCTAACACTACCTCACAACACCTATGTCATTCATCTCAATTCATCTCATCACATGGGCATTTTATCATCTTACATCATCACAGGAAGAGGGTGAGAACAGCACAAAAAATTTTTTTTGAGAGAGAGAGAAAGGGAGAGAGAGACCGTAGTCACATAACTTTCATTGCAGAATTATTTTTACAGTTGTTTTCTTTTAATATTAACTATTACTGCTCGTCTCTCACCGTGCCTAATTTATAAGTTTAACTTATAAAAGCAGTATATATAGGGTTTGGTACTATTCACAATTTCAGGTATACGACTGGGGTCTTGGGATGTATCATACCCAAGGGGGGATTGCTGTGTTGGTAAAATAACAGTTCTTATCCTAAGCTTTTAGAATTGGAAGGACACTCGGGGCAAATATGTCAAGTAACAGCTTACTTTGACAGATGAGAAAAGTGAGACCCGAGGGATTATGAAAATTGTTCAAGATCATACGGAGAGTTAACAATGGGACTCTGTTTAAGAATTTGGTCCCTCCCTCCTCCCCCCAAATTTTTCTGTGCTGCCACCTTATGAACATTAAAGTCTACATTCTAGGGATACAACAAAGGAACTGGGGGCGGGGGTGATGGGATCCAAAACAAATTACACGAGTGGAAGAAAAGACAGAAATTACCAGTGTTATAGTAGTGAATTTTTTAAAGGATCTCAGCAATTACCTCTATAAGATGCTCCTGCCTATTGAACGGCAGAGGTTCAAGAGGATTTTCTGGAATTTTTATATATTCATCTCCTGTAAACCACAGACCAGCCTATACAAAAAATAAAAATGAAAATTATTAAAGTAGCATTCCTCTAAAAGCCACAGGGATTGAACCCATCTTATTCAACACTCTAAGCGTAGTGGTCTCTAAAATATGGGGTCAAAAACCAGGGGAAACAGGAGAAAATACTAGAACTTCCATTTATACATATTTTTGATATCACTTATATAATTTTTATTCTTATATATTTGATAATATAAATAATGTATTAGTGCAGTAGTACACATGCATAATTTATAAATTAAAATCCACATATTGGGGATATTAGCTATATCTTAGCTGTCAGAGCATGTGATGAAGTTTGGAGGTCACTGCCCTGATTTTGCCTGCATGGCAACATTCTGGAGGGGTCTTCACTCATAACACTAGCTCACATTCCACATGTCCTGTTCATGTGACTATCTATTCTCAGAGCCTAGCGTGGTGCCAGAAAAATCTTTGTGAGTGAATGACTGACTCAAAAGCTCAATGGCCTGCTTTTTAATGACATCCCTCTTTCTCAACCCATATGTGATACCAATTATCGAAACCTTCGATTTCTATTTGGCAATGAATCTCCCTTCTCTTCCTTCCCTCTAACCCTACTCCTGCCATCTTGGGGAAGAGCCTCTTTCCTGTCACAGGCTACCCCCGTAAGCTCCAAACTGTTTTCATCTCTAGTCTCCTTCTAATTTGTTTCAGCTTGTACCATGCAACCATATCAATTTCTTCAAGACTTTAATTTGTCATATTCTCTTCTTGGAACCATTTCCTGTTCTTGCTCTTCCATTCACATCAACCCTCCTACCTGGTGACTTCCTGTCTACCCATGTAAACCTGCACATCTCTCTGGGCTCCATTCTGATCACATCACCTTAGAGATGCCTTCCTTGATCTTGCTTCTGAATTCCAGTTTGTTGTGTCTATACCACACAATGGACTTTTAGTCCATTGTGGTGCCACTCATGTTTGCTATTGAGCATCAGGTATAAATTCCTTGGGTTTAAAGAATACATCATGCCAACCTTGATTTTTGTACATGGTAAGCACTTCATGTACATATGCATTTTGTTCCCAGGTTTAGCTCTCTTACCATCTTCCAGAGTGATAACATACTGTCAGCACTGTTGCCAAGAGCCCCTAGTTTGCCTAACCTGACTCTGGCCTATGTTCTATGCTTTCTTTCCTTCTAAGTATCACCTGTGCTTTGAGAGAAGGCTGGAATGGCTTTAGGTAACTTGCAAGGGGATGAAGCTCCCAAAGGTAAGAACTAGAGGTTCTTTCATTTGGAACAAAGGAGATGTTGGCCACATGGAACCCTGTGAGAGAGAAGACTCAGAAGAAACTTAAGATCCAGTATGGGCTCGAGCTTTGAATATGCTTTTGTACTGAAGAGACCCTTGCCCAATAGCTAATCTATGGAAGGTAAGTACTACTCAATGGGAGGATAGAGAGATGAGGAACATAGGTAAGGAGTATGATGGAGCACCAAAGTTCAGAATTACTCTCCTGCTTTAAACAACAAGAAAAATGAACAAGATATCTAAAATTTTTTCTGACATTAGACAATAGGCAACATAAGAGAGAATTTCTTGAACTAAAGGAAGTAACCAAGGAGTCCTTTCAGTGTTTTAGCCTGGAGGGAGTTCCCAGGCTGTAGTGCCAGGAGAGACATCCAAATGGAGCCTGGTGATCTCTCTGAGTTGAGAAGATAGATTTTGTTGTTGAGGGAGGACAAGATGGCTAGAATTTTCAGGACAGAATACTAGTGATATACTGAGAGGGAGAGGAAGCCCAGAGATTCACAGATGGATTTCCGTAAGTCTTGACTCAACAATCTGGTGATGTGTGTTTGTGGAAGATACCATAAGCTGGAGAGAGAACCACAAGAAAGGAGTAAGCTGAACAATTCCTGAGCCTCACATGGGGCTGGGAGGAAGAGTCCATGTCACCACCAGGCAGAGTGGAATGATCTCCTCAAACATAAGCATTGGAGAGAGCCCCCAGGAGATAAATTACCTTAGCAGTGGGAACTGATTAGCCCTCACCTAAAGTTCACACTGGACCCAGCCTTACAAATATTATTGTATCCTTGAAAGGATAAAAGTGATTCCAAGTAGCACCCACTAATATAAGAATCACAACATCTGGCATCCAATATAAAGTTACTAAGTATTCCAAAAAAAGCCATATTACACGCCCATAGAAGAAACAGCAATCAATAACAAGAAACACAAAAATGACACAGATGATAGAATGAATACAGAAAGATATTCCTCAAGCTGTTCTAAATATATTTCATTTGTTCATGGAGATAGGGAAAAAAACATGCACATGAAGAGAGAAATGAAAGATATAAAATAGAAACAACTTGAACTACTAGAGACAAAAAATCAATATCTGAAATGAAAAATACACTGCATGGTATTAATAACAGATTCAGCTTTGCAGAGGAAATGATCAGTGAACTCGAAGACCTAGGAATAGAAATGAATACAAAGTAAAGCAAAGAGAAAAAAAGACAAAAAAAAAATGAACCAAACATCAGTGACCCGTGGCACAGTAAGGACATGACTGGATTTTGAGAAGGGGTGGGTGTGCAGAAAAAGTATTTAGGAAAAAAAAATCCTGAAAAGTTTCCAATCTGACCAGAATGGCAAAACCCATGGAGATTCAAGAGCTCAGTGAACCAAGCAGAAGAAACATGAAGAAAACCACACAAAGAAACACAATAATCAAATTGCTGAAAACCGGGAGCAAAGGGGAAATATTAAAAGAAGCTAGAAGGGAAAAAAAGAAATAGAGATTGGATCCCAATACCTCCTACCATTTCTCAGCCATTGCATAAATGGTATTGCATAAATGAGAACATTGTGTATTTCTCACACAAGAGGGCCACATTAGAAAGGAAAAAAAAAATAACCTGACTGGAAAACAACTTAAGATTTTTAAAAAGTCATCCGTGAAAATTTTAGCAATATGAAATGTTAAATGTAAACCTGGATAGTAGGGTTTAAATTAATAAAGCAAGGTTGTGTCAACCATAACCTGCCTCACTGAATTATTAAGTGATTTTTCCTTAAAAGATGTAAATGTCCCTTGTGCTCTCTTGCTAAAACATGGTCTGCTATAGGAAAAATATTAGGGTTTGAATCTGACGGCCAAGAAAGAATTCTTGAGATGTCTTTGGTGCAAAAAGGTTGTTTTATTAAAGCATGGGGACAGAACCCATGGACAGAAAGAACTGTACTGGGGTCATGAGAAGTGGCCCATCATACGCTTCAAGTTGGGAAGGAGTTAGGGATAGGGTAAGCCTCCCAGGTATTTTGGAAACAAGGCTTCCAGGATCCTGAGGGGGCTAGCTATTGCTGGGAAAGGTGGTTTCTTACTGTTTAGTAAAAACTTGATCATGAAACCCTTCGGATGTTTATGGTCGGTCATGTACTTGGGGGTGATTGCCAACACTGTATCTTGGGGAGTAGAGATAAAGGGAGTTTCCAAAGGAATTTTTATATGTTAAAGTAGACTTACAGCGTCCTGGGCTGACTCATTAAGCCTGTAATCACATGCATTCTCACCGACAGAAGGTGAGCTGAGAGTTTAATATCAAAGAATCCTACATGGAGTGGCTCAGCCTCCTCACACAGTGGAGGTAAGCACGTGACAGCAGCAGGGGGACTAGGGGTAGAGGGCAAACAGGCCCAGGTACACAGCCCTGTCGACTTCACCAACTCTCTCATTCCAGTTTAGAAGCTGGGGCAATCAGCACACTCTTGGGTGACTGTTGTGACCTTGCAATTAGTCAAAAGAAAAGAAAAAAGATAAAATAAAAAGCAGTGCAGAGAGGCCTTCTCTCCCAGAGAACTCCATTTCAGCGATGCGTGCTATGCTCTCTTCCTGTTCTAATATAGCATTTTTAACAAATCTCATAACATTTTGCTCTAGAAATGGTTTTGACTTTTCCCATATAACTTTTTCTCTTCTTTCTTCTTTCTTTCTTTCCTTCTTTCTTTCTTTCTTTCTTTCTTTCTTTCTTTCTTTCTTTCTTTCTCTCTCTTTCTCTCTTTTCTTTTTTTTCTTTTTTTTTTTTTTCGGTTTTGTTTCTGGTGTGTGTGTGTGAGCTGGCAAGTGTTGGAAATCTGTGAAAGTCATGTGGGATGACCAACTGCGCCTTTCCAAATGGCCTCCTTCTCCTGGGGCTCCTGTGGACGAGGAATTGGGTGGGTGGGGAAGAGTGCTGAGTTCAGAAATCGGAAATCTACTGCTCCCCAAACACAGGAGGTGTTCAAATAAGTACTTCTGTGTTTCTTTTAAATGCAGTGACCAACTTTCTCTAAGAAATTTACACTTTTGGTAAAGGAGCTTTCTGGTTTTGGCTCAGCATTTTGGTAAAAATTGCCAACATCCTTTGTTTGTCTCATGTTTTGTACAAAAGGATGTTTAAATTGATAGCCTGGAGTAATTGGCACATACTGTAGTGAAGGTTGGTAATTTCGCAAGTGCTCACTTTTAAAATCTTTCAGTGATGAAACCAGAGTGAGTTTTGCTCTGTTTTTGTTTTTAGACAAAATCGTTTTCACAAGTTTTAAGTCGAGATCAGTGATAGTATCCATAAATCGTTCTACTAGGGAAGCAAATATATCAAAGCCCAATCAGCCAAGCACCTGCTTTGACCAGCCTTGAAGGAACCTTCTTCTATTCAAGTGTTATTTCCTCTGGCTGAACAGCACAAGCATGGGAACATCGGGGCTGTCTATAAGCATACCATCCATTAAGGACAAAAAGAGAAGCAGGAAGGGATGTGCTCTTTCAATATTGAAATATGCATGAGACACAGGCACTTAAAGAGTATTACCCTATTTCAAAATTAGAACCTTATAATTGCTTCCATCTTTTGTGTTTACCAGCAATGTGAAATGATGAGCAATAAGATGATTTCAATTAGTAGACACAAAATTAAGTAATTCAGTCCCCCTTAGTTATGGGGTTTCATTCTCCTTCCCTACCCAAACTTCTAAAAACTGAATTGACTTTGATCTTCACTTCCTAGAGATCTATTCATGTAATCAATCCTATGCAATCTGGATTCTGTACCCTACCAACATTGCTCTGGAAAAGGTCACCTGTTATATATCCTTCCTGCCCAGTCCAGTGACCAGGTACCATGGCACTGAGTTATTCATCACTTTCGACACTTCCTTTGGGTATCTCGCCCCTTCCTAAATTTAACCACTGCCTACATGATAGTGACTTGCAATCTGTTCTGCATCTGCTGTATCAGATTGGACGTTTCTGTCTGCACTTCTCGCAGACATTTCAAACTTAACTTGTCAAAAACTATCTCATCATTCACCATGATCATGACCAAATGGAGAAAAAACCCAAAAAACCCAAAAAACAAAAAACAAACCTTCCCCTCTCCCTGTGTTCATTTCCCTGGGTAGTACTACTGTTACTACTCCCAGAGTATTGGGTATTGGACACTAGATGTATTAAAAGCTCTGAAGGTGATTCTAATTTTTGGCCATGGTTTAGAACCATTGTGTAGGAGCTAGGAAAAGGACAATGAAGCTGATGCGACTTCTTTCAGAACTCTTAGTTCTCCTAGCAGCTCTGACTTTTTCCAGATCCTTTCCCCTGGAGGTGGAAGCTAGACTTCCACCTGGCACTTGGACAGTGGCTGCACTGCCTCTGGGTGCCCAGACATGGACAGCCGAAGGGAAGAACACTGGCCCAAGACCTGGCAATGTGACATCAGTGGGCTATATGTTTCTTAGGCTAAAAGTACTCCAGTATTATTAGTGCCACCAGACCCTGGTAGCAACCTGCATATACTGCTCAAAAGTGATGGTGCCCAACTGCTCTTCATCCACCGCTTTGAACCTCTGCAGGGTTTCGAGGAGCTCTTCCTCCATGGGGATGGGCCAAGGCATCGAGATTACTAATAGGAATTTCCGCCAGTCCACAAACTCCGAATTTACTATTAATAAAGATGTTAACTCCTGCAACTAGAAGAAAACAGGAAATGCCGTTGGAATATTTGTATGACTCTACCTTGAAACTCTATCAGTTCATGTTTTTTATGAGACATTCAGATGAAGGAAGGAGGAGTTTATATTGGTGAATAGATTGAGTCAGTTCTCAGGCTTATTCCCTCCGGTTCTACTAATCAATCCACATCAGATACTTAGATACTTTTACTTTTTTGCTTCCTTGACATTTGGGTTTTTTGCTTACTGTTATACAATGAATTTACACATGTGACTCCAGTGACTCTGTACCTTTTCAACAGAGGGAAGATAAAGATTCTAGATGTGACTGTGCAAGGGCTCCACAGCCTGTAAGGAAAACTATAACCATTTTGTTTTCTGGTACATTTTTAAGGAACAGATTACATTGAAAAGCAAGAATGCCAGAATAATCTACTGTTACTAGTCAGGATCATTCCCTCTGTTAGTAACAGATACAAGCTCACAGACTGAGCCTCCTGGGCTCCATGATGTTTCATTGACTGTCGGTGGCATCATTCATTCATTCAATGCTGGGCACGTGCATAGTGCATCTTACATTCAAGTTCGTTTGCTCTTCATTCAAATTTTATTGATTGCCTCCTAAAATGTCAGATACTGCAAGTACTGATGATTTAAAACTATTGTCTTAATTCAAATAAGAATTCTGAGTTTTGAAACCCAAACAAAATGGAAGCTTACTTCTGGTTGCGTGAGGTGCATCCAACTACTAGGTAAGCTGTTTGTTCCAAGGTTCAGGGTTACCAGATCCAGCAGAATGTCAGTAAATGCTTTATGTCCTATTATGCCTAGAGCATAATGAAAAATATTTTTTTAATTATGTTATGTGACACAGCTTTTTTTTCTTTTGCTAAAGCAGAACAAAAATAGGTATTTGTATAATCACTTTATTCATGTTATATAAAACTATAATCCTTAGCAACAGAAGACATTTGAAAATATAAAAATACTAATCAGTTTCCTGATGTGCTCTCATTGTTTCAGCTAAGTTGTAATGTGTTTTTCAGCTGGGTAATAAATCACTTCGGATTGGGCAAAAACACTGAGAATTTATACTTGAATTTTGAATCTTCCCTTGACTTTTTGCTCAGAGTAGAATTAGTAAAATAAAAAAAAAACCTCTTAAATATTCCTATATACAGTATGGTATAAGAATAAACTACTTTGGTGAGTATGGGATAAAAGTGTTTCAAATGCATACAAATCACCACTGTAATCACGATAACATATTTATTCTCATTTTGCACTTAGTTCAGCAGAGATTTGTTTTTGTAAATGTGCGGAGACTTGAATTGTTAGCCCACTGGACTGGAAGTGACAATTTAATTATCCAACTGCCTCTATATTTTATCCTGTACAAAAGAAAGTCTATTTTGTCTGTCTCTCATTTCAAATTGCATGAACATGCATTAAAAAGAAATAGGAAAAAAATAGGAAAACAAAAATAAATGAATCTGCTTAAAAAATGTCTGTCTACCCCTCTGACAGAAGTACCTTCTAGAGTCAGGAGAGACTCCTACGTGTATTCGGTCTTTCAGGTCCAGAGTATAGAGCTATTCTTCCTTATTTAGAGATAAAAAGAGTAGAAATAGAAACATAGATGTAGCATCTCAAATTCTTCTTTTTACATCTGAATTTTTAGCATTTATGAAAGTCCCATGTGAACCTTAACATTTCTTCTAACCTTTAAGAAAATGCATGAATCCTTTTTAAATGTCAGTGGTTTTCAAGCACCATGCAAATACACAATTTTGAGTTTTGGAAATTATTTTTTTTGGGTGGCAAGAGCAGAATCTTTCTTTCTTTGATATGACTGGCCATCCAACAGGTCATTCAGAAATAAATTCTCTATCCTTTTTGATCAAACCCATGTATCCAATTTTAAAGAGATGAGAAACATTTTCCCAGGTAGTATTCAATAAAATGAGCTTTATTTTCAGGAAAAACCACATTGTCTTTAGACAAGTTAGAAATAATCCCTCATGTTCTTCAAGATGAAACCATAAATAAATTCTCTTTTATGAAACCATGAGGAGGCTCTAAGTATTTAAAAATTATGTACTATATAGTTCCACTTTCTTTAATAGCTGTGGTGCAAGCAAAGTGTTGTAAGACAATACTTCCAGCTTACACAGTAATTATTTATGTGGCGACCCTAGTGTGAAATGTGAAAAGTATTTTAATATATGATCTTGACATTGCCAAGGCATATGGTGATATGACCTTCACATAAAATGTGATAACATAGACAGATAAACTTAGAAATTTTATTCATGGATCTAAACAAACAAGCAAATGAACCTCTTTTTCGGTTTGGCCCAAGTTAGTTATCTAATGCAGCTGTCATTTAGAACTATGGGAAGGTTCTAGGCCAAAGGGAATTCAGACCATAGTCATAGTCTAGTCACCCTTAGCAATAACTCTGCAAAAGATGACATCAAAATAACACATTGCATCCAAAGAACGTGAAGGAATGTGTGGATATAGAAGTAGACTTAGAAAGGTACAGGAAGGGATGCCTAGTGGCTCAGTTAAGAGGCCAATTCTTGATTTCAGCTCAAGTCATGATCTTGGCATCCTGGAATCTTCCCTCAGCGGGGAGTCTGTGTTAGAATTCTCTCTCTCCCTCTGCTCCCCCCACCTTGCTCCCTCATGCACACACCCTCTCTCTAAAATAAATACATCTCTTTTTTTTTTAAAGGAAAGTACAGAAAATTTTCACTTTGATAAGATGCCAAATGCCTTTCGTGTTTGATGTGAAGAGTGGTTACTATTTTACTTCTAAATTTCAGATTACAAAGAATTTGTTTTTGCTTTGATCAGTGACGAAGTCAACATTTGTCATATTACGAATCGCTTTCATCATGGCTTTCGGAGTTTGACGAATAAGCAGACTTAGGTCTTGTGTCATCAGCTGCAGATGGTATTCTTGTGTTCCATAAATGGATAGCTTTCCGAGGGTCAAAGTTATTAATGTCTGGAGAATTCAACTGAATTACAAGGAGATCCGTCATACTTTCGGCCTTGATTTTGGCACGCATTTGTGACTTGGTGAGTTTCATCTGACTAAAGCCACGTTCTGCCTCCGCGGAACTTGCAGGGAGGGTCAGCACGAGGTCCACTAACGTCAAGATATTTGGATACTTGTGTAAGTAAACAGAATTCACAAAATCCCAGGTCAATTTGCGGATGTTCTGAAATCTAGCGGGGAAGAATGAAAAATATAAATTATTGAGTCTCCCAAGTGCCATTCAAACATTTGTAAATACCAACCATGCTTACCTAGCATAAATCTCTAATTTCAACATGCTCCATTCAGCGTCCACTTCGTCGATTTCCACGTTGGCAGCTTCCAGTACTGGTTCATAATGGGCAATCAGGATGGATACCTCTTTTTCTCCAAATTCTGCCATCGATATACAAGAGAAAGAGTCACATATAAGAAAGAAACCTACAGACAGCCAAAGTATAAAAGGTTTGGGGTTAGTGCATACAGGGTACCTTGATTTATCTTCGCAGGCCACAGTTTAAAGCTTCCAATCATGGTAGCCTTCAGCACATCTTGGCTGGCATCTCTGAAGCAACCTTGCAGCCTCTTGATAAGATGTGTTAAGACTACTCTTCTCGCATCAGAAATGTCTCCCTTTCCTCCCAGGCAGTTGCCATGAAAGTGCGTGACCGAATCCACCCAACGTTCCTTTGGTCCTGGTCTGGGGAGGAGAAAAAAAATTCCCCAAATAAACAATTAAATGAAAAAGCACCTGGCAAATAATGTCCCCAGTCATGCTGTCTAGTTTGACAGACCCTCAGACCATTCCCCAACTCCTCACCTTGTTTGATATATTCTGAGCATTTCCAGTGTTGATTCTAATGTGGCAAATACGTCAGCAATGGAAGAATTTCTGTTTTGATTGACACGGGAAAGAATGCTAAGGACATTAATGACATCCACTAAGAAGTGGATGAATTTAACAATGTTTGCTTGGAGAAGGAACCCCAGGAGTTCCTTGGCTTTCTGATGACTGGTGTCACTCCTGCCTTCATCTCCCTGTAACACAGATCAGGAATAAAATACTGGTTTGTCTTTCTCAGAGTTATGATTTCAAATTGCTCAATAAAAATATTCTCTGTCACTCTGGAAAGCTAACACAGCGTGGTATTTCAAAATTACTTACCGAATGCAGTTGCTGGACTATTGCAGGATATCCCTTGAGAAAGTTCTGGAGAGCTGCCTGTAGTTCCTGAAGCCACCTCCTGCCCCCTACTTGAGAAGGCATCACAGGTCGAAGGTGAAGGCCTTTGAAAGCAGTTACCAGAGAACTCCTGTGCAGAGGGGAACTGTGGTAGAAGTGGTAGATGCTGTGAAGAAGATTTCTGACGTCGTTGTACAGGGGAACGCTTTGGAACACCGCCTGGTAAGACAGTTCAAGATGGTGTGCAAAGCAGTATACAGTCAGAGCACATGGCTGGATTTCTCTTAAAAGCAGGGCCACCCTGCTGTTTTCTCTCCCTGAGCCAAGGGCACCATCACTTCCAAAACCAACCAGTTTCTTGGCCCAGTCTTGGTCTGATAGCTTAAGTTGAAGATTTCTCTCTAGAGTTCTTTCAATGGCATCTCTTATTGCCAAAGGATCCTCCCTTTCTACTGTCTGTACCCCAGCAATTTGGCAATGCACTTTTCCCGCGTGTGCAAACTGCACGTAGACAAGTTCAGCCGCCTCGGTTGAACTGTCTGTGATTCCGTCACTGAGGACAGAGAAAAATTTACTTTGTTCTAGTTTCTCCCTAAGATTTTTCCGTTCCACTTCAGCAATAAAATATGTAAAGGTTCTTGCTGATTTGTTAGTTCTGAATACGGGGCCGATATCGACCCCCTTCATATCATCCAACTTGCACATCCAGATAAAGTCTTTGAGAGGACGTCCCGTCTTGGCGATAGCATGGCATGATCTGAATAAGTTCTCTACTCTCCCGAGGGTGACTTTGCTCATGGTTGTCACCATGAGCTCTGTGGTGGCGACATTCACTGGAGAACCGTTTGTTGCTTCCATTAGTGAAGCCTTGGCATGAGCCTCACTGAGATGATGTGCATTGAGAAATTCGGTCCTAAAGTTGTCAGTGCCATAAAAAAAACTCACTTGATTTCCCTTTGACTTCACTCCGTGTTTACGACACAGGCCACAGAACATAAGATTTAACATCTCATCATATATAAGCCAAGGGTATTTTTTCAGCCAGATTTTCAAAAATTGATCGTTCCTTTTTGGAAGGTAATGGTCAAGCTTCTGCAGCCTTTTCTGCTTTTCAGTGACTCGGTTCATGTCACCTGGAGGATCCCTGCCTTTAAAATAACTCCACGTTGTTATTTTCAGCAACCCTCAATGTCTACCTTCAGTTTTGCTTATCTCTGACCCCAAAACTTGCTCACTATTTCTGGGGAAAACTACAGTGAGTGCTTACAAGTAGTATGTCAGGCATTCTTGTTAGTGCTTTAAGTGGCTTATACCACTTAATCCTCATAATCCATCATCTCCATTTTATAGGTAAGAAAATGTACCAATTACTTGTCATTTTTATGGATAAAAAAAAAAGGGTACAAAGAGATTGATTAATTTGTCTGTTGTCCTGGTGCTGGTGAGTGGTGGAGTACTGGATCACTAGCAGGCAATCCTACTCTACAGCCCGCATGCTTACTCACTTCACTATCACAGATTTCTCATAAGGGCAAAGGCTGCTACGCTCTCCTTCACTCTAGAATCTTGTTCTCTACGCATAAGAGAGACATTGCTTTTTGCTGACATTTGCTTCCTGTAGTGAGAAGAAAGAGGAACAGGACAAACAAGGCGGCATGTCTACAAGATTCACCTTGGCCATCTCTTCCCTCCCACCTCAGTCCATCCTCACTGGCAGTACTAGAGCCAGCCTGTTCATTTACAGAAAGGGCTTCAGGCTTTGAGACCTGTCCCAGGTGGTTTTAAGGAGCCGTGCCTCATGCCTCATCTTTTTCTTTTCCCCAAAGATCTAATATCTGAAACATACTTGTTGGAGACTGGAATATATATATTTATCTGGACCTAAGGACAAAAAATTTAAGTTACACAAAGCAATGTCCTAAAATACAGGTTCTCTCTAAAGGCAGGCAGCCTAGGCCACCCATTTATTTCCCTCCCGTGACTTCAGTAACCCTACCGATCATTAGATTATTTTGTCCTATTTTATAGGTTATTTTATAGGAAAGTGGAATATGTGTTTGTGTGATATTGTACTAAATTACCTCATGTCGACATACAAGCTCAGCATTTCATTTCGTTTCACTGCTTTCCTGTCCTAGGCTGACTGACAGCTAGATTTTAAACTCTTCTGACAGAACCACACTTCTTTCCTTTGTGCTCTATCATGCCTAGGTGAGCGCGAAGCACTTGGCAGATGTCTAGGAAAATAAACATCCCTAACTGATTTTCATGATCACATATCTCTTAACGTCTTTTACTTGGAAGCCTTCAACTTTAGTCAACCTGCTGCTGCCTTCTTCCCCGATTTGCACCTAACTTCTATTTTGCCTTTTAATCATTTTCTTTCTTTTTTTTTTTTGCAGTTGTTACTGTTAAAACACATCCCTGTTTTCTCCACCCCCCACCAGATCCTAAATATTAACTGTTGTCATTTTCCTAGATCCTAACTATGAACTGTGTCCTGAAGTGAGCCCCCTTGTGGTTAATACGTCCGGCCTTCATTCTAGACCCTACTTGGGTTATCAAGTCTCCCACGCTAGACCTTGGGTCCCAAGCTGGTGCATGCTCCACGCACATCCGTGCTGGTGAACCCAGGAATGAATACGTGAGACAAGAGGTCTCTTGTTACTGAAGGGAAGGACTTTAACTTTCACTACTGATTTGGCTAGCTTTTACATTTGTAGTTTTATGAGCAGATTTTCCAGGTGTTAACTTGATTCTGAGCACATACTTCTCATTTGCCTCATGTAAATTCTCTGGCTTCATGAGAATGTGGTTCCTCCTGAAGAAGTAGCTGAAACTCTGCCCACAAATGGTTTTAACAGGTCCAAAGGCTTCTAGATTTACTACTGCATTTCCGTGATCTGAATCTATGTAGCGGAAGGAGTTCACCCACCGAGAGAACCACAAACATACAGGGGCCTTACTCCTTTTTTGCATAATCCCTAGATTTTGTCACCTGGAGAGGTATTTCTGTTAATAACGTCAATCCTTCCCTAGGGTACCTTTTGTAAGAAATCCTTCTGTATTTTTTGATTTGTGTAAACTCAGACTAATTTAAGCAGGTTTCAGATTACATGGGGCTTACCTTCCTGCAAATATATAGAGTATCCTATTTCTACAATTTTCTCAGAGACACTAGCTTAGAAAGATCCACTGAACTTTCTAATGATCCCCCCACCCCACCCTCCATGCCCTTAAATCCTGTCTTCCTGTTGGCCAAGGCTCTGTAGAGACACAGAGCAGCATCTGCTGAGTTCTCAGACAGTCTCTTCCTCCCTGTAATCCACTCACCACATCATCTGGCTCTAAAGGCCTTTGATAATCCTTTCCTGTGTGTCCTTTGCAAGCCACTGTGAGATTTGACAATCTGCCCACAAAGCCTTTGTGGTCCTCACCTCCTGCCTCCTGCCCCAATTGGTCTGTTGGCTGTTCCTTGAATATGTCATGCAACTTCAAAAATGTCAATGTCTACTCTCTTTTCCCCTTTGTATGCTTTCCCTTGCTTTTCTTCCTGGAAGCTTCCTTTAACAATTCTCCTCTGGGTTAACCCCTATTCTGACCTGCACAGGCAGCAGTAACTACTTCCTCCTTTGAATTCTTGTAAAAACCATGTAGCCGAATGATCTAGCTTAGCCACCACAGACAAGAGTTCTGTTTGTGCCTTATGTCTCTGAGGCCAATCATTGAACCTAAGGGTCTCTAAAAAAGAGCCTCTCAAAGGAGGTCCCCTTCCCAGTTTTTATTTTATTTTATTTTTAAAAATTTTTTTTTGTTTTATTTATTTATGATAGGCACACAGTGAGAGAGAGAGAGAGGCAGAGACACAGGCAGAGGGAGAAGCAGGCTCCATACACCGGGAGCCCGACGTGGGATTCGATCCCGGGTCTCCAGGATCATGCCTGGGCCAAAGGCAGGCGTTAAACCGCTGCACCACCCAGGGATCCCCCCTTCCCAGTTTTTAGAACAGTATCATAACCTTGGACAACTACAAGCTGCCTCTCTTGAAGAAGTGATGCGGATGTGGAATTTGCTGGGCTGTGTTCTCTCTGCAGAGCCACTCAAGCAGAAGCCAAAATAGCCATGAACCAAATATCTACAGGCATTACGTGGAATACTGATGGGTTTACAAAGAAAAGGAGTTCTTTTGGTTTAAGTGGGGCCTGAGGAACATTGCTAAAGTGTTCTGGTTTCAACAGACTCCAAATAGCTTCCATTGGAAAAAGACTGTCTTCCTGATGTGCTTGGCACTTGATGTTTAGAGACAAGATGTTCCTACCCAGAGCTTAATGCAGTACACAAAATGAGTGTTTTTGTTTGAGATGTTTATGGTCCCCTTGGGGAGCCACATACCTTATGGTTTAATTCTATCAGGTGGTGTAATTTTTTTTTTTCTGGAAATGTTCCAGAGTAATGCTCTAGATGCCTGTTGTGGTATGTGTAACTTCAGCATATGGAGCTAACATTTTAGGTAATAATTGGAATAGTTTGATTCACTATTGTATTGTATAATGTTACATGTTATGTAATAATAAATATTATTTACATATATACAAATATTACTTTATAATATTATATATAATAATATATTACTATAATAATATAATTAAATGACAATGGCTTATATTACATTTAAATTACACATTTTATGTGCCAGACTCTAAATATTTTACTTATATTAATTACTTTAATGCTTATAGCAACTCCATTGAAATATCCGATTTTCCAGAGGAGGAAGTTGAGAAGAGAGAGGCTAAATAACTTACCCAAGATCATATACAATCATTTGACAAAAGGTAGATTTGAAAAGAGCTGTCTGACCCTTCTCAACCATAGCGGCATCTTTTTACTCAGCCAGCCATGTGTAAGAAGTGAATCAACATGGAAATGCTAGCATGGGGCCTGACACCATGCCAATATTGGCTGTTGTTATAATTCAGAGGACGTTCACTAAATTTCACCCTGTGCTGGAAGTACGCTCATGGAAATGATTCCTGGGACAGTCAATAAAAGAATGTCTTGTCTATTCACTGGCTTTCTCTTACTTAAGCTGCTCCTGAGATTCTAGAGTATGGATCTTTGCTGGGTAGCATGGAAAATGCCAGCATGACAAATTGTTTCATTGCATTTTGTACGATCTTGTTGGATTATCATGCATACAGTCATTTTTCCTTTCTGGCATGTTTGTGATGATCATATCAACAGATGGTATTTTATTTCTCATGACTGCCTTTACCAAAGGAGATTTAAAATCATCACAAGTGGCAGATTTTGACCACGAGAGGAGTGTTGAATATATAAGCATTGCAGTATACGATGCATTTTCAATTTTCCATTATCTTTAGTAAGGACTATTTTATTTTTGTTTTTTTATTTTTATTTTTTTTAGTAAGGACTATTTTAATGAAGACTTCTATTTTTCAAGTAGAGTAGCTAATACTCAGCAAAAAACTCCATAAGCCTTGGTTCTTTCTGTTTACATCCTGATACTAGTTACTCACAAGTATTTAAAGCCACTTGTTTTACTTAAGGATTTTCAATTTCCATCAATAATTTTATTTATGCAACATAATTAAAAGTTACCAAAGTGAAACTTCATGACATCACCATTCCTTATAAATGTGCTAAAACATCCTCTGGTAGGCCTGGTCATATAATGACGATGTGTAAATATGTATGCTTTTCTCCTAGAGAAACATCCATCTGTTCATCATATTTTACCATATTTTAGTGAGCTTCAAAGTTACATCTTAGATACCATAGGTTACATTGGCATTTATGAAATAGTTTAAGGAAATGCTCATATTTCTTGGCTTAAAAATAACAGCAATTTTCAAGTTCAAGGAAGAAGTTCTGTAGGATCACACATTCAGAAATGTGCCACTTTCAGCCAGTTGCTCCATACTTTGAAAACTGATCACTTCAACTAAGATTGTCTTTTGAAATTGTAGAGTTCTAAGGTAAACACAGTGGAAGGTATCATAAAAGACTGTTTTCTAGTTCTCGGAAGGAATATGACAAAAGACTTCACTTAAAAGATGGATGGCTGTATATTATTTAAGGCAGTGGACAACAATCACAGAGCTGAGGAAGAAAGACAAAGGATCTTTTGGGGGCTAAGGGAGTTGGTGAGAAAGGGTGAGCAGTAACTACTGGACTTCCTTAGGGAGGGTCAGTGTCACCATTTGCAGCCTGACTTCTAAGAAGTCATCACAGATCTGTGACTCTGGGATGCAGAAAACGGAATGATCATTATTTTGCCTTCCTTTATAACATTAGCAAGACTAATTACAATGAATATTACTTTTAATGATAGACTACCTGATACTGTGCTAAAGTCTTACATGTACTTGAAAAGCAATGAATATGTGTGTATGTGCATTCAAATAGCAAAATTGAGCAAATAATAAAGAATGTAAACTGATGTATTGAACCAGTAAGACTTCCAAATCTCACAGTATTGTATAGCCTTGTAACTTGTGCAGTAATTACAATGGTTATTCTTAAATCTGGGTGGATTCTCCAGCTTGGGTGGCTGGTGGTGTTTCCTCAGACAGAAAAGCCTTCCCCATCTGTTTGCCTGCTGTTCGTGCAGTTGGGGAAGGAGAAGCAAAACAGTCTCCTGACCTTTCCCTGAACATTCACACCCATGCCTCTTATTTGCATGTTGGCTAGTGGCTGTTCCTCTAACTTTAGATATCCTCTGTATCCCTGACCTACTTTCACTGGGCACTGATCCTCTCTTGCTTTGCATTTTTACACACTTTTATAAAGTTCATATTCTGTTCCAGAAAGAAACTCAATAGAAGTTTATATTTTCTTCTTCCATGCTTGCCTTTTCAAATTACATTCTAAGTCCCTGGGGCAAGTGGTTTTCCTTTTACATTTACATTTAAAATATATATATATATATATTTAAATTATATAAAATTATTATATATTTAAAATTATATATATATATTTATATATAATATATATATATAACTATTTCTCCTCTCTCTTTTCCTTTCTTCCTCCTTCCTTCCTCTTTCTACCATACTTTGAAAGCTGTTGCATTCATTCTACTGTATTTATAAAACAGATAAATGTATCAGTTGACATATTTTAGTCCCAAAGGCTTCTAGAGTTAATCTTCTAAGACATGCACATGCCAACTTATAGCTGCTGTTTGTTGTTTTTAAACATTTAGTTTAAGTGCAGGCTCTGGTTTTGAGGTTGGATCCAGGAATGTATTGTGGTTATCATCATAAATACTAAGGTCTCTTTTAAAAGGGATTATGAGTGGCTGACAATTTTCAAAATCCTCTTCCACCTCCTGAAATGTCCCCAAATGCTTTTAGTTTTGACCTGCTAATTGGATGATTTCCATCCCATCACCCTAATGTAGGATTAAATCAAATAGTATGTCATATTCAGGGTCTTTATACATGTATCTTTGTATTTTATATAAAAAATAGTGTAGATAAAATGAAGGGCAAAAGCAACCTTTGAGAAGGGAATATGTAATAAGAGGACCTTGTGAAACCCACACGGTGGGGAAGAGAATGGAATCTGCTTGACCAAATGATGGAAGAGATTTTGTGGACTCAGCTTTATAAAACTGAGATTGTTTGGTACCTGCCAATGGCCACATTTCCTTCCTGCCCAAACACTGCCAACCAGTGTTGGTGTCCATCCACAGTTGTCATGTGTGCCTTTATATATTCGAGGTGGAGACCCACTCAAGCTGATTAGATGAGCTGATGTGTGCCAGGATAGAGGGTCACCCAGGTGTACAAGATTTCACCTGTTTCACCCACTGGGCTTAGCAAAGAAGTGTTCAGATTTAGAGTAAAGGAATGCCCTTTGACTAATGAGTTTTGATGTAGGTTTCCAGAAATAAAGAACTTTTAAAAAACAAATGAAATATAATCACTATGAAAGTAGAAGTGTGTTAGGGCTAGACTAAAGTCAGTTGGCTATTCTCTAAGGAAAAAGTAATGATTTTCCAATAGGTGGATGTTGGAAGATAAAATAAACTTGTTTCTGAGAGGTGACTTAGTTCAATGAGAAGAGGCAAGAGCTTTGAATCCGAAGAGGCCTGGATGACATATGACCATATGTAAAAACTCAGTGTCCAGCCCAGTAAAATGGAGATGAGATGCTAGACCTACATGATCTGTCTGAATTACTTGTGCTGTCAACTGATGGAATTCATTGAAGAATATCTGGAAGTCCAAAGAGACTGAATTTTTTAAAAAAAGCCCATGCACATACTATAGAGCCATAATGATAGCATGTGAAGGAAATAAAGTGTCATAGGCATAAAATTCTATGTATACATACATGTGAACACATTACTCAATTAGGTAAATATTTTGGTGACAGCTTATCTGGTTCTGTTCTTAGTTTATGAAGCACTGAGAGAAAAGGGAAGTTCTCTACCCTGTTCTCCCTCCCCAGACTAGTGGGGGAGACAGAAACGCAAACTCATGATCCCAATCCAAACCCTCGACTGGACATATGTGCAGAGGCTGTCTCTCTCAGCTGCCATAGTCAGACTCAAGTTTACCAGCTTTCTAGCCAGGGCAGGGTTGGGCCAGAGAGGAGAATTGCCAGGAAGGAGGATCACCACCCTGCTGAAGTATTAGTCACTATCTTCCTCCTGTTTGTTTCATTCATATCTATGTTGCATAAAGCAAACATGTGGCAAACTGGAACACAGTGTGGGCATCTTTTTGGTGACACGTGATCCCAGAGGGCTGATGTTATTTGTGAACAGGTAACTGCTACCTAGATTAGTCTTAACTTTTTCTGTGGTTTTTCCATGGTAATTATTTTTCCTACCTTTGGGTGCAATATCTAAGAACTGATCTTTAAGACTGTCAAGCTGTTCGATGGTCAGGGTGCCATTTTCTTCCTTTTCCACAGGTGGGGGGCGCACTGGGGGAGGGGGATCTGGAAAGACTTTCAAATCTCCATTAATGAAGAAATCTTCTTGGTCTAGGTAAAGTTCATTCTGAATTTTGGTCGATGTTTCAATGTGATAACGGGCCACCTCAGTTAATTTTTCCACACTGAAAATGAAAAAATGAATAGCGTTATCCCCACTAAATACTACTGGGTTATCAGTGCTTAGGAGACAGATACACAAAGTCTACACACCGTATAGCTAAGGAAGACAATTCAACCTGCATGTTTACAAATTCCAGCTCTCTTCAAATCCACTTTTTGAAAAGGTGGAATAATAAATGCAGATTGGAAATAAAATATATGCTCATTATAGAGCTCACAGTCACATATTTTATACAAAGTGAAACAAGGGACTTCATCAAATATGGTTTTATTAACATTAGAACATATTTTTACTGTATAAGCAAGATGATGTCAAGAGATATATTTCATTCTAAGTATGTACCAAAATATAGTTACTCATTCTAAGTATGCAAAATAAGTATGCAGAAAAACCTGTAAAATATAACTGTTAGAATGACACATTTACTTGGAATCAGGAAAAATTGTAAAGTTAATCAAATTTGATTATGGATTTCTAGAAGAGTGGCTTTTCTCTAACTTTGTATCAGGGAGTTTGAAGTTATTTAAGAAACGATTGTCAGATGAACTCTAATAATGTGAACCCACTGAAATTGCTTTCTATTTTTACAAATAATAATTCCTAGTTAAATCGTGTAGTATAAGCAGTAATAGTGAGGTGCAGTGGAAAGAACATTGGAAGCTGAGTTCTCATTCTAGAACACTCTGTAGCCATGGGTCCTTGGGAACTTATTTAAGCTCTCCGAATTTCCTTATTTTTGCATGGAGCTAGTAACACATAACTCCATACTTTATGGTTATTAATGTGAAATCAGACAAGCAATGGATTTAACCTATACTGGGGATTATAGTTATGGCCCTAATCAAAGGGCCATTTCAAAAGCCAGAGAAGTTTTGTACAGGAACAAATACAATATTACTGCTTTACAGAAATGGTTTATAGTTTGCATTAACGATTGGACATGACAGAAATATCCATTTTTAATCTGCTCATACGCAACCCAGAACACCAAAATACATATACAGAAAATGTTTTTAAAATAGTATTAGTTGCTTTCTCTGAAAATAGAATTCAGCTCCAGCATGCTGTACTGGTGAGTGTCCACATAGCGCGTATTCTCTAATTAGTTTATGCCTCGTGGGGTGTGTGTGCCCTGGGTGCAGAGGAGAAGGCACTGGAAGCAAGTAAGTTCCAAGCCTTGTTGTGAGGACCGCCTCCCACTGCAGACCAAGACCCAGCGGTGACCAGGATCTCAAAATGGGTGTGCACCACCTAGTGGAAGTTACCAGGCATACCCTTCTCACAAATGGAAGAGCTTCAAAAATGCCTCCGGAATGAAAAAGCAAGATTTGAAGTTCCAATGGATGGACAGCTCTCTCTATATTTTCCTTCTATCACCAGAGAGTTTTTGTGATAACCGAAACAGAATGCATAGCTGGACAGTTCTAGGTTTAACTTCTTGTGGCCACATTCAGGGGTCAGATATTTGTACACCATACAAATCTGAGAAATTGGAGTATAAGAAGCATTGACGTAATGGGCACTGAGTATTACGTAAGACTGATGAATCACTCACCTCTATCTCTGAAATCAATAATACATTATATGTTGATTAATTGAATTTAAATAAAAAATTTAAAATGCCGAGAGAGAGAGAAAGAGAGAGAGAGCAAGCATTTAGTATTGATGGCCACATGGATGGGAGGGTAACGTGAATTCTAGGAATTAAGAAGATATGTTTTCATTTGTAAGTGGTAGGAAGAGAACAGAACTGAACACCACTGCTCTATGATGCTAAGGAGTAACCAACTTGGCCATCCAGTGGTACAATTATTTTAAGCCTTACTGCAGTTAGCTTACCAGGCTGAGGGGTGTGTAAATGTGTGTGTGTGTGTGTGTGTGTGTGTGTGTGTGTTACTGTATAGCATGACAGATATAAAAAAAACTAGACTGAAGATTTTACAACAGAACTTTCATTATGAGACCGGGATTGCAGAAAAACCATAACAACTCTCTTTCAGGTGGCAGTTGTTTCTGAGAATACTTGCCATTTGTATTCTATGTAGGTAGTAACTTCTAAATTTTCAGTAAATGTTTATTGCACGCTGTAGTGTTCAGAGAACCTAGATCTAGTAGAAACTTCTGAAATAGCCTGGTTGCTGTGTTTCCTTTTATAGATGAAGCCCATGGGCCCCAAGTGAATAGGCATGCTGCTCCTTTGTGGACAGTGAGGGAATCCCCGTCTCTTGGAACATCATGTTTCCTCTCACCTGAGGGCTATTTCTGCTTGGCTGAGCTGATTTTTGGGGGAGAATTAAGAGAATGGGATTCTGTGTCCCACACTAGAGATGAGAAGTCTGAAAAACCTTTGGAACCCAACGGCAAGCTAGAACTGGGTATTACCCTTACAAGGAATCAGCCTAACTGGTGTAACATTCCAATGACTGGCTTCTTAGTCTCCCATTAACTGGTCCTCACTAATAAGTCTGGCGTTAAAAAGATCTGAAGTATTATCTTACCCTTGAAAAATATTTTTAAATTGCCTATAATCAGACCTTGTAAACTAAGGTCCTCATTAAGCAGGGTAAAAACCACACTCAGAAATGATGTGCAAACCTGGACATTGCAATAGGACACTTTGATACATGACTTACTGTTTGAAAAGAACATAATATAAATACAATAGAGCATAATACAAATACATATGTGATTCCCTAAAAAGCCAAAACATCTATTTGTAAATGTTTACGTTTCTAAATGCCTAAAAATCTGCCAATTTGGGCCTTTAGGAATTAAAAATTACATTTTGAAAAGCCCATGCAGTACATTACCTGGCCATTTCATTCAAGTACCTCTCACCAAGCCACTTTTCCAAGAGTTTATATACATCGACCACCTTTGTTAGTAAATCTTCAAGGAAAGCCAATGCTTTTGTCTTTATCAGTTCAAGCCGGAACTGTGTGGCTATCTCTAATTTAAAAAGAAAGTGAAGGATTTTAAAATGTATTATATATACATGCATTTTGTAATTGATTTTTAAACCACTCATGCTTCTATTTGTGAAGATGTAGGTGCACATTTAATATACGACTATTGATAATATCCAATCTATGTCACTGAGAAAAAAAGTAAAATGCATGGTCGTGTCATTTGACAGTTTATTTAAGCCAAAACTATAAACTGAGCTTTAACATTTATGGCACTTTATAGCAATATATTCTTTGATAAATTGGAATGGGAAAACGCAAACAGATAATTTCTGAATTTCAAAAAGGGGAAAGTACAAGTCTCTTGATGATCTCCCTACTTTAGGACCTCAGGATGGCAACATCATTGTATTTTCTCAGCTCTGGTAAAACTAGGGTAAATGCTCTGTATCCCAGGGCCTCTTGCTGCCCATGGCACACACTGTCTGTGGATTTTACCTCTGAAATAGTTTTCCCAGGTTTCCGCTTTGCTTCTTCCACTACCACTGGCCTAATTTGCTGATGTTTCTGATTTTTTTTTCAAAGTCCATTTTGAGCTGCATTATCAAACAAGTGGAAGAGCCAGGAGAATAGATCTTATAAAATCATTGCTATCTATAGAAAAGGAGGCTCTTGAACATTATTAATCTATTACTGGCTCTTCTGTGGCCTCTGTTACCAAGAACTCACTTTTGGGGGCTGTTAGCCTTCAGTAAGGATTTATTTTCCTAATGAGAGGCCTAAATTATTCTTATCATATAAAACCACCTATGTGTATGTGGCTCTAAGCCTTCTTTCAACCTGTAAAATCACTCTGACTCTAACATATTCTTTTTATTTCTATTCTTTGGGATTGTAATCATTGCTGGTGTTCTCCTAACCCCTAACCAACTTTTCTTTGTCTCTTTTGGAGATCCCAGCAGACAATTATAGAATAGTTGAATCTAGCCCTCATGGGGTCATATGAAAACAACCTACTAAGTGTTGTACTTTTTGATGGCTTTGCATTGTGTCCTCCTAAACGCACTTGAGCCAGTCATGGGCTGGTTGCCTCCTGGCCTATTTTCCCCTGAAAAGAATCATCTTGGTTCTTCTCCACTGCTACCTTCAAACTGCAGGGCAGCGAGGTGCTCTTCCTTGATTTTGAGCATCAGTTCATTTCTCTTTTCCTTTTGGGTAATCTCCTCTGCTGTGACTGTCACAGGCATGGCTTCTGCTGTCGGCGGGGATCTGCCTGAAAGGACAGTAGGAACTCAGGGAGGAGCGAGCGACATCCAATGGATGCACAGTTACTTGGATAAAATGAGGACGAAGTGAGATGTGCGAGTCTGTAGTAAATCTGTTGGGGTTTGGAAAGGACCGATCCTAGTCCTGACTGAGTGTGAAGTGCTGATCTTTCCTTGTGAATTTTCCATGTGTGTTATCTAAGCTACACACGAATACAAATGCCCCTGTTGTGTAGCATCATGGAAAGATGAGGTGTGCAGTGAGGGGCAGACATGGTTATAGACTTCAAACAAGGTGCGATGCAGAGTCTGGGGACAGAAATGAGCAAACTGCAATATACCACGGATGCCATGAGCCCCATGGAGCGGAAAGACTGCTCCGTAAGAGGTCCTAGCATTAGTCAAAGGCCTCCCAGGTCCTCACGGAGAAAAGACCAGGGAACAACCTCCACGAGATGTGGCTGAAATGTGGCTCATGGTTAAGAATCTGTAACCTACAAAACAATCTTTTCACAGATTGCAATCTTGCAATCTTTAACTGCAAGTACTTTAGTAATTACATAAGATAATTAGAAAATAAGGATTTGTCAGCATTTTTCGGACAATTCACTCTTGAGAAACAACAGTGGGATTCCAGCTGCAGGCCCCGTCCACATATTTCTACTCAGTGCAATGAATCTGTCTTGAAGGTCTGACCCCAAGGGGTTCAAATCATGTGAAGATGACATAATTGTAAACAAAGCAACGGTAAGAAACCGTAATTGCAACAGTAGACCGATGCATAAATTACAGGTGAAAGGGAGCTTAATCTCGTTGGATTTCTGTTTTATCATCTGTAAAATTAAGGGGCTGGACTCAACTGCTCATCTATCAAGGTCAATTGAAGGGGTGCCTGGGTGGCTCAGTGGTTGAGTGTCTGCCTTTGGCTCAGGTCATGATTGCAGGGTCCTGGGTTCATCTCCCGCATCAGGCTCCTTATAGGGAGCCTGCTTCTCCCTCTCCCTGTGTCTCTGCCTCTCTGTGTGTCCTTCATGAATAAATTAATACACTCTTTAAAAAATAAAAATTAAAAAAAAATTGAAGCATGTCCTTCAAATACAGCTTATTTCTTTCGCATCTGAGATGGACTACGTGGTGTGTTTTTTCTCGTGGTGCTATTATTCTCTTCGCTCGGGCATCCCCCCCAAGGCCCACATCCTCAGCTCCTCCTCTCACTCCTCCGCGGGGCTGCCTCAGTGTACCCCAGCTGTGAAGTGCCGCCCCCCTCCTGGCTCTCCGGGTTGCCTATCCCTCCCCTGCTAAGGAACAGTGATCAGTCACATGTCCTTCCCTGCCTCTAGTCTAGAGTCCCCACCAGGGCAGGGGCCAGTCTGGAAGCATCCCGCCAGCGTCCAGCCGCAGCCGAACCAGCACGTGTGAGCAACCGACTGGTGAGGCAGACTTCTGCTCTGGAGCTCCCGTCTCTCCCCCTCTTGCCTGCCTTACCCTGTGTCCACGTGGAGACATTCAGAGGGGAGGGTAACCGTTGTGCCCGAGTTGACCCCCAAGGTTGACAGGGGTCTCTCCCAGCCTCTGCTCCCTCCCAGGCGTCTCGGAGGCTGAGATGAGGCAGGAGGCCTCTGGGAGAGAGGAACCTGCTTGGATTAAGCCAGAAACCTGAATTCAACCTGAAACATATGTACATACAGACTCGTTTCTCACCCCTTTGTGCACACGTTTCAGATCACACAGTGTCATCTTGGAGTTCTTCCAGCATGTTCCAAATGCCCGGCTATTTGGATAAACAAGTCAGGTGAGGCTGGTACCCAGTATGACTAGTCAGCCAACACCACCACAGGAGCCTGTGGGCTCGGAACTAAACCTAGCCAACAGTAGCTTCATCGTGTGTGTTCTAGAGAGAGGCTGAAGCATCCACAGCTTCGGATGCCACAACCGTGAATACCTTTTGCTTTTTTGTCTGCCTTTTCTTTCTTGGGTGGTTCCTCTTTGGCTTTTTTATTTGTCCCCATCTGAGGAGATTTTTCTTTTGTGTCTGCTGGTTGGTTTTCCTTTTCTTCTTCCATGAGCCTCTGATGAATTTCAGCAGCCACCTGGTTGTAATCGAGCAAGATTTCAATTAATGCGACACTTGGGAAATCTGAGAGCCACGTGCATTTAGTCACCCCCGAGTTCCACTGAGGCCTCATTCTCCTGTAAACGACCGTGCCACGTACTCAGTCTCTACAGAAAGCGCACTTCAGGGTTTTAGTGACACGGCAGCCTGGCCCTGGCCCCAAGAGGTGGCTTCTCTGCAGCTGTCGGTGCGCAGGTTGGTCACTTTCTCAAGCGCTGCCTGCAACGCAACCTCACGTTTCCTCAGGGCTGCCTCCAGACAGCTCCATGACGATGCTTTTGTTAGAAAGCTTTCTTTTTAATATCAGACTCTATGAATTTAACACCCACTATTCCTCCAGGGTATTCCCCTATACTGTTTCTCGCTTTTATTATTATTATTTATTATATTATATATTAATTATATTCATATATTAACTCCCCCGAGAGTTTTAAAGACAATTTTCCTAATAGTCCTACTCTATGAAATTTTAGTACTGCAAAAGTGTATCTGTCTACCTATTTTATATATGATTATGCTTTATACATAAAATGGTTAAGAGTTTCTCATGCCTCCTACCCAAGTTTCGGGATGGCATGCACAATATTATTTGGACTCATGGACACTTGAATTCTGCGCTTTCATTGCGACGGTTGTGAGGATAACCTATCCCACAGGCTAACCTCATCTTTGTTGTCAGCTTCCTCTACTCAGGGGACATGCAGCTTCCCGCCATCTCAGTAGCTCCCTCCTTTCACTCACACATGTGTCCTGGTTTGAGTCATTAGTTGCAGGGCCACCCCATCTTAGCTGAGGAATGGGGACTGTGGGGTGCGCTTGGGACCCCTCCATCTCTCCTCTGCGGCTCTGTGTTTCAGGCAGCAGGAAAACCTGATCTTGAGGTTTAAGCAACTGGGGCCGTGCCTGTAGTTTCAAAGGCCAGACCTTTTGAAATAAGTCCAACCACCCCTGGAGAGGTGAAGAGCACTTAGGAGGATAGCCCTGAGAAATGAGAGCTGAGTAAAGACTCCCAAGAGGGAGAAAGAAAACCCACATACACTGAAGAGGGAGGAGCAACATCCAGTTGAAAACTTTAAAATCTAAATAAAGCAACTGGTGAAGAAATGGGGGCTGTGAGAATTTATTTACTATATCCAAGCCTGTTATTTCTGGGGAGGGCCTGGGTGAGGGGTTAGGAGGAGAAAGAGGAAGTTGACTGAAGGTGAATAGAGAGATGAATAAGGCACAGGCTCTCACCACAAAGACATTTAGTCTTGGCCAGATATGCCATCCAATTCTGGCTCTCCCCAGATTCCTGCACACTTCATACCCTGGGGCTCAGCATGTAACTGTCCCCAGCTGGTCTATGAATGTTAAATGTGGTTCCACCCTCCAAATGGGCTTCAAGCAGCTTTTAGCACCTGCTATGCTCATAGAGGATGCTCAGGAAATGATTATTAATAGATGGACTTTCTTTTAAAATAATCATATTCCACAGAACATACCCACAGTTTCTTTAAGATCAGTGGAACTTCAGAGAAATACAGAAAGGTTTCAGAGAACAAGCCAGTTTTGTGTGCATGTATGTATGTGGTTTTAATCAGATGCCCTTAATCCACAAAAATGGATTTCATGATATCTACTGTACTTTAAAATTCTTGGTAAAGCTGAAAGCAGACTTGTTAACATCCCTCCACCTAAATTGCAAGCAATTCATTTTTTTGAATCTGTTTTTGCAAAGCACAGTAAGTTAGCAATTTCCTTTAAAATTGGATTTTTCTCCTTTATAAACAACCTTGTGGTGGTGGTGGTGGTGGTGGTGGTGGTGGTGATGATGATAATTATCATCATCTGCATATTTTTGGTCCACTTCCCTCAAAGACCTCTGGGTGTCTTTCAAAAATTGACATAATTCACAATACATCCAGTAATCTACCTGTAAGGCTAAAGAAACTCTATAAGTAATGTCTTGACATTGTGGGTGTTAACTATGATTTGTTTCTTTGAAATCATTGCATACCTGCTAATTACAAGAAAGTTTTTCTAAAAATTAACATAGCACCCTAAATGGGTAGTTCTTGGTGAGACTGTTGTGTAGAAAAAGCCCGAGTTAAAGCTCTCTCATTTCAGCTGTGCTAATCCTCACTGGCACTGTTTTCCCTACAACGCTTTGTCCAGATCATGTCTGTCTCACTTAAAACTCCCTAAAGGTCATGTGACATCAAGGTCATAAAAATCTATTAGAAACATAAAAGCAGGATTCAAATATAATTATTAGGAATACTGATTAGATCAGTAATGACTAAACTTTTCTCGCTTGCTTTCTATGTGGTTTTTGAAGTCCACAAGGAAAATAGTACAGTTTTGAATATATTTTTAACGTCATGATCTATTATATTTACAATTTCCAAAACACTTTGGTATACATTATTTCACTGGATCTTTCAACCATTCATGGAAGAAAAGATACATGGAATGTCTCCCATGTAATAGATTAAGGAATTGAAGACTGAAAGAGTTTAAGTCATTTCTGTAAAATCATACAATTTAACCAAGAGGGGTAGCCAATGGTCTTTATGCTGTATGCTACTCTTTCTAATAATGTAATATTCTGCAATATCATTTCCCCTAGGCAATTCTAATGGGATTTGTAAGACTTGTAAATTGCTTTATGTAGCTCAATAGGAATAAAAATTCATTCTTTCCCTTCAAACTCCTAGCTCTGGTTTCCCCACTTTCTGGTACTTGGTAGTGGTTATCTTGCAGTGATCACCATGGGCACTGCCATCATCATCAGTAGTAACAGCGTCATTGGTATAGCAGCAGTCCTATGTCCGATTGTGCTGAGGGCCTAGTATCATAATAGATGTGGGCATTATGCTAGGTGTAAGGTGTATAAACAGTCTTAGAATCCAATCAAGTGTTTAGGAAAATGATGAGATATAAATTACAATCACCTAGAAAAGAAGAGCTGAATGCCTGGGGAGGTACTACTGCTACAGGGATGGGAAGACCATGTGAACAATGAAGGCAAGGCTTCAAACAGGAAACCAACTAGTCAGGAATCAAAGCAGGTACTGGCTCTGAAGACTTATAGGAGGAATATCATTTAATCAAAAAGAAGGAAGGAAGAACATATTTTAGGCGAGAAAGATGACATTAGCTGAGGCATGGAAATTGTTAATATCCATGGAATATGTAGGAAGCAACATCTAGTTGGTTTACAAGAGGGTTTGATGAGTTGGTACCAGTAAGATGGGGAGCCCTGAGCCTCTGGGTTAAGGGTTTAGGATTCCATGGCAGCTACTAGTGCTCATCACACACTACATCATTCTCTTCTCTGGTCGGCAACAGAAGATCATTTCTGTGTTCTTATAAGTATCATGTGCTTTTTAAAAAATAAATCAAAAAAAATAAAAAAAATAAATCAATCCCCTATCTGGATCATTTTGCCCTTATAAATATAAAGTAGCTATCAATATATTTGGGGTATACATCTACCATTTACTATGTGCTTTCTATTGTATTGCTTGTCCTAACTCTTTTTCTGTTCTCCTTTCTTTTCTTATTTTGGATTTCACATTTTAAATTTATTCACCCTTTTTTTCTATCTTAGTTTGGAATTAACACACATTAATTCACTTAGTGGCCACTCTAGGAATAACACCATGAATTATCAACTAAATAATTAGACTTTGATAAGTTTAAAATTTATGGTGTAATTCCTAGGGTAACCACTAAGAGAACAGTAATAGAATGCACTATTTCCAAAAGTAACTAGGGGGTAAAAAGCAAGTAAGAAAAGATACAGAAAGGATAAAAATAAGAGGATGAACAAAGATATAACGTGTAATTGATATTTAAAAGTCTAATTTCCAAAAAAAAAAAAAAAGCATTGTAGACAAAGATTACCTCCCAGTAATAAAAAAGTTTAGTTCACCAGGCCTAGATGGCTTCTTGGTGAACGCTACTAAACATTTCAAGAGGAAATAATTCCAACTTCCTCAGACTCTTCTAAAGAATAGAAATCAAACATATTCTGACTTGATTTATGAGGCTAGTATTATGTGGATGCTAAAAGTTGACAAGGACAGTATGAGAAAGAAAAGTTATAGGATTTCCTCACTCATGAACAAAAATTCAAAAATCCTAATCAAATTATTAGCAAAACAAAGCCAGCAATATGAAAAAAGGATAATGCTTCATTATAATGTTGGACTTATCCCAGGATGTGATGTAAGTTTAATATTAGAAAACTGACCAGTATGATATTTCATATTAATAGAAAACAGAAAAATATCATGCCAATCTCAATAGATGTGGAGAAAGCATTTGTTAATACATTTATAAAAAAAAAACCCACAATAAGCTAGAAATGAAACTTCCATAATCTGATGAATATCATCTAAAAAAATCAATGGTCAACAGTTTTATGAATTTTGACAGGCTAACTTAATAATTTATATGGAATGGCCAAGAACGAAGAAGAGCCAAAATGCTCTGGACAGATGACAAGGTGGGAAGATTTCCTCATCTAGATAATGAATAAATAATATGACATTATGTGGTTTTGGTACAAGGATGGAAAAATACAGCAATGTAACAGACCTAATTTATGATACGTGGTCACCTAATTTATGACAAGGATGATACTGCAGTGAAATGGGAAAGAATTTGGTATAACTTATGCAAACTGAAGTATTATTTATAGTATAATCTACTGACATTGGAGATAGCCAATATTCTTAGCCATATATACAATGGTTGTGTGGGCATATGTGCTCCAGTAGACAAGTAGGTGAATGTTCATAGCAAGGATATCCATAATGCCACAAACTGGAAGCAGACTAATTAAATAAATTATGATAAATTTATGTAATGAAACAATATACAGCAACAAGAATGAACAGACTACAGCTTCGGTCAACAACATAGGATGAATCTCGTAAATAATGTTGAGCAAAAGAAAACACAAAGAGACAAAAGGTATGAGTCCATGCATTTAAAGCTCAAAGCAAGCAAAGGTAAACTATACTGTTTAGAGATACAGACTTGGGTGATAAAAACTCATGAATATGAAGGCAATGGTAAATAAAAAGGCAGATGGAGGGTTGGTGTTGTAGGGATGGGGGTTTAGGACGGGGAAGGGGCACAAAGACTTGGTAGATATGGACCTTCTCCACATGTGGTGGTTCCTCCGGGATCTACCTTAGATGCATCCATCAAGTCCTGCAGGTATACTTCATGTACCCTTTTTAGGTGTGCCAAAATCCACACTAAAATTCTTTATAGATGCAGCAAGACAATTAAAGGATTCTACAATCATTTTTGAGAGGCAGAAATGAAAGAAGAAGAACAGAAGATAGGGAGAACAGAAAGGAGGCACGGAGGCTGCTGTGGGATAAATCAGAGAAAAGAACCCTGGAGGCAGAGTGGCCAGGAAGGGACTTGGGAAATGCCCCGCCAGAAGTGTTGACTCCCTAGCTCTGAGATCCTGAGGCAAGCTCCTTGGCTGCTTCTCCCACAGAGTCTTTGGGAAGGTCCACACTGCCTGTTTGGATGGAATATTTCAGGGAAAATCAAAGGAGGCCTGGCACAGAATGAAAACAAACCATGCTGGGCACCGAGGACTGTAGGATGTGGGAACACTGGTCATCCAAGCCAAACTCTGAGTGCACCTTCTGTACAGGTGGAAGCTTCTCCTGACATGAAAGTTATCTGCATGCTTTTCCCTTCTCTTCTGATTTGATCCGGGCCCCTGGCAGTCAGGGACCATTGTCCCTCCACCTCCCAGTAAAGCAGAAAAAGGACATGAACTTTGAACTCATATAGTCCTAGGTTCAGATCTCCTTTTTGACACATAACACGCTAAGTGACCTTGGCAACATATTTTAACCTTTCTGGATCCTCATTTTCCATGGTAAAGAGAATAATACTTACCTCATAGGTAACTTCTGTAAACCAGAGGCCTACAGGCCAGAGGTGAGTTTTGCCTGGCTCTGGAGAGTTTTACAAATTTGATTTCATTTGTAACATGCTAAAATCAGTAGGTTTCATATACAAATCTGGATTTCTGGCTTTTCTTGGAAAATTGGAAAATCTGGCTATTTATCATTCTGAAATGGGAAAGTTGGTCAGGGTAGATGGAGTAGCACATACCTCTTTAGGAGGATGATTTCCACTTGGTCCCAGGCCCATCTCTCCCTATTGCTTTATACTTGACCCATGTCATTGGCTTTTCCTGACTGGCCCTTTTGGTCTTTGTGCTTGAAACCTTGGCTCAGCAGAGAAAATAATCTACATGTTGGTTTACTCCATTCTTGAACTCATATATTTGCTGACTGAATTGTTTCACTTCTTATTTCTTTCAGAAAACGAAACAATTTCTTCCTACAACACCTTCAGGTATATATTTATACAACGCTGTGTAAGTTTTCTACCCATAGCATATTACCAACGTTGGTACTTAGTGAAAATGTAGTAACGAGTCTTGCTCACCATGTGAGATATTGCTAAAGAAGCCTGCTGCCAGGTGTCCATCACCAACTTCTCATCTGCCTCAAAGTTTAACTCCACATTTTCCAGCGAGTAATCGATCTTGCCCTTTAGTATGGTCTTTGTTTTTGGTTTGGTCATAGCGGAATCCGGGGAAATGGATATTCGTGGAATTAGAGGAATTCTTTGAAAAGACAAACAAACAAAAAATGAAATATAAATATGTTATTGAACAGAATTCTATTTTTATGACCATGTGACTTTGGGAATTTTGTTGTCTTGTTTTAATCTCAATTTCCAAATTTGTCCTGGAAGAACTCTTCAAATGAAGAGAAGACTAAAAAAGACTGCATTCAAGGGGCACCTGGGTGGCTCAGTCAGTTAAATGACTGAGTCTCAATTTTAACTCAGGTCATGATTTAAGGTTGTGAGACCAAGCCCGGAATTGGGCTCTGCACTGGTGTGGGGCCTCCTTTGCTTGAGATTCTCTGTCTCCCTTTTCCTCTGCCCCTCTCCCCACCCCTGTCTTATAAAAAAAAAAAACAGAATGTATTCAAATTTTTATAGTCTTATCAGCATGAATAAACTAGAAACAAATAGTAATAAAACATAATTTTTAGGTTTAATTCTCATTGATTACAAGGAGGGAAAAAGAAACAATGGCAATCTTGAAGAAATGCAATTTTGAAATATATCCAGGGCATAAACTTCTGACAAGAAACAAATCAGCCATAAAAAAACAAATCAAATAAAACTGTACATCATTCCTTTAAGACGACTAACATCATTTGGCTTCCTGAAGTTGGACAGTAAAAAAGCAGGATATGAAGAGGTGAAGACTGCAAGGAGAAATCCCATGGAGGCAACGGAGTTTTGGTGGTGGGTGGGGGAGAAATTCACCAGCCCTCCCCAGTTTAGAGTATGGATGATGAAATCTTCTCTTTGCTTTGTAAAGTTCTGTGAGAACACAGAGGTAAGCTCTCTCTCTCTCCAGTCTTTCAGCCACATTGCTGCCCCTATGTAGAAATTTTAGAGCTGCTCCCAGGAACATTCTATCCCCTAAGGACTTTCAAATCTTAAATGCTAAGGGAAGCAGGAAGAGACCCACAGGGAAGAATATTTATTATGATTGGGGTCCACCTTAATAGTCCAAAGTGCAAATAACCATCAGCTGGGCATAGAAAGGGGAGAGAGAAGCTCCAAGGATGCCTTTGTTGAAACTTGAGGAGTGTCAGGAACAAACATTTGGTCTGGCTGACTTAAGCACCTGGGGGAACAGAGTGGTGATCCAGAAAGCTGATTGTGAGCTCCAGCAAACAATTAGCTTGGTCTTGTTTTGAAGCATTAGATGTGGTTTCTCGAACTTAACTCTTTGATTCTTATAGTATTTGGAATTCTGATAGTGTACTGTGCCTATAAAGGCAATGTGCTGAGGTTCTTCTAGGCAGCACACATCTACACACAAGGACAACTTACATTTTAATAATCAAGTAATACTAAATGTCAGTCACTGAGACACCGAGATTCATGTGTCTAACAAGCTAAGGTAAAGGTTGTGTGATCCATCTGTAAATGTTTAATATAGTACAACATGCATTTCCTAACACTTTTGCTTTGGAGGACAGCAATGGTGGCATATCATTTAGAAACAAAAGTTGGGAGCACATGGGTGGCACAGTGGTTGAGCGTCTGCCTTTGGCTCAGGTTGTGATTCGGGTCCTGGGATTCAGTCCCATATCACGCTTTCCACAGGGAGCCTGCTTCTCCCTTTGCCTATGTCTCTGCCTTTCTCTCTGTGTGTCTCATGAATAAATAAGTAAAATATTAAAAAAATAAGTAAAGAAGAAGAAATAAAATTTGGGGTTAGAATTCATTTACAGGAAAAAATTCTGGTCTAGCTAGCTCTGCCACTGTCAATGGATATGAATTGGGGCATGTCACGTGACTCTGGAGCTCCTTTCCTTGAATAATACAAATATATGACTACTACTATTACTACTGTTACTAATTCTTAATAATTGCCAATTATTAGTTATCAACAAATTATTAGTTACTATCATGTTGTTGTTACAAGAATAAAATTGACAGCTATGTGGAAATGATTAACAGTATGCTTGTTTCCCTTATTTATTTTAAAGAGACTATAGTTGATTGGTTAGTTGGTACATTGAGTTTCAGTAGATATTCACAGCAGTGATTTGAGCTTGAGACTGGTGCAAGGTTGTTTTGCAGAAATTAAGAACTGGCTGTTCTTTTCCCTGTTTCATTCTGCTAACCAACTTTAATAGCTTCCCCAATATGCCTGACTTGCTATTTTGTGCTAAGAACAGAATGCACTGCTACTGCAGACATTGGAACTTGGCCTCTTTTAATGGCTTTGATGGTTCATATTGCCTTTGGAATTTTTTATTGTTTTCAATTTCAAAGTTCTCTCTCAGTAGCTTGCTGAGTCAAACATTTCTCTTGTATTCGTATCAAAAAGATGGTACTTTTCTTCTTGTGTTTTCTTGCTTACACATGGGCATGATGGGGACATGATAGGACTACATTGAGGAAATCTAGAGAGAGAAGAAGTGGGTCTCAGATCATATGTATAACCCTATCATGTTCAGGTATCTCAAATCCTGTTTGGCACAAGGGAGGATAAAGCAAAGCAAGAACATTCTCACAATTAAAATATTGCATGTAAGTTATTGTCATAATATGTAATAATAGTCCCTACTTATTGAGAGTTACTGAGAGTAGATCTCAAGTCTTCTGATCCCCAGACATGGCACTCAGTGCTTTGAGGATTTCAGTTTCTGTAATCTTCACAATAACTCTACTTTATAGATAATAAAAACAAGGCTTAAGAAAGTTGAGGTGACTTTCCCCCAAATAAATTGTTCTAATTTATTCACATATGACTAGTAAATAACAGACCCAGGATTGAAACCACATCTCTCTCTTCAAAACATATTCACTATATCATGTTTAGTTTGTACAACTTGTGTTACCTGCATTGACCTGAGCATACTTGTAAAATAAAGTACATATACTGCTTTCAATCTTCAATACATATATCTTTGGAGATTTAAATTTAATGTTCATCCTGTATATTATTTTTTAAGTCTAACTTCTTTCTTTTTCCCCTCTTAACATTTGTAGGTTCTTGTTTTCTCATTGACCTCTTAATTGGTCATGAGAAAATATTACTTTAATTCTTAATGCAGACATTTTTCTAGCTGTTCATAGCTTCTCTGAGTTTGGGATCTTGCCCTTCCCCTGCTCCCACCCATTCGGTCTATAAATGCAATTATTTACAAACTTTTGTATTGAATAGGAATATTTGGTTGAAAATACGATTCCTTATTTTATTGCTCTGGCAGGAGTTTGATTTTAGACTATTGACAAGTCTTTCAGTCTCATGAAGTCATAATCACGATTGGACCTTTACTGTTTCTCAGTTTCCTTACCTGTAAAAGAAGACTCACAACCCCTTCCATTTTCATTTACATGTCACACACACACACACACACACACACACACACACACACACGTACTTGGGACCTTTCATAAAAGTGATAGAGATTCAGGATTCCTTGCTGAAAACTCTTGGGCCAAAGCTTTTCAGAATTCAAAATTTATAGACACTACATAACCCCTAATATCCTCGGGAGAGTTTGCTGGAAGCACTTCATAATGAAACGCACCATACCTCTCCAGCAAAGTGAGTAAATAGTCACCATAATTTGGATAATAATGCATATCAACCGTCTTAAATTGAAGTTAGAAAATTTTTCACTTTTTGGAGCTTTTTTCAATTTTGGATTTGCAGATACAAGAGTGTGGTTTTTTATTACTGGCATTCAACTTAAAAATCATGAGGTTTTATGTTCAGACCAATTACAGCACAACATGGTCTACCTTACCTGAGTTGGCTTTCCAAAATGTCTCTACTACTATCCAGCTGGACCAACGGGATTCGAGTAAATCTCTTACTGTCATCGATTGGAATTTTGCATTCCATTCCCCTGTAATAATCTTGAAGGAGTCTCTTTGTATCTTGGAAACGGTTCAGTTCTGCCTTTAATAGCAAGTATGAATGTTAATACCCAAGAAAAAAACGAGCTAATCTTTACATATTTCCCATATAGGCTCTGTAAGCACTATTTAAAAATATTTCAGTTGAAATCAATTTTCTGGAAATTAAGAAAGAATTGGCTATAGTTGTGGATCTAAGGGCATATATCTTTCATAACAATGAAAGATAACTGGTGACTTGTGTTCTCTGTACTCATTGAGTATGATTCCACTCAACAAGATGGTATTTCTATGCCTCTTGACTTTATGACAAAAGATTACAGTATGTATGACAGCTGAAGTAGTACATATTATTCATTACTCTGACATTAAGAATTCCTGTGTCCTATATTCAATCACCCAATACCTTAACAAACATGTGAATGCCTTCTATTTTATCTATAGTATAAAATAAAATTACCATTCATATATTGTTTTAAATTATAAAGCATGTTTTAAATATTTGGATTTTAAACATAAATATAAATTTAAGTAACTTTTCAAACTAGCATTTTGAAATGATTAGGAAACTAAACAGTTTTTTCTTGCAGAGCAACCAAATTAAGTTTTAAAATATTCATATATGGACAAATCTCACATGCAATAAGTATTTGCACTTGTCATGCTTAAAGACAGAATCCTAGTTTTGAAGAGAATGTAACAAGTTAGTTGATTTGGGAGACACCAAAAATACGATATATAGAAATAAAAAATACAAATACAGGTACAAATACAAATACAAAAAAACATGAAGTATAAAGCAAGATTAGGTTTTGGTGCTGTAGGACTGTTTAACATAATTGTGGAGAAATGACAAGGTAAGGCAAAGTGGTAATGGGTAGTTCTCTTTTCACAGTTTCTATTCTTGCTCAATATGTATAGTAGGGAGACCATCTCCCCATGCTCCCAGCAAACCTTGTCTGTTGGTGTTGCCAGTACTGCCTTGAGAGAAATGGGGAACATAGAAGAAGTAGTGATAAGTCAGGCATCAGTCACTCACTAGGGACTCCCTTCCAGCCAAGGCACCTCCCTTTGCAGTAATGAGGAAATGCATGTATGTCTGAGTGCCAAACACAGAAATGTAGACCATGAGTTTTCCAACCCCTTCTCCCATTAGGTGTCAGATCAGTTGGCATGTCCATGTTCCCCTTTAGTATTGTAAACATGACCTCCAAAATTTGATTTGGTTAGTGGGGCTACTTACACCAGTACCTGGGGGCCTAAAGACCGAAACTCTGCTGTAGAAGTATTCCATGATACGTAGTTAATAATAGCATATTTTCCAAAAAGAACAAAACTGACCTAGTGTTCAAAGCCCTTAGCTGAACCTAACCCAAGGATATTTATGAAGGGATTCCAATATTTATCAAGCAATTAATGTTGCTATTTATTTCATAAAACATCAAGAAATAGTCTTGTACTGCCATATTCACAATTTAGAATAGATAACTGCTTTCACATTAGAGTCTACAACAGAAGACAAAAACAGTTTCAGTAAGTTTGGTTTTGATACAAAAAAGAGTAAGCCAAATTGCTCTTGAAAAGCTGTCTTGTACATCATTAAACTTTTCTAGGCAAATGAGTGAAACAGGAAAATGTTCACCTGGTTAAATTGAATCTATAGTATAAAATAAAATTACCATTCATATATTGTTTTAAATTATAAAGCATGTTTTAAATATTTGGATTTTAAACATAAATATAAATTTAAGTAACTTTTCAAACTAGCATTTTGAAATGATTAGGAAACTAAACAGTTTTTTCCTGCAGAGCAACCAAATTAAGTTTTAAAATATTCATATATGGACAAATCTCACAGTGCAGTAAGTATTTGCACTTGTCATGCTTAAAGACAGAATCCTAGTTTTGAAGAGAATGTTAGAAAATCATTCAGCTGGAACTAGAGGATATTATGCTAAGTGAAATAAGTCAATCAGAGAAAGACAATTATTATATGATCTCATTCATATGTGGAATTTAAGAAACGAAACAGAGAATCATAGGAGAAGAGAGAAAAAAATAAAACAAGATGAAATCAGAGAGGGACACAAATCATATGAGACTCTTGATCATAGAAAACAAACTGAGGGTTGTTGGAGGAGTGGGAGGATGGGATAATTCGGTGATGGGCATTAAGGAGGGCATGTGATATAATGAATTCTGGGTGTTATATAAAACTGAGGAATCACTGACCTCTACCTCTGAAACCAAAAATACATTATATGTTAAGTAATTGAATTTAAATAAAAATTTTTAAAAAGAAAATCATCTGGGCAGCCCAGGTGGCGCAGCGATTTAGCGCCGCCTTCAGCCCCGGGCCTGATCCTGGAGACCCAGGATCAAGTCCCATGTCAGGCTTCCTGCATGGAGCCTGCTTCTCCCTCTGCCTGTGTCTCTGCCTCTCTCTCTCTCTCTCTCTCTCTTTTGAATAAATAAATAAAATATTAAAAAAAGAAAATCATCTAGCATAGTATTTTTAAAAATTTAATAGGTAGAAAACTTGTCCCATAGGCTGTGAGTACCTTGCTGGGGATAAAACAAACAAAACTTTGCAATGTCAAATTGTTTCAGAAATGCTGGGTTAATGTATCAAAAAGGTTTCTTTATGACATCTTGATGTCCTAGTATGTCAATATGTTTGTCGATCTCCCAAGGAAAGGGAAGCACAGTGTGCAGTACCTCCCAATCTCATTTGATCATTGAGTCCTTTTCTGTGAACCGTTGTGTAAAACTAGTGTCCCGTGGAATGCACTTTGGGAAATGCTTATCTAGTTGTCTGTAACTCAGTACTGCGGGCCTTGAAGATTTTCACAAAGATTCTTTCCCTCATCCTCCATTCCATAGACATGCGCTTCTAAGTTTCCTGGACAAGCAGCTCAGTTGCTTCAAAAGTCTGTTACTTGATGGACAGTTCTAGTCATTAGGCTCTTTCTTTGTTTATTGGACTAAAAATCCCCTTCCTATAATTTCCAGCTTTGGTTTTTGTAAGGTCCTTTGCTGTTCCACATGGTGGGCCTTCAACTATTTGAACAATGTTGAAGGATTGTACAGAAGTCCCAGCACAGGGTTGTTGCGAAGGGTTCATGTAACCTACGTCAAAGTCCTTCAAGCAGTGCCTGGCACGTACAGAGTAAAGAATTAATGAAGAGCAGCTTTTATTTGCTGCCCAGGCCTTTCTATTCTTTCTTCCTCATTGAATTTAGATATAGATTCAGCTTCTCAGGACCAGAGCCTTCAATCTAGGTTCTTGCTGAGGTCTGAGACTTCTAACATTCCCCAGAGAGGCAGGTACTCCTCGGACTAATGAGAAATGATTCACAAAAATTCTCTATTCCCTTTGCCTTCATTACTGGATTTCAGTTATTTCTGCCAGAAGCTTCTGACGCCCCTGTTCCAACAGTCAATCTCTGCTTGCCCAAACCAGTACCCCAGCAACGCTGCCCAGCATGGCTGAGGCTGCTTGGCTGGCTCACTTTAATCCTTTGTACAACCCACGCCTGGATCCCAGAGCTGGTATTCAGTGACGCTGCTCCTGGGTCTCAACTTTCTGCTGACTTTTCAGGCCTCCTGTGGTTCAAACTGCCCCTGCACCACAGGCTTATCCCTCTGAAGGTTGGAAGTATCAGCATTCATGGGCATTGGCTGAATGAGCCTTTATCGAACACCTACTGTGCCCTAGCTTGGCTTGTCAGCTACACAGCCCTCTCTCCTGCCATATCGTCTCATGTAAGTCAATCATCAATCAGTTGAAGACTAAAACCGTACCCTTTTCCATTCTCTACCCTCACTGCTATGCTCTTAGGAAAAAATACTCATGAAGACACAGCTTGACCAACATAGGCTTAATATTCCCCTCAGCTTGGCTGAATTTTAGACAGTCTTCTTCCTAACTCGACACTCCTGGCCATCCCTTTTCTAATTTACTTTAGAAAATTTGTCATTGTAAATCCTTGCTCTGTCCCTTCGAGTTGTCTTTTTTTATTTTTTTTAAGATTTTATTTATGAGAGAGAGAAAGCATGAACAGGGAGGGAGGGGCAAAGGGAGAGGAAGAAGCAGCCTCCCCACTGAGCAGAGAGCCCAATGACATGGGGCTCCATCCCAGGACCCTGAGATCCTAACCTGAGCCAAAGGCAAACACCTAACTGACTGAGCCACCAGGTGCCCCTCAGATGTAAATCTTTTTTTTTTTTAAAGGTTTTATTTATTTATTCATGAGAGATACGGGGGTGGGGGTGGGGCAGAGCAGAGACACAGGCAGACAGAGAAGGAGAAGCAGGCTCCATGCAGGTAGCCTGATGTGGGATTCGATCCCCGGACTCCAGGATCATGCCCTGGGCCGAAGGCACGTGCTCAGCCGCTGAGCCACCCAGGGATCCCCAGATGTAAATCTTTTTAAAAGCTTCTTGCCAGTTGTAGATCTCAAAACTGTCTTTCCCGAGTATCTGGGCACCATCTCTTTGAAATGTAAGCATCAAGGAACATAACACCCCTGTCCACCAGTTCCTCTGGGAGGGGAGGAGCCTAACTTGCTCCTTGAGGGTATCTTGCTCCCAGTGGTAAAACTAGGTGAAGATAGGAAGGATCCTATTTGTACTACTGTTGACAACGGTCTTGGAATAAGAGCAATGTCTATCTTCTTATCTCATCTATTGCAAATTTTATTTAACAGGCTGCAAATGAGGTTATTCTGGTGAATGGTGGTTTTTGTTTGTTTGTTTGTTTGTTTTTTCTTTTTCAATCTGGACATAAACTTTTTTTCTGGAATCAAATGCCTGCTGCCATTGACCTAGCCCATGCTTTGTGGCAGAGATGCTTTCTTGGACTTCTGCTGGCTACTTTGGGTGTCCATTGTGAGGGGCTGACGAGGCAACAACCAGTATGGACAGCATTTCTTCTGTCCCTCTCCACACTTCTAAGCCACCTGGTGCAAAGCTGGTTGGTGGTTGCTTGGAATGCTCGTGTGTGTGTGTGTGTGTGTGTGTGTGTGTGTGTGTGTGTGTGTGTTTAATCAGGCTCCATGTCCAGCTTCACAGGGTCTTGAGACCAGGACTTGAGCTGAAGTCAAGAGCTAAACGCTTAACTGACTGAGCCACCCAGGCACCCAGGGATGCTTCCAGTTCTGGTGTTTGTTTGGCCCCGGACCAAAATGATTTATTTCAGCTAACTTTCTCAGCAAGTTGGAGCTCAGGCCAGGCAGAGTGCTGTGAGTAAAATGAGGCCTGAACAGTCCCTCACACTCCCAAAGGGAGGGACAGGACACAGCTGTGGAGACAAGAGTCTGTGTTGTTGATAAGCCACTCTTACCTGCATTAGTGAAAAGAAATGGTTCATCGTTATTCCGATTGAGTCTTGCAACCAGCTCTCGTTAATGATATCCTGACGCTCCTGCTCTGCTTCTTCCTTCCGGGCATCACAGATGTCCCACAGGCGGTCTCTTAAATCCTGAACAGAAAGAACACAGTTATGCTTTAGAATGCATGGCTCGAATTACCTCAGGGTAATGAAACTAGAAATATTTTACCTGCCTTAAAAATGTCTCCAAAGAAAATTAGACCTAATGCACTCATGGATTTTATTCCTTCATTCAACAGATATTTATTTTGCTTCTTCTCTATGCCAGGCCCTTACTTTGTAAAACCAGCTCACCAAATCATATGCACAAATTCACTGCAGTTCACTTTATTTATGGGTGGCTATGTTTTATGTAGTATTCTAGTCCTTTCCCAGAAAATTGTTTAGTTGAAGAAGTCCTGGGGTGCCTGTATGGCTCAGTTCGGTTAAGCATCTGACTCTTGATTTCAGCTCATGTCATGATCTCAGCGTCGTGAGATAGAGCCCTGCATCAGGCTCTGCACTGGGTGTGGAGCCTGCTTAAGATTCTCCGTCTCTCTGGCCACCCTCCACCCAGTTCTCTCTTTGTCTCTCTAAAAAAAAAATTAAGAAGTCCTTTCAGGGAATTTTTGTGGAAATGGCATATTGTTGGTGGATGAAATATGCAGCTATATTTAATCCAAGGGCATAGGCTCATTCATTCACCATAAGTGGAACATGTCATTCACCAAGAAGTGCTGTCTGAACTTAATAGGATTGTCCAAAAATAAGCTTTCTACTAAAGAGCTAGCAGTAAAAAAAAAAAATCTTTTAAAGATCCCAGCTCTGCCATTTAGATAACAAAACAATAGCTACCATGTACTGAGGTCTTTCCATGGGTGTCAGTGTGTCAGAATGGAAGTCACTGTACTTATATCAACTCATTTACCTTGCAACAACTTGAGGTACTATTATAATGTTAATTTTGCAGATGAGTTATAGAGAGGTTATCTTCCTAAAGGCACACAAAAAGTTGGTGGTGGATCCAAGATAGGAGTCTGTGCTCTTGAGTAATATACACCACTATTTCAGGTCTTATATACTTTACCTCTTACGTCTCGTGTGTGCTATGTAGAATAAATTAGCTTACGTATTTAAAGTGCTTAGCAGAGTATTTAGCATATGATAATTCCACAGTTAATAAAATCTATTATATCTTATAAGAATATAATATTATTTATAGCAATAAAATATCTCTTTAATAAAATATCCCATTAATGAAATATAGACAGTCAATTAAAATGTGACAGTTCTCACAATAATAATTTATTGAATGTTACTATGGGTTGAGCATTGTGGGTAAGTGCTTTACATGGATTACCTTGCTAGTCTCCACAATAACCAGGAGTAAATTCTGGTGAAAAAATTGATGCCCAGAGAGGTTAAGTCACTTGGCTATGGTTTCAGTGTGGGGTGGAGCCAGGAATCCTAATGCAAGCAGTTTCATTCAAGCATTTCCATTTCAGCCAGTGCCCACAGTGGGTTTTATTTCTGTGATATTGTGTTAATGGAACACTTAGCACTTTGGTTTGTTATCTTCAGGGAACTGGACATAAAAATGAAAGTATCACAACCATTTTTATAGTCATATGCTAAGTGTCAGCACAAAACATCATTATTTTAGAGCCAATCTTGATATCTCCATGGTCTTTCCACAGCTGCTCTGGCAGACATTCAGTGCATACTGGCTTGCGCTTACCAAGTATTTGTACATTTCTGAGAGCTAGAAGAGTTCTCTTTTTGTTCCTGCTTCACTCTGAGGCCTTGGCAAGTACTAGCATCTCTGTGGCTCAGATTTCTGATGGTAGAGTGAGGACAATGCAATAGCAGAACCTCTCCATTAACTTCTCAGAATTGGAATGAAATAAGTCAAGAACAAGCACATTGACAGATCATAGAGAGGGTCTGGGATTATCCAGAGGCACAGCTGGTTTTCACACTTTATTTGGCAAGAACTAGGGAATTATTATATATCCCTGAATAATCAGAGTGGGTTGTTTTAAAGAAAAACTCATGGCTATTAATTGTGAAAGTCGTGCAGACAAAAATCATTAAAAATGATCACTTTTACAAAAGTTTTAAATGTTTTCTGCTGGGTCAAGAGCCCCAATTCAACTTATATAGGACTTACTAGAGTCTCATATAAAACAATAGGACACAAAAAGGTCAAAAGTCAAAACTTACATGAGACAAACACAAGAAATAAAGCAAGATTCACAGTATTGATATCAGATACAATAGAATTCAATACAAAAAAAGTACTTTGGGGCAAATATGGTTATTTTATACTCTACAGAGTATAGGAGACCATGAAGAGACAGCTTGTCATGTTTCTTCATGGGTCAAATAATGCTGCATCAGAGATGCAGTTAATTCAATGCCTGCTGGATTAATGCTCCAGCACCCAGATCATCTAAATCATTATAATACCTTCACTTAATTTCAGTAGCTTCGCAATTGGTTTCCCAGCCTAGTCTCCCTTTTACTCCACTATAGATAGATCCTCTTAAAAACCAGAAGCTAAGGCTTCAACTCTCATTCAGATCAATACCAATATCCTAATAATGACCTCCAAGGCCTTAGATAATGTGATCCCTTATGATCTCTCTGACCTCATCACCATCCACCTGGCCTGCTCATTCTGTTCCTCTAGCCACCCCAGTCAACTTACTGTTCTTTAAACACACTACTCATCCTTCCACTTCAGTGCCTTTGGCTTTTCTTCCCTATGTGCCTGATACACTCTTCCCCAAATATCTACACAGTTCATTCAATCACACCTGTTCTGAGTTTGCTCAAGCATCACGTTCTCAGTGGGCCTTTCCACAATCACCATATACAAAATGGTACATCAGCATTCCTTTCCTGCCTACTTTCTTGTTCTTCACAAAGCTCTCATTACCAATAACACACACTCATGGTATATTCTATATACTCATTTGTTTATTGCTTATCCTGTCTTTTGGCTACCAGAATATAAACATCTTGAGGTCATAGACTTTTTGTTCACTGTTGAGTGAACAAACCCTTTCGGGTGAGGTTGTGGTCCCCGGTCCAGGGATCGAGTCTGCATTGGGCTCCCTGTGAGGAGGCTGCTTCTCCCTCTGCCTGTGTCTTGGCCTCTTTCCTGTGTCTCTCATGAATAAATAAATAAATCTTAAAAAAAAAATCCTGTTTGAACTCAAGTTTGGAAGAAAGTTGGTAGATAAATGTTCAAACCATTTCCCTCCTCACCCTCACACCTCATGGAAGAAGAAAGGAATGAATTAGGCTTCTGCAGTACCATATTCATGTGTGTGGAGACCCTGGTGCAGCAGGTTGCAGATTTCCTTACATTTACTCTTTGGTGTAGTTCAGACTTTGTTTCTTCATCATCCCACAGGTCATCAGGAAGAGCATTGAAATCAGCCTGCCATTGAGATACAAAATCTTGCTTGTGATCTGGACGCCATAGAAACTGCTGGAAGTTTGTTCTGTAAGGCATTAAGAGAGTGAGATGGAGCTTACACAACATGCCTGTAGACTACAAAATTCTGACTTTGGAAATTTTACTTACCTAACCTTGTATAAGTAAGCAACCACACTATGCTGTTCTTCTCTCAGATGCCTGAGTACTGTTTTGATGGAGTTTACGTAGGAATTTTCGATTAGTTCCCAGTAAGGCACTAAAAATGAAGGCATTTCCTGTTAAATGGTAAAGCATAAAATTAATCATTTCAAAGTGATAATTCTCTTGAATAATTGAGTCAGAAGAGCAATACTCAGCAAGAAGATCAAGATGAAACCATCTAAAGCATTCTTTTTTTTTTAAGATTTTATTTATTTATTCATGAGACACACACACACACAGAGAGAGAGAGAGAGAGAGAGAGAGAGAGAGAGAGAGAGGCAGAGACACAGGCAGAGGGAGAAGCAGGCTCCATGCAGGGAGCCCAGGTCTCCAGGATCAGGCCCTGGGCTAAAGGCGGTGCTAAACCGCTAAGCCACGGAGCTGCCCTATCTAAAGCATTCTTTGTGAAACTTCTTGCCCTTCCTTCTCTCCCATCCCCCCCCCCAGCTAATTCCTAATTCAAATACTTCTTCATGTCTCAATTCAGACAAATTTCTTTCAGAAATCCTCCTCTGATTAGAAAAGTGTTGAGGGCAGCCCGGGAGGCTCAGCAGTTTAGCTACCATCAGCCCAGGGCCTGATCCTGGAGACCTGGGATCAAGTCCCACGTCAGGCTCCCTGCATGGAGCTGCTTCTCCCTCTGCCTGTGTTTCTGCCTCTCTCTCTCTCTCTCTCTCTCTCTCTCTCCCCCCCCCCATGTGTCTCATGAATAAATAAATAAAATCTTTTTTTTTTTTTTTAAAGAAAAGTGTTGAAGGTCATCCTCTAAAGTTCTGGAGTCCTATCTCAGTACCCTGCACTCAGCACTCTCTCCCATTATAGTAAGGATGACATTAACGGCAACTGCTCATTCATTTGTCCATATTCTCCTCTAGAATACCAGTCTCATAAAGAACAATGCTGGTTTTAGTCACCACTCTATCATTTTTCTTAAAATCACTACAGTGTCTGGGACATAAAAGGTACTCAAATATTTATTGAATGAATAAATAGATGTCAGATTTTGCCTACGCTGGAAAACTGCCTGTCATGGACAATATCTAGCATTCATGTCATGGTGGTGATGAATCATTTCTCTGCATTTGCCCAAGTGGTTTTATCTTTGCTGTGTGCACCATGAAAGTTAGAAAATTTCTTTATATTATCTTTGATGATGCAAATAAACAACCAAAACCAAGAAATAATTGAAATGAAATAAAACTAAAGATACATATTATATCCAATATAAATTCTCTATACTAAATATTACCTTATTGGTTGTGCATTTATTTACTCAGGATATTACACATGGGGCTTGGAGAGGTTATTTGGTTAATCTCCCTTCCACTAAGAAATACCAAATATTAAGGATAAGTTATCCCTCCATAGATCTCACTGAAACATTTCAGGGCAGGCCCTCTGGTGCCACACAACTATGTTACTGGAAATTTTTCCTGTGTGTTGAGCAGAAATTTGCCTTCCTTTCCACATATCAGCCCTAGCTGTGCCCTTTGGAGAAGGGCACTACATTCATATAGTGTTCCTTATGACAGCATGTCAGATATTTCAAGACAGTAAGGAAGTAGGCTGGGATTCAGGATGAAACTCACTTGTTTGTGTAGTCCTGGCATCTAGTACAGCATTTGCACATAACGGGCCCTCAATAAATTTTACTATGTAGACACCCCTGAGCCCAGTTTTATCAGCAGTTAAATTTTTAGGAGACTGGCTGGCCCCATCTAGTTCTAAAGGCCTATGATTTAATGTCTAGACACACTTGAAGTACTCATTTATCTAACTTAAACATTTACAGTTTCTTTAATGTTCCTCCTCTGACATTGTTTTGTTGTTGTTGTTGTTGTTTTTAAGATTTTATTTATTTATTCATGAAAGACACAGAGAAAGAGGCAGAGACACAGGCAGAGGGAGAAGCAGGCTCTGTACAGGGAGCCCGATGTGGGACTCGATCCTGGGACTCCAGGATCACGCCCTGAGCCAAAGGCAGACCCTCAACCACTCAACCACTGAGCCACCCAGGTGTCCCCCGACATTGTTTTTAACACCCTTCCCCCCCACCCCAGTTCCTCCCTCTGGTTTCTACTTTTTCATGATCTCTCTCAAAAGATGTGGTACCCAGAATGGTGCTGAAGACCATTTTAAAGAAGCCCACTACTAAACCTCCCTCCTGGATGACTTTAATCCATTAATTCACACTCTGTGTTACCTCCTAGAAATAGACCTAATTTTTTTTTAATTTTTATTTATTTATGATAGTCACACAGAGAGAGAGAGAGGCAGAGACACAGGCAGAGGGAGAAGCAGGCTCCATGCACCGGGAGCTCGACGTGGGATTCGATCCCGGGTCTCCAGGATCGCGCCCTGGGCCAAAGGCAGGCGCCAAACCGCTGCGCCACCCAGGGATCCCGAAATAGACCTAATTAAAGTAACACTCTGCTCACAGATCTCATTCGTTTCTAAGAACTTCATGAGAAATTGTCAAATACTATTTTGAATTCAAGATACACCTCCCTGATCCTTCTATTCAACCTTGCTGCCAAGGAAAAGGAATGGGCCAGTTCAGCACGACTTAGTGAACCTGTGTGGGCTCTGGGGGAGCATTTTTGTCACTTACGTGTGCTCAGAAGTCATACTTCTAATAATTTTCTCTCAAATTTTGTCAGTCCTGGTCTGTATGTAACTAAATCCCATCAGCCTTTTATTAAACATTTGGATGTTTGCCTATATCTGGTCTTCTGGACCCATATCCTCAGTGATTTCTATGAGTTATTGATAATGCCATATCTATAGGTTCTTCTGGTCTCTGGGATGTAATTTTTTTAGTCTGGGCACTTAACTCACACGATGTGACTAGATGTTCAGATCTATACTTTTCAATTAAATAGTCTTCTTTTCATTGGATAAGACTGAGGATAATTGGAAATCAGTAGCCAAAGCAAATATGCTCCAAAGCTTCAGAAGCTATAAACAAAGACCTCTCACTCTGTCTTCTTGGTCCTCTCTGCAACCTCTCTTGTGGCTGACAAAGGGACAAGGACCCATGCTCCTCTGGAACTTGACTGCTGCCTCCACCCGAGAGAGCCAGATATGAAAGCAATCTCTCTCAATCTCTCAACCTTTCTCTCTCTCTCTCTCTCTTTCAATCTACCTTCCCCCTTCCCCTCTATCTCCCCTCTCCTTTCCTCGATCTGTCCACATGCCTACTGAGGGAGGTAGATATGGGGTCCTTGAAAGGCCTGCAACTAGGGTTACCAGATAAAGTATAGGGGGCCCACTTAAAGCCATTGTTAATCTGAAATTGAAATTTAACTGGGCATCTGTCTTGCTTCTTCTTTGGCAGGTAAGCTCCGTAGCTGCCAAAGTGTGAGAAGCTTAGGGTGGGAAAAGGACTAGAGTGGATATGTGGCTGCTTTGTGCTGCATATCTGCCTCTTGTCCCTCTAGACCAAGTCCTATCCTTCATTCTTCATGCTACTCAGTGCCCTGGAAGCCTGACTTATGTGAACTACTTCAGGCAACAGCCCTGCCTTCCACCTTCTGGGCAAGAGATGGGAGAGCAGAAAGATATGAGGTCTGGTTCTGAATCTCCCGGCTCTTCTCGGCCGCACCACTGTGGGTGGCTACATCCCTCTGCTGAAGGCCTCAGCTCCTGTCAGATGGCACTCTCCACTGAAGTCCCCTCAAGTTCCAAGCATCTGCTCCCTTTCCTCACTTTCTCAGTCCTATAGGCCATATGGCTCCTGGCTATCCCTTGTTTGGGGGTAATAATTGAATCCTTATATTTTCCCTTATTTTTTATCCTTTATTAAACTCTCCTTAAATTATCATCTGTTTTCTGCCAGAATCCTGACTGCTAGAAGATCTACATGGGAGCCGATGTCGATGTCGTATCTCAGTGGTAATGTTTATTTTTTACTTCTGTCCTCTATTCCTTCTTGTCCTCTATAAATTTATTCCTCTCATGAGCTTCAAGGTTTGGAGTTAAGGATTGCATTTCAATATTTTTGTCTCTCACTCTCCAGCCCTGCCAGATAATACCATTTTAATTTTATTTTGTCCCAACAGCCATTTCTATATCTTGATTCTATGACAAATTTTTTAATGTATTTATTTCAAAAAGTAGCTTCTGTTTGGCTGAGTGATATTATACATATCTACAATTATATCATTTAATATTATCACCTCCAAATATTTTCTAACTTCCTTATCAATGCTAATTAATTAAATCATTAGAGTTCCATCAAGAATCTACATTGTTTGATTCTGTATTGAATAGAGCTAATTATCCCACATGTTCCCAACCTTCTCTCAAAGAGTTTATAATCTAATTGGGGAGCTAAGACATGTCCCTAGGAAAGATCAATAATAACAGCAACACCACAACCACTGAAATTCATCATGGGGTCTCAGATATCTGGCACAGGCAGTCAGTGTTCAGAGTTCATAAGAGGAAGAATTCACTGAGAACTGCAATGAAGAAAAGAGGGGCTGCATCTTTTACAGAGCTCTTTGAAAAAAAATGTGGAAAGTCCATTCTTGATTTTTTTCTTAAGATGATTTATCTATTGAAGCAACCAGATTTGTCTAGGTGGAACTGGGCTTTGTGGTTGTCAGAGAACAAAGAACTGAATGGAGCTTCCAGGGCTCACCTGGGGGCATCTCCTCACCTTACACTGGCATACCTATTTAAAGTTCTCAGGCCAGACAGTGACCTGTTCTTTTGTTAGTTTAGTTAGCTTCAAAAAATTTCTTCTATTTCTCAAAAGTGAGAGGTTAAACTCCATTTGAAAGCATTATAATGTGGGCATGAGAACATGGATGGAGGGCTATAATTTGCTAGATATGTGTTCTGAGGAAGTCATTCTTCCAAGAAACTGCATCTCGGCTCGTCCTTAGGGAGAAAATTGGTCCTCACAGAACCCATTTTGTTCTCCTGCTTTCAGCACTTAATAGCCGTTCAAAGCATGACTCAGAAACTCGAAGGAGTAGAGAAGAGAATACAATGTGATTGAATGTGTAGTCTCAAAAATTCACCTTGGCTTTTTGATGAAGATACATATCACCAGCTATGAAAGGCCTTCTGGGTAGTGCAAATAAAGGTATGAATCTTACCAAAAAAGAGAGAGAAAGAGAGAGAGAGAGAGAGAGAGAGAGAGAGTGAGATAGACTAGTTTCTACTAGCTTAAATCTAAACTGTCATACCTCAGGAATTGGTTCATTCACGTAGACCCATTCTTCTGATCCTGGCTTGGGTGATGGTGGCACTATGGGAACAGGTGACATGTCTGTAGAATCAGCAGGTGATTTCTTTACTGGTCCTTTCCCTCCTGATGATTTTCCTTTAGGAGAACCTTAAATATGCATATTAAATCATTCTGTTACAAGTAGGTGAATAGAACCAGATTCTGGTGGATGAATAAAGCTAGAATTACCATGGACTTAAGGCAATTCATTAAGCAATTTTGGGAAGACTTACCAAATCAAAAATCAAAAACTCTATTCTCTATAGTCTCCAAATTAACCAGTAGTACCAGTTCAGTTTTTTTTTTTTAAGCTACTTAGTTTCTTTAGTCCAGTTGGCTATGAAAAGCAACTTGATATTTTATTTTTGTCTCTGTCCTTGCTTCTAAAATGAACAGTTTAGACTGTAAAGTGCATTTCATTTACTACTGCAAATACTAGTAAATTAAATTCTCATCCTGAATGAGAAAGAGAGTAAGTGTACTATGAGCAGTGCTCTTGATGGTTGTTTTTGCTTTTGTTTTTGTTTTGAAGCTCAGGATAGCTCAGGATAGGAAGTTACTATAAGAGTCAGCCAGAGTTAGTAAAGAATGCAAGGAAGGAGATAGGGTATTGCAGCTCCTGAATATTCCAACATTCCCTGAATGAGAAACAGGGTTTCTGAGTGGGAAACTATATTTCTTGCTACACTCAGGGAGTATGGATGAAGGTACTTGCTGTGCCATAAGCCTGGATGAACTAAGGCATTAGAGAGAGAGAGAGAGAGAGAGAGAGAGAGAGAGAAGGAGCAAAGAGGAAGAGAGAAAAGGGAGAAAGAGGAAGTAGAGGAGGAAAAAGAGGAGCAAGAGAAAGAATACTAATGTTCAGTTGAGAATCCAAAAAGAACATATGCTTCACTTCCCCTGAGAGCATCAGGAAGGGAATCTAGACCATTTGGGTGGCATGGCATTCTTATGGTCTGAAAGATCCTGTGATTGATGAAAGTAGCTTAACTCAGAAAGCCTAATATGTCCTAACAGGATCAAGGTTATTATGGTTTAGAAATTCATTCAGTTTAAACTACACTTACCTTCAGAATAATTATTGAGATTTTAGATGCAGTTTATAGATAGATGCCTAGAGATGTGGGAACACTTTATTTCCCAAGCTATATTTCCTTAATGAGTATTATTTAATGATAATGATATTTAGAAAAGTAAATATACCTTACATTTTCATGCTATTCAAAAATATATAGACTATAAGTAGAGAGGAATTTGTCATTATGTCTTATGTCACCCCTAAATAGGTGACTTCTACTTATACAGTTAAAAATAGTATCCATTACCCATAGGTCTGAAGTTGTACCTAGATATTTTTATATTTAGAAAAATTTAAGAAAATCTTTGTTCAGGCAATAACTAGCAGTGTTCATAATTTGATATATATTTCAATATGGTGATTTTCCATTATTTGACCTGTATCTTCAGTGAAATAAAAATGATAACACTATGGCCACTTTAAGATGAATTTCTCTGAGAAGAATTCCTAAGAAATTTGCAATTATAAGTATAGGACTGGAATGAGTTTCTTCTTTCTTCTTTTCTTACATATCATGATCATTCAGTGAAAACTAAGAGCCGGGTAGTATTTTTGGACCATTGCACTTTGATTCCATTTAACTTTTATCTATTTTTTTAACAATGGAAATACTAAGGAGGAAAAATTTTAATGAATAAAAATATATCTATGCCATAGAGAATGAATATAGCTGTCATTTTTGAACAAAATCTGCCAGCATCTTAAATGTAACAAGGGGCATCTCTTCCTCAATATCACTCACCCAACCACATGGAAGCTTCAGTTTGTTTGTTTTTTTTTTTTTTAATTTACGATAGTCATACAGAGAGAGCGAGAGAGGCAGAGACAGGCAGAGGGAGAAGCAGGCTCCATGCACCGGGAGCCCGACGTGGGATTCGATCCCGGGTCTCCAGGATCGCGCCCTGGGCCAAAGGCAGGCGCCAAACCGCTGCGCCACCCAGGGATCCGAAGCTTCAGTTTTTAATGAGAGACTGGCTTTTGCTTGAAAGCTGGATCATTTAGTCCTCGGTGTAGCCATTCAATGTTGAAATGGAAATACTTCATATATATGTTTTTTTCTAAATTGTAATCTAATTTAAATATTTTGGGGATGAGGCATATAAATAATACGTTAGAAATAATTGAATGTTTCTGATATTCCAATGGCGATAGTAGAGCAGTAATCCTTGGGCTCCAGTTTAATAGTTCTCCAATTTAGAATTCCCTAGAGAGCCTATTAAAACACAAATTGCTGGTCCCCTACAGGAGTTCTAGATTCAGTAGATATGGGGTGGGGCCAAGTATTTGTGTTTTTAGGAAGTTCTCAGGTGATTTGGATGCTACTGGTCCAGGGACCATACTTAAAGAGCCACTGCTCTGATGGATGCAGCCAGGTATCTCAATTTTATTAGCCTTTTATTTTTTTTTCCTCTGTTTTTCCATGCTCTTCCAGTTAAATGTCACTAATGTTTATAACACTGACATTTCATTTATTGCTAAGTGGCCTGGTAGCACTTACAGCAATAAGTCAAGTCAGAAGGCAAGCACTGGAACAATGCCAATGCCAATATATGAGCAGGCCAGTGGAACAAAAAACAAAATTATTCCCCAATGTTTGTTCCATAAAACTCTAGCTCCAGCGGAAACTGCTCCAAGAGAGAATTCTGCAGCCAAAATATTTTGGGATATTACATACTGTATCTCCCACTCCCTTAGAGGTGCATATTGATATTTTTTTAATTAAAGACTTTTTAACTTGGCATAACTCAGTATTTTCTGCAATTAGTTGATTATGGAAAACTTTCTTCATTTTGCCCCTAATTAACAACTGATAGGTAAGGTCATAGTGTTGAAGAGCTGTTGTTTTATGAAGCAATAACCTGGGACAATGGCATATGGGTTGAAGAGAATAAGAAATGCTTTAAGAACACCAAAATACACTTGGCAATGGCATTTCAATGTCAAGATTTGGGGAGAAAATAGGTAGAGGTTGATCTATTATGCAGAGAAGAATAGGACTGAGTCGAAGATGTCAACAGCAGGAAATAAGGATAAATTTGAAGAATGGATATAGCTCCTTAAACTATAAGAGTTGGCTTCTACATCAGGACTACAAATTCACCTATTTCAAATATTATTAAACACAACAGAAATTCAGTAAAATAAAAGCAAAAAAATGTTTGAAAGTTATTAGTTAATTAAATTGAGCTAACTGCAGCTAACTGACTCAGGTTAACGAACTGGTTAAACTTGCATTTGCTTATGGTGTATACTTTTAACAGAATGTGTATACTTTACATTATTATATTTAACTTGATTTGGTAACTAATATGCATAGTATATTTAATTTTTCTTTAATTTGTATTTTTGAAGATTCTATGGTGATCCTTCATTTGCTTTTGTTGATCACAATGAGAAGCAAGGAATAAATAATGTAAATCTGAAAATTATTCTATTAGTAAATAAGTAGAGCTGAGCATAAATTATTGCCCTTAAGATTTTAGCTAAGATTTTTTAAAAGATTTATTTATTTATGATAGACATAGAGAGAGAGAGGCAGAGACACAGGAGGAGGGAGAAGCAGGCTCCATGCCGGGAGCCCGACGCCGGACTCGATCCCAGGACTCCAGGATCATGCCCTGGGCCAAAGGCAGGCACTAAACTGCTGAGCCACCCAGGGATCCCCTAACTAAGATTTAAATCTCAGTGTTAACTCACCAGCTGGCTCTAGTTATACGTCATGTTACATAACCAGAGAAGGGTGAGATTCTCTTTGGGAATCATGGTTATGTATTTTTAAATGGCAAAATAAAGATCCTTTTCAGCTCATCAGTTTGTGAACTTGCATACTCCTGGCTTGCCCTGCATTTGGCAATTTGAAATGAAAAATTAAACAAAGGTACACACTCATGACAACCTTATTTGAATGTACCCTGAAAAAGCCAACTGTATATATTTATAACTGCATTTCAAATTTAATTGGTTGTTATAGCAGCTTCAAATAAATCTAATATGCTTTTAAGAGCCCAGGATTTTCTGCCAACTATCAATTACATGAAAATTATATCCCCTCTATTTCACAGAAACAGTTAAGGTAAAACAGAAAAAAAATTAAGTGAAAGTAGGGTGAGGAAAAGTACAACTTAAAGTGGAACGGTCAAAACTGGAAGAGGTATTAGGAAACCAATATTGAGATCTAGGTGCTCTTGCACAGATATGGCGACTAGTTTGATTCTGAACTTCTGGACAGCCAAAATAGAAAAGGAAATATCATCATTTCGATGTGCTAATCATCTAACCACTCAGATGAAGAAAGATTTTCCTGTCCCTTGATTCTGAATGAAATGTCTCACCCGGGATTTCCTATAGGGACCATTAAATGATGTAGTGGGTATACCATCCCCCCCAGAAAATGAAATACCAGGTTATTATTGGTATAATGCAAGTTTCACCTCCACTGCTATGTTATACTGTGAAAGGAGTTGAGTGCTCTATACTGAAGGGCATGTCAGTGAAGGCAATTTGATGGAAGCTCAAGAAAATATGGTTCAGTGTATGTCTCTCTGATGGCCTAGCATAGCCCAAGGGTAACACCTGTAATTTCTATGATGGATGGATATTCTGTACGTTAGATGTTTCTAAATTATTTCCCACAAGCCTCACTTTTCTCAGCAGAACCTTTGCTAAATTCCAAGCTACAGAACAGCTGAGGTTATATTCTTTGGCAAGGGCTTATGGCTTACAAATGCCTGAGAGAAGTATTCGATGTATACAGAATCATGTCAAAACCGTATCTATCTTTAACTGCAGTACCTTTTCTTTTGAGTGAAGTGTCCCCTTTCTTTCCTTTTCCTTCCTGAAGAGAGTCTGGCTTACCAGTCAAGGGTTCTAAACAAAATTCAAGACATAAACATTATTGATGATTTTCTTTAATATCCCGGGCTATATTACTCATGAGCAATCAAATGTTATTCCTCACAGATAAACAGTCATATTTCTGAGGTCTTTACTGTGATCTAAAATTAATCTGAAGACAGATTGGATTAAAACTTCTTGAATGACAGCCCTGAGAGTGCTATTGCCATTTGTCACACTGAGAAGTTTAGTCTTAAGTTTAATGTCAATATTTGTCAGTGGATTTGGTGACAAACTCTTCAATGCAACAGAGCTGCAGAGTTTTAAAAGTTAGTTACAAGTTCATTTGAAGCAGATGGCTTTATTTTGACTTATTTCAATGAAATTATCCTTATATAATAAGACCACTAAATCTGTAATAAGAATGATGCCAAAAGAGCTTGAGGAAGAGCTGAATAACCACATTGTTTTGATATGGTGCATCCTTGAACTTTTCCTGACCTCATGACTTGTGATTTCTACATTTCCACTTTGCATTGACTCTAACTTGCAATGTAAAGGATGGTTTGGGTATGGTTATCTTGGATTCCTTGGACTCTAGTTCAAAACTGCACTGGAAGGGGGAAAATGGGAATCTGATCATCTCAAGCTCAATATGGCATCCCAAATAATACATTAGTTCCTTGAAAAAATTCCCTCCATCCCACATAAGTCACCAAACAAATGCAATCATTACCTACCCTTTGCCCTGGGCTACAGTTTATTCTTCATTGGAAGAATGGATGGATGAGGCAATTTAAATGCCTTTGATGGAGAAAACCTGTCTGACCTATTATATTTAGAAGTGATAATTATAAGAATGTGCTACATGGGTAGCACATGTCATATTTAAACTTCCCAGAACCAACAACCAAGACTTCGAAGAACTAAAACATAGAGAAGGATTAACCTTGGAATTCGGTAAACTTCTATAAGAAGACTTTTAAGTATCCAAATAGCCAACCACCAAACTCAAAAATAAGTAAATAAACAAATAAATAAAAACTAAATATTAGTTGAACTAGTTGCTTTTTTAGAAATAAGCTTAATAATAATAATAGTAATAATAATAATGTTTAGATAAGCTCCTAGTTCCTTTAATAACAATATTTTGGATAACCAACTTTTTAGCTCTAAACAAACTCTAAACAAGGCAACAGAGAAAAGAAATTACAAAGAGATACTGGAATTTATAATGCATGATGAGCAAGTCTAATTTCACCGGGGGGCAGCATGCACTCTACCTGTTTTTGTTTTTGTTTTTTTTAATCAGTTCCTAAACAGATTCTGAAATCTCAAAAAGTATTTTTAAATAGCAGCATGGATATAGTACTATTGTATTGTCACACTGACAACTTTAGTTTAAAATTAAATTCTGAAGCTTGATAGTGGATTTGATAATAGACGCTTTAATGGAACATAATTGTGAACTCCTTCAAATTTAATCCCAAGCACGTTGGAAGCAGATACAAAATGCAGAATCACACAGGGGCACAATGACTGTTCGTACTCAGCGCACTATGCCCCCTTCTTTAGTCTGTTTCCACCCTGTTGGGTTTTTGTTTTTTTGTCGTTTTTTGGTAAATAATTCCTCTTTTCATCTCAACTTCTAAAGATGGTTGTTGGGTGTTTGAGCTGGGCATGTTCAGAAGCCTCAGGCTTTCATTTCTGAAAATGCTTTCATTTGAAAAAGAGTTTGTAGATTATTTATATGAAAATAGTCAAACCTGCCAGGAACTTTTCCCCCTAAAATCGCTTCACTAAGCTTCCCTGAGCTGTAAGGGCAGCCGCCTGCTTCACTGCCTTGCTCTACTGCCCCACTGATGCCCAAAAGCACTGACTGAAATCTCTTTCCGTTAAGCATTGTTGTTGGAAGGCAATAATTAGGCCTCTGGAGATGAACACTTGGATAAGTTTTTAAAGATCAGGCTCTAGGCCCGTCCTTGGTGAAAAAAAAGAGACAGATGCAAGCATTCTTTTAAGCAATGATAGCTTTATTATTCCTCTCATGCACAGTATTAAAGAATACAATTTTAAAATCGCAAGCAAACTTCAGAAACTTAAAGACTGACCTATGTTATAACCAGAAACACCAGAGACTGGTTTCAGGGAATGGCTCAAGTACACAGTCCTCCAGATAGCAAGCAGACTGAGGGGGAGGCCATGGTGAGGAGAGTCATGGCTATAGGTTAAAGAACTATATTGGATAAGTCTAGGCTTACTTGAGCCATTGTGAAAACTGTTTTCACCAGTTCTAAACAGCATTTTAAAGGTTTTTATCTTTCCTTCAAACCTCTGAATTTTTTTTTAATTCCTAATGGTTCATGGGAAAAGTACAGATATATTTAATTTATGGCTTTGTGCTTTATTATTCCTATGATTACAAAAAAACCATGTCTTTAGAATTTGTGTATTTTGCCCTTTAGTCAAGCCCCATTTTATAGGAATATGATGGTCTTTAACAGACCAGATTAAATGTATTTGTTCAACATAAAGAAATTAAATTAAAAAATTCACATCCATCTCAAATGTCCATGAAGCACAAAGATTCTGGAGTTTAAAAATGTGATGCTGGCACAAGATCAAGGATTCCTAGGTAGACTTGGGTAATGCACAGCCAGCTACGTACAGAGTTGAAACTAGACACGACAGCCACGTTTGCTTCTATGCACAGCACCAAACTGATAGTGACATTCTACCAATATGGTGCACTGCAATAATTGAGCACTTCACTTTGGTCATTATATTTATTGTCTACCACTCAAGTTAATGGTCCTTCGTGTTTAAGGATCTAGAAAGAACTTCAGGTAAAACATATTCCCTACACCAACTCGATCCATATATATTATAAATTACAAACATACACATTTACTGAGATGCCAGGTGCTCATTTCTATCCTTTTTATTATCACACAGACTCACACAGACGAGTAAGTTACATATGAATTCTAGGCTCTGATGAATGCTGTTGATTTGTTCCCTTTTTCTTGGGAAAAACTGGCTATGCTAACTCTCATTTTTTGAAGATGTTCTCACTCTACAAAAACAGAAGTCTACAGTTCAGCAAACAGTTGTGTGTCCTTTTGATGTGCTCTAAGTTCCTTCTGGTTACTCTCTGTGCCTATCCTATTCTCATCTCTGGTCTTATTCTAATCAGTAGAACTGGGTATGAGGACTCTACATTCCCTCCCACACAGGAAAGTACATGGGCCTTGGGACGACCACGCTGTTGGCTACTAAGGGCTTTTCCACTCCCATATGAGTGCATAACTTGGTTCCATACAATTGAAGTTGCTCAAAGTCTCAATCTAAACAAATGCATAGGTCTTGCAACTTATAATTCTTTTCTAAGTGAAAATAAGAAACTGGCAAACAGGATTATAAATTATTCTGTCAATCACCTGCTGGTGGTTTCCCTTTTGCAGTAGGAGTTTTTGAATGCTCTCGTTGAGGATGGGTTTCCTTCTCTTTTTCTGGCTCAGGAGGAGGAGGGGGAGGGGGAGGAGGAGGAGGCGGAGGCTCACCCAGGGGAACTTCTTCTTTTTTCTCAGTTTCCTTTTCTTCTAATTTCTTTTTAACTTCAAAAACATGATAAGAACAGACCTTTATTAGAGACTCTAGACACCTGCTATTTTACTTGAACCAAGAGAAGCCTTAATTAACATATAACTGCCTATACTGATTTAAATTTACATCCATATTTTAAGGCTCTCCCTTAAATCATCCAGTTAAAGCTAGGATTTGAAGCCTTTTCTGCCTTGTTAGAAATGTTGTTTTCTTTGCCGATGATTAATGATGATGATGGTGATGATGATGATGATGATAAGGTGATGTGTATGTGTGTAGCAGGTAGAAGGGCTTGTTGACAAAGGGTGCCAAAAGTAAAAGTAATAATCTAGATGTGTCTAATGTAGTGGAATAGGAAAAGAAAGGATTATTTCAAAATTCCAGTGGAAAACCAAGGTGAAGAAAGCATGAAGAGAAGGTGAAGAACAATCTTACAGAAGCCGAGGGTGAGGAGGTCACAGAGGGGGTAAGACCTGTGCTCTATAGACTTCTGAGAGCAAATATGTGCAAAATATTTAGGATAGCGCATAGTACTCAAGTCTTCTTAGCAATTGGTTAACTCAAGCAGCAACTATTTATTGGATATGAATTGTGCCTTGAAGGAAAGTAAGGGTAATACCAATGAGGTAAAACAACCTCCACTGCTGCTAATAATAGTAGTACAAACAACAGTAGCCACAGTTCTGGTTGCCAGAGATAGATCATCACAACAAAAAAAAAGAAAAATCCCGGCCTTGTGAAGTCTGCATTTTAGTGGTTGTTGGCAAACCATAAACATGATGAGTAAGTTAATTTATATAAGGGGTGGTGGTAAGTACTGTGGAAAAATCAGAACAGAGTAAAGAGAATCAGGAGTACAGTGGGGCAGCTTTTTAAGTTTTAAATGGAGGGCTGAGCAGGGTAGGTACCTCACTGAGGTAACATTTGAGGAAAGACTTGAAGAGAATCAGGAAGTGCCACCCCACAGAGAAGCCAGTCAACCTGGGGGCCTGGAGAGATGGAATGGGGCTGGGTGTGCTTTTTTTAGGTATCTCTTGCTGTTATGGCTCTTTGCCTCTCACCCTTCAGGTTCACCCTTCCTGTCATGCCCTCCTGGGCCTCCCATTACCTCCTTGCTGGGACCTTACCACTGGCAATGAATACCCACCCCCACCCTTGTGTGGCTATTTCTTTTCATATGTATTCCCTCTGCCCTTAGATTCTTCTTTTCTTTTCTTTTTTTTTTTCTTATTTATTTATTTATTTTAGATTCTTCTTTTCAAGTCAGCAAGCAAGAGGCCTTTATTTTATTAAGATGTTTTCTCAAAGTGGAAAGTAAGGGTTTTTTTTTTTCTGATTATAAAAATAATACAGAATTATTGTTTGCAAAAATCCAACAATTCTGACAAATAAGCAGAATGGGAAATTGCCTGTTAAGTCTCTTTGCTCTTCTTCCTCCTATACCACCAAGTACTGTATAGACTGTCAGATTCTTTTCTGTGCATATATATTTAATACATAGACATACTTTTAAAAACAAAACAGGGCTATTTTATATATAACCAGCTTCTTCCTACTTAAGTATATAATGGTCTTTTTTTTTTTTTTTTTTTTTTTTTTTTACCCTGGGGTATATATATATACCCCAGGGTATGTGTGTGTGTATATATATATACCTTTTATTTTTTAATTTTCTTAACTTAGGATGTTTAATTCAGAGTGTTGGGCTAGGTCAATGTTTACGGTTTTAATGATAAAATATTTGTTAAAGTGATTAACCTATACTTGAATAAGAGGCAGTTGAGTTGTTAATATATTCAGTGATTAGAATGTAAAATCTTCAGGAAAATATTGAAGTGAGTTTGACAGCTGGCAAAAACAAACTGATTCTAACCCGTAGATTTTTGAAGCTACAGCTTAGAATTGGTATTTTTTCCTTCCCAACCAAGACTCTAAAAGTGCTGTGAGAGGTTTCTTCCAGCCTCCAGTCTAATTTCTGACTGTTAAATAACACATTAAGCCTCTTAAATAATATGCAAATTGGTATTTGTTTTATCTGAGAGTTTCAATGGCTGGCTACGGGGAGTAGACATTTGGATGTGGGAGCTTGTCTTTCTAAGTGCACATTCCTAGATCCTCACAGCAATTACAGCTTATAGTTATGTGCTATTTTGGGGTCAATCAATTGATACATTATGGTGGTTAGATTATAAATGAAGTGACAGGAGATAGCATGTTATCAAGGCAGTTTTAGAATCCTTGTGGTATTATTAACTTTGATTGTTTTTATTATACCAAGAAACTTCAGTTGTCAACACAATTAGGTCTGAATGATAAACAAAAGAGACAGATTTATTTTTCAAATCATTTTGCAAAGGTAAAATTGTCTGTTGAAGTTTGGCTTTGCAGTGTATTAGCCTAAAATCCCTTTCAATAGTAAATTTCAATAATTCCATGAAAAACTAGTGGGCAATTCTTATTCGTTGAATGAAGGAGGAAAGAGATCAGGATGGTTTGTGATGAGACATATTCCAGAAGAAGGTTTGTAAATAAGTAGTTAATAATCAGTAAATTCACATCACATCAAGATTGAGGGAAATAAACTGCCCAGGGTATCCATCCTAAAAGGAGGGTTAACTCCCGAGGTTAATATTAAAATCTTTACTCTTTTCTATGACATTTTAAATTTTAACTCTACTTTTTTTTATATGAGAACAATGTTTTGAGAACATCTCATAAGTGAGATGACTTATCCTGATTAAATTAAAACAGAGAAAAATAACACCTGCAGCAGAGAGCTAAAGTCAAAAGAATATACTTATAGATAGTATAACTCAAATAAAAGAGAGAACTTTGCAATTGCATTTTCATTTTTTCCTAAATTCATTAAATCCACACATCTTATTACATAAGTTCAAAGTTATAAAGAAATATAATTACCTTTATTCTCTTTTTTCATTATTTCAGTCATAAACATTTCTTTTACTTTATTGCATAAAGACTCTTTATCTACTTCAGCATTGATTTTTATCAAAATATTTTTTGGCTCCGTAAACCATTGCTCCAACAAAGGCCAGTTGTCCAAGAAGCCTATAATTCTGCAAAAATATTGTATTGTAATGATTAAAATGTCACTAATATTAAGCATAATTTACCTGACATGCATAATTAAAAAGTAAGCTGCCAATATAGTTAAGACTGAAAAAACAACTCTAAGAATTATACAGACAGTGCAATATTATTTACTTTGAAGAAGAAATTATTTAATACCATCAAGCCATATTTTTTTGAGATATATGAAAGAGTAAAAGAAGATTTGAAAATGCCACCATTTCAGAAAAACTTCAGTGTAAGTTCGATTTCACTGTAGAAGTGAAAATCAACAGGAAGATGAACTGCACTCAGTAGAATTAACTGAGTAGAATTAGCTTCTTATGGGAGCTACAGCCTGAGGTCATCTGTTTTTCTCTTAGAGAAATCAAATAAATCTTTGAGTAAGTGTAGGTAGCTCAGATTTACGTGCCTGACTGAAAAATAATCTTGGAATGATTCTTGAAACTTTCTTGTCTTCCTTGAGAATAGATAAGCTTAATAAAGCTAATTAGCTAATTAATGTAGAAAATTACTTTTCTCTGGCTCACCTCCTTTTTTAGATTTCCTCAGGTTTCATAAAATTGTCTAACTCTGTTTTCTTTTCCAATGAATAAGTGGGTGTTTTTTGTTTTGTTTTGTTCTGTTTTGTATAACATCATTTTAGCAAAATGGAAGTCATTTTAAACTATACTCTGTGGTCTGATGCCTAGCTCTTTGAAATATCATGATCTTCACTGGCATTTGTTGAATGAGGACTAAATTAGGACTCCATGCAATGAACCAGAAAGGGAAGTATCACCTCATTTAATTCTTCTCTTCCCAGTCTATGATAATTTGTGTTTTGAATATGAGAGCCAACACATAAATATTTCACTCAATATCAAAACTATTTATTTATTCATTTATTCATTTATTTATTTATTTATTTATTTATTTATTTATTTATTTATTTATTTATTTTTTACTTGTTAAAAGGCTCAGTGCTAGAAAATACATCTTTTTTCTAGATCTGAAGATGCCAAAGTGACTAATGGTCAGTCTGTTCAAAGGGCAAGAAATAAGATGCAGGACACTGAGTTTTAAACTAACCTGTGCTGAATCTGGTCTCTTAAATTCTGGTCCTCATTCATATCTTGCTTTTCAGCAGTTACGTGTTGAGTGATGTCTTCATGAGAAGTTTCACTTGAAAATGCTTCAGCTATGAAATGAAAATTTGCTAAACCAAAGTTTTAGAAGCACTGCTAAAATGTACTGATGCAAGACAACCAAATAGATATGATCTTACCATTGGTCCAATATTAATTAAAATGTTTAACAACATGTTGAAAGAGTATAGTTTTGGGATTGGAATTCAAATTTTCCTTGGAAATTGAGGAAAATGACACACCATACAACATTTCAATGTGTAGGATCCCAAGATTGACTGTGAAGGGGTAAAAATGAAAAGTGATGGGTCATCATGAATAACAAACTAGGAAACAATGACAAAATCAACACTGTGGTGTAAAGAGTAAGAATGAAATAACAGGGTGGCCATAAAGTCAAACATGTAAAAATTATTTGTCCGTGATATGTTACAATCCAATCAAGTAAATTACCTTTCTTTCTAGACTCTGTGATCTTTTGTTATAGGGTAGACATAAAGGAACCAACCACAAGAGGCCAAAAACAAAAACTAAAACATCCTCAAATGGAATATTACTCAGCCATTAGAAATGACAAATACCCACCATTTGCTTCGACGTGGATGGAACTGGAGGGTATTATGCTGAGTGAAATAAGTCAGTCGGAGAAGGACAAACATTATATGGTCTCATTCATTTGGGGAATATAAATAATAGTGAAAGGGAATAGAAGGGAAGGGAGAAGAAATGGGTAGGAAATATCAGAAAGGGAGACAGAACATGAAGACTCCTAACTCTGGGAAACGAACTAGGGGTGGTGGAAGGGGAGGAGGGCAGGGGGTGGGGGTGAATGGGTGACGGGCACTGAGGGGAGCACTTGATGGGATGAGCACTGGGTGTTATTCTGTATGTTGGCAAATTGAACACCAATAAAAAATAAATTTATTATTTTAAAAAAAACATCCTCAAGATCTGATTGAATCCTATTTAGGATTGAATGTACAAAGTCATGAACTTAGAATAAATGGAAAATAAGAAAGAGGGAAGAGAGCCTTGTACTAGATTTAAAGGAATTCAGTCAGTGCAACAGAACACTGAATAGTGTTCAGGAAATTGGAGGACCCTCGCAGGATATAGCAATCAGTTTTTCTCCATCTACATTCAAGAGAGAAAAAGATGAAGTGATTTAAAATACAGAATAATGCTTTTTTTTTTAGTTATAATGGGCATTTTATTTTTATTTTAATTTTTATAACTATTTTTTATTGGTGTTCAATTTGCCAACATATAGAATAACACCCAGTGCTCATCCCATGAAGTGCCCCCCTCAGTGCCCATCACCCAGTCACCCCAGGGATGTCCATTCTCACCACTGCTATTCAACATAGTACTAGAAGTCCTAGCCTTAGCAATCAGACAACAAAAACAAATAAAAGGCATTCAAATTGGCAAAGAAGAAGTCAAACTCTTCCTCTTCACCGATGACATGATACTCTACATAGAAAACCCAAAAGACTCCACCCCAAGATTGCTAGAACTCATACAGCAATTTAGCAATGTGGCAGGATACAAAATCAATGCCCAGAAGTCAGTGGCATTTCTATACACTAACAATGAAACTGAAGAAAGAGAAATTAAGGAGTCAATCCCATTTACAATTGCACCCAAAAGCAAAAGATACCTAGGAATAAACCTAACCAAAGAGGTAAAGGATCTATACCCTAAAAACTACAGAACACTTCTGAAAGAAATTGAGGAAGACACAAAGAGATGGAAAAATATTCCATGCTCATGGATTGGAAGAATTAATATTGTGAAAATGTCAATGTTACCCACGTTTAATGCAATCCCTATCAAAATACCATGGACTTTCTTCAGAGAGTTGGAACAAATTATTTTAAGATTTGTGTGGAATCAGAAAAGACCCTGAATAGCCAGGGGAATATTAAAAAAGAAAACCATAGCTGGAGGTATCACAATGCCAGATTTCAGGTTGTACTACAAAGCTGTGGTCATCAAGACAGGGTGGTACTGGCACAAAAACAGACACATAGATCAATGGAACAGAATAGAGAATCCAGAAGTGGACCCTCAACTTTATGGTCAACTAATATTCGACAAAGGAGGAAAGACTAACCACTGGAAAAAAGTCTCTTCAGTAAATGGTGCTGGGAAATTAGACATCCACACGCAGAAGAATGAAACTGGACCACTCTCTTGCACCATACACAAAGATAAACTCAAAATAGATGAAAGATCTAAATGTGAGACAAGATTCCATCAAGATCCTAGAGGAGAACACAGGCAATACCCTTTTTGAACTAGGCCACAGTAACTTCTTGCAAGATACATCCATGAAGGAAAGAGAAACAAAAGCAAAAATGAATTACTGGGACTTCATCAAGATAAGAATAATGCTTTTAGGTTACTTATAAAACCCAAAGATTACTGGCGTCAATGAAGGGTGGCAGAAGAAGGCTGTGTGTGGGGGGGGTCTTTTCAAAAGGTGCTATCATGCACCATCTCCTACTCCTACTATTTGTCTTTCTAGCACTCCCACATAGCTGATGAATCTTTCCAATATCATCTAGTCCCTACACCCTTTCTCCCAAATTTACCATCATCTTGACTTTTTATTTTCCAGAAAACCTAGTCACAGGGTTGCACACTTCAGCTTCTCTCCCTCATTCAACAACTTCAATTTATGTCCTTCTGTTACCCCAGCCTTAGATGATATTTATCTCTTTCCAAGTCTCTGCTCACACTGGTGGGCATCTTCCAAGGAAAATACACAATTTTGGGACTTGTAACCTTACTAATTCCTTGGCTCAAAAATCAGCTGAGCTGATGATAGATAGATAGATAGATAGATAGATAGATAGATAGATAGATGATAGATAGATGGTAGATAGATGATAGATAATCTGAGGTAAGCTTCTTGAGAGTTATCTTCATCCATGCTCTCCACCTCCTCACCTCTCATTCATGCCCAGTCCACCCCAGACCATCCTTCCTGGTCCCCTAATCCATTGAAATAGCTCTCATTCCAGTCACCAAAAACATCAAGTCCAATGGACATGTTTCAGTTCTTATTTTACTTGATTTCTCTGTTGTATTTATAGGTAAAATTTAGCACATAATTCTTAAGTACTTTTACATATATTATCTTATTTTCACAACATAACTTGAAAGCAAGATTATGATTCTGTAATGGGCCCCAAATTGCATAGCTCATAAATGACAAAGAAGGGCTTTGATTCCAGTCAATCTGGCTCCAGGCTCTGGACTTCTTTTTAATGTTCAAACTGTTTGTTGAACTATACCCACCGAAAAGAATGCATACATGAATATATAGCTCAGTGACCTTACAAACTGAAAACAGCACCCAGATTAATGAACATCATCAGCCCCGAAAGCATTTCCTGTTTCTTCTCAGTGGCTGCACTCAAAACCTCTTTATACCTCTCTCCATATTATGAACACTGTTGCTCCCTCTCAGCTGGCTGATGGACTGAGGTATTGGCTAAAACCCAGGCAGCCACCTTGTCTTCCATTCTGACACAGCCTTATGCTCCTAGACTGCTTGCTTCCTTTCGTCAGGTCTCCCTGCTTTCCTGCCTGTTGGCTTTGAGTCTGGTCCATTCCTCTCTGCATAGTCTTGGCTGGCCTGATGTCCAGGCTTTAAGCACACCTGGCTTTGGCTGTAGGCTGCTTCCTTCTGTTGCTGTTCTTCAGGCTTCTCCACAGACTTGAGCATTGCAGGACAGCTTGTTGCATCCAACCATAGAGACTGGGCTCCCACACCCCAGCTTGAACCTCAGGACTCCATCCCCTACTGGTGTGGGATGGGAATAATATAACTCAATTTTGAAAATCTGTCCTTTCTTGGCTTATGAGACACTACTTTCCCTGATTTTCTTCCTCTCTCTCTAGCTGCTGCCTCTAAACACTTCTTCCCTTGCTCTCCCAATAAATTCTGATGTTTTCTGAGGGTCATACTGAATCTTTTTTTAAAGAATATTTTTATCCCTAGGTGATGTCTCTCTTACCTCAAATTCTTAACTTTAGTACATGCTTCTCTCCTGATACCTAGCCCCATTTAGAGAATTGTACTCTGAACATGATAGCTTAAAAATCAATTCAAACTCACCATTTCCCTAAAAGATCTCTACATGTAAATGGTATCATCATTCAAAAACTGTGAAGGTTAGAAATTTGCATTCATTTCTTTCTCCTTGTGCCACATCTCTTATCCTCACTGATCACTCATTTCTGTGGTTTGGCCCATAAATATCACTTGAAGCTGACCATTCCCATCTTGCCTCTCCCAGCTGTAAAAATGCCTCTGAAGTTTTTTAAAGAACAGTAGTTTTACTTGTTTTATTGCTTTCAACCTCACTCTCCTTTCAATGCATCCTCTACCCTGAGCCAGAATGACCATTATAAAAAGCATATCCATATCTAATCACATTAAACCTCAGCTTTAATATCATTTATTGACTTCACATGGCTTCAGGAAGATGTTCCAACACCCTAGCTTGGGGCACGACTCTTCAGCTGGCTCATGCCTACTCTCCAGGCACATTTCTGCCCCTCCATACCTTGCTGTCTCTTGGCCCTATAGGTCTTTGCTGTTCTCTAGATAGACCATGCTCACTTGTCAAGGTTTGTGATGTGTTTCTCTCTACCTCTCTCCCTTTCTTGGTCTGATTGACCTCTTCCCATGCTGGGCAGACCTAACTATATTATAACAGCAGATAACTAACTATATTATAATAATCAGCTTACTTTGCTTCTTCTTACACTACATTGTAAACTACTTGAGGATAGGGATTTGCCTTTCAGTTGTATCTTATTAGTTCCTGGCAGATTATGAATATTAAATGTTTACTAGTAGCACCATTTTAGCTCCCTTCACTCTAGACTAGTGCTAGGTTCTCCACAGGTCTGTGTGTGCACTTCATAACAACTTGACATATCCACTTTCAAGTCAGATTGATCTTGAGTTCAGGGTCCTGTTCTCTCACTAGTGGGCCATGGATTGGCAGTGTTCTCAGCCAGTTCTCAGCTATATCCTGAACAGGATGGGGAAGTTGGTTGGACAAGCAGAATCACTGCAGTCAGCATTGCTCCTACTCCCTTCTATGGATAGAAGTAAGTTCTCTCTTTTTAAGATCTGGTGGACAGCATCCAGTTTAAACTACTGGGCTCAACAGCTAAAGTATTATCGAACAGTTTTGTCATTTCATTTACGTAAATGATGAGAGAAAACCTGAAAATTACACAAACTCAAAATAAGGATGAGTGTGACCTGGACAGTCAAGTGCTCATGCTTTAAACTCTCAACTATAAATAAAAATTATTGAAATAGATGATCCCTAGGCCTCTCCTAGCTCTGAATGTCACTGTATTAGTAATAATAGCAGTAATAAAAGAATGGTATGTTAACAACCAGTTCAAATTAGAATGTAACAGTCATATCTACAATCAGGTATGCTAAAATAGATGTTAATAGACGAAAAACTGGTCACTATGTATAGAGCGATCTAATACTCGTAATTTATTCAAAAGTTTAGAAATTAATATATATTGATTAAAATCAATTTGCATGTCTATGCACAAGAATCATTTGAACTGCTATTGGTTTCTTACAACTTATAGTTATAGAAGATCTGAGTCAAAACCAATGAAAGGCATAGACTCCTATAGATGCAGACAGTCCAAAGTATCCAAAAGACTGTATTCAGCCTTCTACTTAAAGGATATCTAATAACCTCTTGTTCATTTTGAAGTCTTCCATAACTCTTCCTGATGCATTTGCTACATGTTTATTATACTGTGCCAGATTCCATCCTAAGTGTTTTACATTGATCACATTTAATATCTGTGATACTGTGGTTTAATAAGAAATACATACTTGGTCTTTTTCTCTGGCTCCTGACAAAGAACTTGGAAAACTCTTGTAATTTCTTGAGTGATAGGTGTGAGGAGTATTTTTCCTTATTCATAATAAGTCCCTTTCAATCTTATTTGAGTTTATGCTAATGAGGTGACTCTTGGAAGATGGGGCCTAGTTGCCAGAGGAACCAACCATGTAATTAGAAGGCTGGAACTTAAAGCCTTGACACTAGACTTCTTGGGAGGGGTGAGGGGATGAGGGCTGAGTTAATCATGAATGATCAAAGATTTAACCAATCATGCTTTTTAGAACCTCCAGAAAAGCTCTAAACCAAGGGCTTTAGAGAGCTTCTGGGATGGTGAACACATCCACATGCCAGGAGGGTAGTGTAACCCAAACTCCACGGAGACCAAATTTTCTGGGCTTGAGACTCCTTCCAGACCTTGCACTATATTCCTCTTCATCTGGCTGTTCATTTCTATCCTTTATGATATTCTTTATAATAAACCAGTAATAGTAAGCATTCTATGAGTTCTATGAACTATTCTAGAAAATTAAAACCTGAGGAAGGGTCATGGAAACCCTCAATTTGTAACCAAGTCAGACAGAAGAATGGGTAACCTGGAGATCTACTACTTGAAATTGGCATCTAAAATTGGGGGCACTCTGATGGGGCCAGGCCCTTAACCTATGGAATCTGCCCTAACTCCCAACAGTTAGTGCTAGAACTGGATTAAATTGTAGAACACCCAGCTGGTCTCTCCTGAGAAGTGGAAAATTGCATGATGTGGGAAACCCACACATTTGGTGTCAGAAGTGTTGTGAGTAAAGAGAGTTTTCCTTTAACATCTGTAACAATACAATGAGGCATTTTATTATATAGATTGTGAAACTCAGATTTAGAATAAAGAAGTACCTTTTCCAAGGTCAAATACCTCATAACTTGGAAAGACAAGTTTTAAGAAGATATGCTTTTCCCCTAAGTATTTCATTTATAGAATAAAGTAATACTTCCAGTTCGATGGCAAAAAGTAGTTAAATAAACCATGAGTGTTGGAAGGTCTATCCAACTTCACCATGTAAGGACTTTAGTCAACTGATACCTATTTCTGATTTCACACATAATCTCAGGGAAGGATGTTACCAGACCCTTGCTTGCAGAACAGATGTGGCTTATGACCTTTATTAGAGTGACCCCCCAGGAAGTAGTAGACAGCCCCAGGAAGCTCCTCCATGCATGCAAATCTCATAAAGGGCACCTCTGGGCCAGGGTTGCTGCCAAGTTGAGGGAAGGGTTCAGTGAGATGTTTGCAGTCAGCATAGCATTCCCTGCTAGTTCTCTGCAGTGCTGAACACCAACAGTCAGAGCAAGAGGCAAATGTGCTTTGGAAATCTGAAATGGATTCCTTATCACCACTTCTAACTGTCAGTGGGAATATTCACTGACAGTTCAAAGATGAAATGAACAAAGAGCTTTGAATTATTAAAAAAAAAAAAAGACTACCAAAACAAAGGAAAATGTGTCCAGCTTACCCATTGCGTAATTCATGCGGTCCAGCAAGGAATTATCTGAAATATCTAATAACATGACAAAATCAAATGCAGAAGGGGGAAGAGGCACTTCTTTGGAGGTGCTAGCATCAACAGCCAATGTGGGTATTTGTGTTTCTTTTTCTTCCAGTTCTAGGGCCTCTCTGTTGTAGCCCGTGAGAGCTTCCTCCAGAAGCTTTGCTTGGTTTAACGTCATTGGAAAACCATCCAAGACCCAGCCTTGATCCACAGGTACCTCACTAAATTGAAAATGGACACACCATTAACATTTTAATAGATACAAGTACTTTGGAAGTAACAACACAATCTATCTTGCCTTTACCTTTCGTTTAACTCCACAGTAACCTCCTTCCACACAAATGTTATTACTTTACAGCTAAGAGTGGGCTTATTAATGTACCACAATCACTCCTTTGCTTAAAAGCTTTCTGTAGATCCCTGCTGCCCTCCAAATCTATTCCAGAGACCATAACATCATATTTAAAACTAAATGGCCATGACTTACTTCCCTATGACGTCTTGTCTCTCACCGTCTTGAACCATTTACTTCACACAAACTGATCTCCTCACTGTTAGGTGAGGGTGTGCTGCATTTCCTAGCCTGTGTTCATAGGCAGTTCCTCCTTTGAACCTGTTTCTCATCTACACATAGTAGGATAACACATCTCACAGGGCCATTCTGAGGATAAACTGAAATGATTCATTTAAAAAACCCAGCACTGAGCTTAGCACAAGTGGATACTTGCCTTGCCAACCAGGAGACCTCTCTTACTCCATGCAACCCAGCAAGGAGAAACAGCTGCCTAATCTGAACTCCTCAAGCTCTCACTCACTTCATTATACAATCAATAATTATTGCATTTTTTTGAGTAAGAAAAAATCAAATGAGTCTTCCTTATATCAGTTATAATTTATAAGGTTCCTATAGTGTGAGGAGCATTTCTTGGGTTTTTGCCTTCAATGCAGCATCCTCCATAGAGAATAGGAGCTCCAGGAATTATTAGTTAAGGTCTTTACATTAAAAAATGATTTGAAAAGGGAAGAAACTTCAACTCTGCCCTTCTAAATCCCCAATTATGTAAAATTGAGAGTTTATTTTTGGATTCAAAGTTATGATTTCATTTCTTTCTCTGTTAGAACTCATATAAAACAATATAGAATTTCCTTTCTTCCCTGGGCAATCTCTCATTTCTTGTTGCCTTCCTATCCAGCACTGACCAGCCTTTGGATCCCTAGGTTCACTTCTTCCTCCTAAAACATAAAACAAGGAAGGGCACTGACCTGTGACCATACAGGTAGTGTCCCTTCCCTCTATAATGTGTCACTTGGCTTTTCCAAGTATCTAACTTTTCCTTGAATTCCTTGCAGGGAATAGAACCTGACCTGTGCTCACATCTGGGTGGTGAAGTCAAGACTAGTAAAGTGGGGGAAGTGAAATATAAGCATGTAAATTACAAAACATATCTTCATCTTGCTTATGTTTTCTAATGTAGACAAGCAGTATCTATTCAATATTAAAAATAAGAAACATTTCTATATTATTCTTTATATACTTCCACTTGATAAAAAATATATTAGTAGATTAAAAAAAATACATACTTAATAGCATTTACCAAGATGTTAACTAGCAACATGTCAGAAATGCTCTTTCCTTTCTTCAGCATCTTTTCTGATTTTGCACCAAGCTGAGCCCGCACAGTCAGCTGTGAAAATAAACAATGAATGGTAGAGTACAGCTAATTTAAAAGTCAGAATCTGAATATTTCGGGGAAAAATTAAATGAGCATGCTCTCTTGTAAAGACACTGATCATCTGGCATAATTCTGGAGTCAGCCAAGCATTTAGGGGAAATGTTTAGGCAGATTTTGATGCTCTGTTGTGGTTCCCATCTTTCCAAGATCTTCCTCTCAATTTCTAGCTACTCAGACATCCCCAACCTTCATTTGCTAATACCTTAAATTGAAACTATTCAAGATTCTGCTTGAGTTCTAGTCATTCTCATGTTATGAAGACGTGACTTGTCTCTGGAAGTTCCCTTCATTCAATGATCCAATTCCATACAATTTCTGCCTGACTGGTTTATGCTGCTTGTCTGCCGCCTTTGCTTTTTACTGTCTGCTTTTGACCTTCAAATCATTCTCTTTTCTATCTTGTCCAGCATTTATAGCATTATCTGTAGTAGGACTAGTCCAATAAAGCTGCTCTATCATCAGGAAATTCCCTAGATTTTATTCTTAAATCGGCCACTAGTGAGTATTTTATTTTTTTAAAAAATTTTATTTACCTATTCGTGAGAGACAGAGAGAGAGAGAGAGAGAGAGAGAGATGCAGAGACACAGGCAGAGGGAGAAGCAGGCTCCATTCAGGGAACCAGATGTGGAACTTGATCCATGACTCCAGGGACTCCAGGATCACGCCCTGGGCCGAAGCAGGCGCTAAACCACTGAGCCACCCAGGGATCCCCATCCAGTGAGTATTTTATAAGTCAAATGATATTAGACCTCTACTCAAAACCCTGTAAAGTTTCCTTGTTTACACTGAATGTCCTAATCATGCCTATAAGGCTGACTTGATTTTTCTCCCTTCCTGCTCATCTCTCTAACCTCAGGGCTTACTATTAACCCACCTTGCTGGCCAGGCACCTTCCTGCCTCATTGCTACCAGACAGCTATTCTTACTTCCTGAAATGCTACACCACATGCACTTGGCAAGTTCTCTCAATCTTCTTTCAATCTGGTAAAACCTCACTTTCTCAAGGAGGCCTACTCTATTTAATATAGTAACCCTCCCTCTTTTCCCACATCCTTAGTCTTGGCCTGTGCTTCTTATCCCTTACTCCTCTCTACATTTTCTTTCTTCCTGGTTTCATTACTATCTAATGGATCATATAATTCATTTACTGCGTGTATGGTTTGTTATCTATCTCTATTAGAGTATAAATTCCTTAAGGTCCAGGAATCCCGTCTTTTCTTTTCACTGATATATCCCAAATAATTACAATGGCATACAAAAAAATGTATGCCCTTTGAATTAAATATAGAATTTGGAGGATTTATAACTCAACAAAGGCAAATATAAAAAATACACTTAGACTTTCTGCTAATTTATATTTCAAATATATGAAGTAAAAATTGTAAATTCTCCTTTATCACTTCTTCTAAGCCCATTTATCTCCCCACTGGCTGTCATATTTACAGTTTGGTGTATATCCTTCCAAAACTTTTTCTGTCTTTAAATAATTCTGAAATCTAAAATATTAGAAATCTAAAACTGTTTTCTAGAGGTGCCTGGGTGGCTCAATCAGTTAAGCATCTGACTCTTGATTTCAGCTCAGGTCGTGATCTCAGGATTGTGAAATTGAGCCCCAAGTTGAGCTCTGTGCTAGCATGGAGCCTGCTTAGGATTCTCTTTCTCCCAAGGGGAGCCATCTTATACCTTGGTGGGACTGGATAAAATAGATGTGATACACACACACACACACACACACACACACACACAATAGAACACTACTCAGCCATCAAAGAAATGACATGTTGTCATTTGCAATGACACAGATGGAACTAGAGGGTATCATGCTGAACGAAATAAGTCAGTCAAGGAAAGACAAATACCCTATGATTTCACTCATATGTGAAATTTAAGAAACAAAACAGATGAACATAGGGGAAGGGAAGGAAAAATAAAATAAGATGAAAACAGAGAGGAAGGCAAAGCATAAGAGATTCTTAACTATAGGAAACAAACTGAGGGTCGCTGGAGGTGGAGGGATGGGGTAACTGGGTGATGGGCATTAAGGATGGCACTTGAAGTAATGAGCACTGAGTTCTGTATGCAACTGATGAATCACTAAATTCTACCTCTGAAACTAATAATACAATATATGTTAATTTAACTTAAGTAAAAAAAAAATTTTAAAGACATTAGTTGAAAAAAAAAAAAGATTCTCTTTCTCCCTCTGCCCCTGCCCCACACCAAATAAAAATAAAGAAAAAATAAAATTATTTCCCAAGGTGAAATGCATAATAAAGGTAATTAAATGTAATAAAAGTAAAGCAAATAAAATCTCACTTGATTAATCTGGACATTCTATTCGATGACAAAAAGATGTCTCCATATACAGAAAAGCAATACTACACAAGGAAATATTAGCTTCCATTAGAAGTAATAGTCAGTGACTCACAAATATTTCTTGCAGGGATTAATCAAAATTCTGTAGAGTCACCACTAAGTATAAGTATAAGTATAAGGAGAAATTCTTGGGAAAAAATTATTTAAAGGTAAAGAGAGTAAGACAAGAAATGAAAGTAATAAATTAAGCAGTAAATAAAAATACATAAATATAAATTTGACATAAGACTAACATTTTTAAAAAGCACATATTTACCTTCTTACCTGGCAAAACTGAGTAACAATTTCCACCACTTTAGAGATAAAGAATATAAAGAAAATTAAGTAACTCAGATTCAGCTAATATGTTACCATCATATTTACCGTAAGTAGGCTCCATGCCCAGTATGGAGCCCAACATGGGGCTTGAACTTACGATCCTGAGATCAAGACTCAGGCACGTAAAACCGACTAAGCACCCTCCCCTAGTGCCCCATCATCATATTTACTTTAAACCAAAGAGGAGCACACTGCTATTTCATTTCATTTGAAGAAATACCAAGAAACTATGAATCATAACATATTTCCATATACTAGTAGCCAAAATTAGACCATGGTACTTACTTCAGAGAAACTATCACTTGATTTGACTTCTTCAGCTTTTGGAGTTTTATTTGTATCAGTACCTAGCAACAGGAAAAGTGGTAAGAAGAAATTCTGGTATCTACCACTAACAACCATGTTAGTATTTGATCATCTATGGTTTTGGACAGATGGGCTAACGGTTCCAGCCATGCCCGAGATGCTCAGAGGAGGCAGTGACAGGGTCACCGCAGAACGGCATCACCTTCCTTCCACCACATGAAAATCCCGGCCATCATGTAGCCAGACATCTTCCACTTCCTTCTTTCCATGATGACTCACCCATAATATCATTAGAAGAACATTAATATAGCTTAGGTTTTCTTTTCATAAAACTAGCCAAATTTCTCAAGAAACTTTGTTAAAATGTTAATTCATTAATTTTTATTTTCCTTAATTATCAAGTTATATGTAGTAAATATGTGTAAAAGTAGAAAACTCTAGAAGCCCGAAGGTTGTTAAAGTCTATAGAATAAAACACAAGTTTTCAGGGTCCATTTATAATTAACTGGACTTTTGTAACACATCATACAATACTTGTAATAGTTTAAAAGTCCATTAAAATTATCTTGTATGAAACACATAACTGAAATAATGGACAGGTTATACCCTTTTAAAATACAGGAAATTCAGCTGCTCTAGGAGAGCTGCACGCTCACCACATCATTCAGGGGTGATGGTGATAATGACGTTGTCACAGGAGGATCTGAACTTTATGCTAGAAGGTGAGGAAACTATTAAACATGGCAAGCCTTCACCAGCCTAGTCAGAAAAGATATTTAGGACTTAACATTATTTTCCTTCAACGTTTCTTTTTAGCGTCTGAAAGACTAGAACCCAGATCCCAAGTGAGATAACTTTTCATCGGGTTTGAAAGCTTGCTTCTATTTATTTGCCTTGCCCAAAGCTGGAAATAAACTTAACTTTATCTAGAGAACCACTCTTCAGGTGGGTGCAAGAGGCCAGGCCCTACAGCCTCCCTCAGCACAGTGAACAATACATGGCAGTACGCAGGGGGCCGCAACAGTACCACTCATGCGGATCTGCATAGGCCAGAAGAAACAATAAAATACTGTCTCCCTGCAAAGCCAGGAAGAGGGAGGATTCTCCTGTTATCATAAGTCCAACAAAACTGAGCAACTACTTGAAGGGTTATAAAAAGGTTCCTTCATTAATATTCATCTCTTATCCCTAGTTGTAGACACAGGTTAGGGACTCTTGTGTTTGTCTTACTTCCTCTGTTAAGTGACCAGGGAGACAACGATGTGAAACTCCCCTTCCTTTCCCTGAAAGCAAGTTTGTGCTCACATACATGTGTACTCACTATTTATCTGTCCGTCTATCTAACGTAAATAATGGATGATTTTTCTGATATCTCACTTACTAAGTATAGTTTTATCTTCTGTTTCTGGTAACGCTTCCTCTGAAACTGGATGAGGTGAAAATGCATTCTGTAGATCCTTTGGGGAGAAAACACATACACACACACACACACACACACACACACACACACATAAATTTTAACACTGTTATAATTTAATAACATTTAAAATTTTATTTCTATAAGTAAGGTCTATGTTCTTTCATCTATAACATTGATAATAAGAAGAACTGAGTGATTTCTGAAAACAAGAAAAATTTGATGATTATTCTTACAGAAACACACAGTAACCTATGATGTAGCCTTTCAAATGCCCTTCAATTCTATGTAAAATACAGCAACTGCTATTTTGAAAATACAGCAAAACCTGAGAAAGGTAGAGTTTGTAGAAAGCCATTTTAGAAAGAACAATCCTAGAGGTGTCAGCCATAGCCATAAAGGAATAAAGAAAAATCATGTCCATTATCTATCATACAATTGATTAGAAAACAGAATAAGAGGCAGCCCGCACATCTCCCGGTTATTTTCATAATTCGTAGTTAAATGGTATTTATCTTGCAGCCCCTGCAAATGATCCGGATTAGATTCTCTGCTAATATCTTCAATTGCAGAGACAACATAAGGTAGGGGAAGGAATGTTGGATTTAGAATCTGGGTTTCCACCCACAACACTCATCAACAAGCCTTCTGCCTCCAAGCAAATCAATTCACACTTAGGACCTTCCCTTTAAAATGAGGGTGCTGGACCATGTTAGGATTCTCAAGGTGGGGCCACATTTTCATATTTTCTGCAGTAATGTAGCAAGATGTGATATTAATGGGAACGCGATACAGGTAAAAACCACAGAAAGACCTCCCCCTTTTCCACAGCCCTTCGAATTGACATCTCCTCACAGATCAAATTCAGCCAGCCAACTGTTTTATATGTGGTCCCTGGGCATCCTTCTGCAGAATAGCATCGTGAGCCAAAGGACTAAGCCTGGCATCCCCCTCTGCCCCTTCTCTGCTCTGCTCTAGCATCTGCCTCAGCACTGGTCTTTATGCAATGGATACTCTGCTATTGGCCACTGCCAGGGTCTCAGTGGTGAAACAGCACTCTAGGAGCTGGTAACTTGGTGAACTCCCCCCACCCCAACACCCATACCCTACCCTCCTCCAATTCCTTGCAATTCAGCCCCTTCACCCCTTACCAGTCTTATCAGCCTGTGGTTCTTTCTACAGGAGTGTCTCCAGCTGATGGTAACTGGGCACAAAGTGGGCCAATAACCCTGGATGACCAACTAGGCAAACAGTGTGTTGAGGGGGTGGCAGGGAGGAATTTCCTCTCTCATTATATAAATACCTACATAATAACCTTGATTTTGCCTCCTGGTTCACGAAATGTAAAATATTTTCTCTCTGGGATTTTCCAGAAAACTTTGCTAACCTCTGGTCTAGAAGTTCTCTTAGATTCCATACGGTTTCCAATCTCTAGAATAGGAGGAGCATAAAAGAAAACTAAAATCACACTTGCCTGGCTTTCTTTGTTCTTCTCTTGCAGAACTGGTAGAGACTTTTCTTCAGCTTCTTTCTCAATTGGTAGAGCCTCACTGATTTTTTCATTGTCATGGAATGCTTTGATTGCTTCTTGGACAAGAGTGTCAATAGAAAGTACCTGAATAGGAAAGTCTAAAGTGCAAAAGAATTCTATTAATAACTTTTCATTTAGGAAACTGACATAATTATCCTTCTGTGACAGCCCCATCCAATAACACTGTCTCTAGGGTCTCCTAAAACTGTCTTTTGGATGAAGCTGCTTATTTTTTTTATTTTGGTAAAATTCACATAAAATAAATCTAACCATTTTAGATACACCTCAGTGGTACTTAGGTCATTTATTTTGTCCAACCATCACCACTATCTTGTTCTAAAACATTTTCATCATCCAAAGAGGAAACCCTGTACACATTAGGCAGTCACTCCTTATCTCTCTATCCCTGATCCTGCAACCACTAATTTGTCTTCTGTTTCTATGGATTTGTCTATTCTGGACATTTTACATCAATGAAGTAATACAATATGTGGCCTTTAGTGTCTCCTTTTTTTCATTTAGCTTCATGTTTTCAAGGTTCATCCATGTTGTAGCACCTAAGAGTATTTCACTCCTTTTTCATGGCTAAGTAATATTTCATTGTATAGATACACCACTTTTGTTATCCATTCATCAGGTGACAAGCATTTGGATTCCCCCCCACAACCTTTTGACTATTATTAATAGTGCTGCTATGAATGTGCTCTATGACTATTCCTACACAATATTTTGAACACCTGTCTTTGCTCCTTTGGGGTACATATCCCATAGTGGAATTGTTGGAGTCATATGGTAATTCTTTAATTTACTGAGGAACTTTCAACCTCTTTCTATAGTGGCAACACCATTTCACATTTCCACCAGCAATATATAAGGGTTCCAACAACACTCCCTCACCAACACTTGTTATTTTCCTTTTCTTTTTATTATACCCATCCCAGTGGGTGTGAAGTGGTATCTCAATGTGCCTTTGTCAAACTTTTTAAGGAGGTCCTTTAAAATCTCAATATAATATACCCTTGTCTGTCTCAGAATAGTTTTAGATGGACTAGTCTCTACAAATGGTGAGTTTTTCCAGTGAAAACAGCAAAAAATAAGTGTAACTGAATAAAAACTAATTAAACAGAAGGAAACCTTCTAACAGAATGAGCTTCAAAAGAAAAAGCCAAAGGTTCACTAAAAAGACAGAACTCAACAAATGTGAAGAAATAAAATGTTTATAGTTTTAGGTGCATTTCTTTTGTATTTGTTATAAATTATTAATTTCCCCTTCATTAGTAGGTAAATAAAATATATGAGTCAAAGTTGACAACTTGTTATTTCTCAAGACTATGCACCAGCATTATGTAACATATCCATATATCCAGGTTTGCCAGTTTCTGACTCTAAAATCCTCAAAGTGTCTGCCTTGGACAAGTAATTATATGATCACTTTATTATAAAATTTTTGATGATGAGAGATTCCCAATATATCAGCAGATTATGTATGTTGACCACAGACATAGTTATTTGCTACAGTCAATGTAACTAGAATCCAGTAAGTGAAAAAAAAGAAGAAGAAATTCTACCTTTTTGTAGAGCCTTTAGAGCAGTAGTTTTTCCACTAAATGTTTTTCCAACTAAGCACCCTTTAATAGCAAATGAAGGTAATTCTAGTACTGTTGATTTGACTTGAGGAGGATGAGATTTTTCAATTAATCTGTGAATCACATGACCCAATATGGTATTGTTGGAGGGTGGTAAATTATCAACCATTTCTTCTGGTAAAGCCCACTCTCCAACCATATTCTGCAACATAACAATGAAACAAACCAGAACATCCTTAAAAATGTAATTTAGGCATATACAAAATTTTAATATTGAAAATAAACATAAATTATAGCAAACAAAAGTAATACTTTAAATAATTATATTACATAAGTGAGTAATAACATAAATAATATGTTCATAGTAGAGAACAAAAAATGAGCTTCTTATGTAAAAATAAAAATGAAAAACTCAAAAATCCTTAACAGTTTATGAAAGTAAGCATATTGAGTTTATCGAGACAAACTGTAACTCAGGTTGAGCATAAAGATACTTAAATTGAAGCTACCCTCAGTAAACAGATAAAAGAGAATAATAGTTATCTGCTATCTTATGCAAATACTAAACTGATTTTAAAATATTTTATTATAAGAAAAATAAAGGAGAACATTCATGCCCAATATGGTGTGCTCTAAATCTATTGTTTGACTCCTAGTTACTTTGAGTTTCTTGCTGAAATGATCAAATAACTATAGGTTTAAAAACAAACTACAGACCACAATCTCTGAAATAAAACTAGAAACTGACTTTAGAAATATATAAGAAATATAAACATTTAAAAATTAAAAGCATTCTTTTAAAATAATTCTGGGATTAAAGGAGAAATTAAAATTAAAAATGTCCAAAGAAGAACATTAAAACAATAGAATTTATTAAAAATATGGTATGGGATCAATCTGTACTCAGAGGAAAAGTCATAGCCCCATACAATGCCAGATCTAAAATTTAAAAAATGGAAACAAAGTGTTAAAATAGGAAAAAATAATTTTAAATAAATAAATGAGGGAGGAACTCATAAAAATGGAAATGTGTAGAGAGCATAACTATCAAGATACTTTTTATATATTTCTAGAACTTGTCCAGACTAAACACAATAAGGAAATTGCTACTAATTCTGAACAAAGGTGAGGAAAGCAAGTATCAATTTTGTAACATACTATGAAAGAAACAAGAGATTTTAAGGATATCTAAAAAAACTTTAAAAATTTTCTTATTATATTTACATTCAGTTAATTAACATATAGTGCATCATTAGGTTTCCAGAGGTAGAGCTCAGAGATTCTTCAGTTGTATATAACACCCAGTGCTCATCACATCACATGTCCTCCATAATGCCCATTACTCTGTTACCCTATCCTCCCATCCCTCTCCCCTCCAGCAACCCTTGCTTCCTATGGTTAAGAGTCTCTTATATTTTGCCCAATTTCTTATTATGTCTTATTTTATTTTTCCCTTCTTTTCTCTGTGCTTTTCTGTTTTGTTTCCTAATTTCTACATGAATGAAATCATATGATAATTGTCTTTCTCTGATTGACTTATTTCGCTCAGCATAATACCTACCATTTACATTGATATGGACGGAACTGGAGAGTATTATGCTGAGCAAAATAAGTCAAGGAGAGAAAGACAATGATATGGTTTCACTCGTGTGTGGAATATAAGAAATAGCACAGATGATCATAGGAATAGGAAACAAACAAGGTTATGGAGGGGAGGTGGGAGGGGTTAGGGTAGCTGGATGATGGGCATTATGGAAGGCATGTGGTGTGATGAGCACTGGGTATTATATGCAACAATGAGTAGCTGAACTCTATATCTTAAACTAATGATGTACTGTATGTTGGCTAACTGAATTTAAATTTTAAAAAGAGGGGCACCTAGGTGGCTCAGTCAGTTAAGCATCTGCCTTCGGCTCGGTGGTGAACTCTGGGGCCTGGGATCAAGCCTCACCTTGGACTCCATGCTCAGCAGAGAGCCTGCTTTTCCCTCTCCCTCTATAGGTCCCCCTGCTTGTCCACTCTCTCTCTCTCATAAAAATTTTTTTTTAATCTTTAAAATAGATAAATAAAATGAATAATGAAAAAAATGACTTTCAGAAAGATACAAATTTCATCAGTGCACAAAAATATAAATTCTATAAATAAGGCTAAGTATATGTAGAAATGTAGTACATAATAAGGTTTATATTTCACAGCTGCAGAGAAGGAGATTATTTCACAATCGGTATTAGAATAATTTATGCCCATATATGTGAAAATAACAAAGCTGGATATCCTTATATTTTTCATGAAAATAGATTTTGGAACCAAGAAATAATGAAGGCACCAAAATCTGGATGAACATTTATATGTTCCATGAAAACCATAAAATAAAAGGCTGATAAATCTGATTATATAAAAAATAAAATATTCTACACTCCCCCCACATAAACATACTTACATACACACAATTTTAAAATAAAGAACAAAAGGAAAGTATCTGTAAACACATCATGTTTGACAAAGGGTTAAGAGTCTTAGTTTATAAAAAGCTGTAAGCAATAATATGAAAAAGAAAAATATCCCAACAGAAAAAAAGGCACAAAGAATATGAACAGTCAGTACCCAAAATAGAATAAAATGGTCAACAAGTTTTTGAAGCAAGGTTCAAATTCACAGAAATAAAGATATTCAGATAAAGCAGTGATGCATCATATTTTGCTTAACACAAAAAGATTAGTCATACTTCTCATTCAATATCAGTGGGAGAGTAAATTAGCACATTATTTTATTTTCTAGTGTGCCCAAAGTTGCTGTAACATCACCATAATAATAATAAAAATAATAAAAATAATTAAAGATATAAAAACATAAGAATTAGAGTTTAATTTACACATAAATCACTGCAAAATTAGGTCCGATAGTATTTTTCTGAAGTCACTTAAAGATCTTAAAAAGTTATCTTTGGTGAATATAAAAAAATTTAGTAACATAAGTAGGTAACAATTTCATTATATAAATATCCCATCCACAATCTACCAGAAATAGAATAAAAATATATGTCATTTATGATATATTTGAAGATTACTTGGAAATATACTGAACTCTAATCTGAAAATAATGATGTACTAAATGTTGGGTAACTAAATTTAAATTTAAAGATTATTTGGAATTAGTACATGCAACCTATTTATTCAACTTCAAAATGCTCTAATGTATTGTTTCAGTGGTGCAGAACATTATGAATTCAAGATATATCAGCTTATCGGCTTTTTAAAAAATCATGTGTAAGTCTCCCCCAATCCTTATTAAAGATGATCCATTTTATTAGTACTTTTTTTTATTATGTCCCTTGCCCCCGGTCAACTTGCCCCCAACTTAACTTAATCTTAACTTAATCTTCTTAGTCCAAATAATTGGGATGGAAAAACGGAAGCAGTAGCCACTGGGGGAGAAACTGAGCTCCCTCAAAAACATATGCCTTCATGAAAACAAAAACAAAAGACAGTTCATTATATTTCTTCACGAAACACTGACCAATTTGTCAACTTCTGCTAATCTGAATTGTCTTACGACATTTTTTTGTTTGAGAGGAAGACATATGTCTTTGTTCTGACTATATGTCAGGACTTATATCTTAATATTTGTTATATTTATATTAATATATTCTATATGACATAGCATAAATATTCACACATGCTAGGTCATATATAAGTGTATGCATGTTTTTATATATGCTCTGTAATATTAAGTACATTAATAAATACACATCTATGTTGTTACATTTCTTTTTATCAGTATTCGTTTCATATCCATCCAATATCTGACAAAAAAAAAAGTTTGCTCAGGATATAAGCTGACAGATTTGATGAGTGCTATAGAAGACTTGCCTGGTTTACTGACAGAATTTCTGATATGACAACATTCTGAGGTAAGGAAATGCTTTTTGAAACAAATAAACAAAAATCCCCCAAAGTATTCATAATTGGTTTTCCTTTAAAATTGGTGGAATTTACTACATAAATATAATTTTATCTGATTGCCACTTGTATACAAACTGTCTTTTCTTTGTAAGATTTATTTTGTTTTAATGTCTTCAGTTTTTCTAACAATTCTGTGCATAATAATTATATGCATTGTTCATAATTAGCTAAATACTGAATTGCTTTCCATCATCACTGATTGCATTAGAATCTATTGCTTGCTTCTGCTTTCATTCGTTGGAATCATTTATACTTCTAAATTAGACAAATGATAATTATTTTATGTAATGTGACCAATTAGAAATGAACCAAATTAAAAAACAAACCAGAGAAATTGTTATTTTAAGGAAAAAAAAGTTTTAAGTCCAAGGCCCATTTTAAGTGAAAAGTTTCCAATGTTCTAATGATTTTGTGTGGTGCAGTCATTTAATGTTATAAAGGAACCAGCCTAGGACTGAAATCAGATGACCTAGCTTCCATAGTTCTACTACTTGCTTGTTTTGTACTCGGGTGATTCCCTTATCTTTCGTGTGATAATAAGATCTATCTCACAGGGTTGCTGTGAAGATTGAATGAAATGCTTGTGTGAGGAGCCTATGTGACCATGCACTTTAAATGCTCAACTAAAAACGTTCTCAGGCCACTGTTGGAGGCACATAATAGTGTCACATAGGAGGGCTGGCAACAGGAGAAACCACATGCAGCTTGCACCCCCATCAGAGAGGCGTCTTCCTCACAAAGGGATCAGAACAAAGCCCTGTTCCATCACTGAATGAGGTATAGAACAGTGGCCAAACACAATGAGATAGAATGTTGACCATGCAGAGAACATTTTCTTTGATTGCTTAGGTTAGGAAAAGGACTGAAGCCCAACCTGTGGAGATAAGGAGATAGGATTTGGTGGAACACATTTTGCAGATCATCTTAAAAATACAGTTGATAAAATTTCTATGTAAAGACCAAAGATAAAAGGGTAAGTCAAAGTAATCATCTCAGGTTAGAACAAGAACATGATGAGTGAAAAGGAGGTCAGAAGAACTGGAAAAAGGGAAAGTCAGAGCAGAATGAAGATTACTAGTTAAGCTAAAGAGTTTTTTCATTCATTAGTGAAGACAAACTAGATTTTTCTTTTACCAGATCCCTATTTTATTTACATGGTTTGTTATATATAATTACGTTAATCATATAATAAAATTTTATTAGACAAAAATTATATAATAAAATGTACAATTCTTAATCT